GCGACTGTAACATGGTCATGACGCATGGTAGTCTAGTCGTATAGGAGTATTGAGCGATAACCCAAAACTTGATAACATCAAAAACATATAACGCAATAGTCTAAACTTTTAACGTAAATAGTCTAAATTTTCAAGGAAAAATTAAAAAAAACATATTGCGCCCTCCGTCTACAAACCATGAAAACCCGAGGGGGACGACACATCTAAATCTCAATTCTAGGTGCTCAACAAATCTCACACTAGCTAATCAATCTTCGAAAAATCTTCTTTAATTTCTCGCATCTACTTGCATCGTGCATCATCTTTTTGCAAGAAATCTTCAGAACCGTCATAAATCTTCTTACTATCTACTCAGCGTGCGCGCAGCTAACCACAGCATAAAACAATTTTTCCTTCATCGTAGATAGAGTCGCCCCCCTCGTGAAAACCATTAAAAACATATACAATAAATGTTTTCCAATAAAAAATCCCACAATATCATTATATTTTTCCTAAAAAGTATTTTTAACTACCTTTTATTTGATATTTCGATCTTTGAAATCGGTTCAAATGTTATATATTCAAAAAACAAAAATCAGTTTTGAAAAAAAACGATTTTTTGGACCAACCTACTAACATGGAAATGGTCACCCTAATGACAAAAAAAATATGGGTCTAATATTTTGCGATAAGGAACAAAACTACCAATTTTTACGAAATTCTGAGAACCACTATATCGTTTTGCTATGGAATGGCTGATTGATATGTTTAATTAAACGTGAATTCCGCCATACATTCTTCAGTCGATTTTTTTCGATTGAAGACTGCTCGCCCTCTGGCAGCATGAAACACCTTATTGAGAAAGATTCTTCCCAACTGCTCCTAATCCCGTCTGATCTAACAGTATTGGGCAATTATCGAGGGGAAGCTCAAAAGGAGTAAACTGCCGCTCTTCGCATGTCGGTCCTATTGTCGTTGTTGTCAAAACTGAGTTTTTCAATGCAAATGGTAGCTAACTATCCATATTTCCATAATACTGGATGAACTCGTCAATTTTGTTCTGAAACTGTTTGGAAAGACAGTCACATTGGTTGTCCCATCACATAAGAAGCAATGGTACGAAGCAAACTTAAAACGCGACTTTTCCGACTTGCCGATTTTCGCTATAGGACGGACATGCGAAGAGCGGCAGTAAAGGCTGGCGCACAATGCATAAGTTTCCGGGTTTTTTTGACAGATAATGCTTGGGTTAACTGTAAAAAAAACCTGAAAACTTATCCATTGTACGTTGGCCTTATCTTTGAAATCAAAGCTAGAACACCTGAAGGCTTATTGATAGTCAGAATTTCTAAATCAATGTATTTTAGACATTTCTCGACCAGTTTAGATGATTTATTTTGCAATTTTGGGTTTTAAGCTTTCTTGGGATCCTCTGAAAATATTATCAACAAGTTGTAGGCTTGCCATCAGAGCATTCACAGCACAAGCCTTAGAGGTTTACAAAACTTTCTCTTGAAATCCTTTGCACTAACAGTAGGATACCGATAGAGTCTATCGGATAGACTCTGATGTTTGGGCCCTCAGACGTATTAGACGTTGTCAGGATAAGAAGTTCATTTGTTTACACACTTAGAAAAAAATCACTGACTTCAGTAATTCATTTACCGAATTCTCAACAGCTGAACGGTCGGTAATTTTTTCGGTAATCGAGAACATTACCGAAAAATCTGTAAACTGGATCAGCAAAATTAGCTGTCAAATTTACCGAACGATCGGTAACGTTTACCGATGTACATTGCTTGATTTGTAGACGACCTTACCGTAGAACTGTAATTTTGAGGACGATATGCAAATCGAAAATTACCGAGAGATCTGTAATTTTTTGAAAAGGTAACCGACTCAACTGTAATTTGCTTTTAAATTGTTGCAAGGTAGCGGTCACTGCAGCCCATTACAAATTGCTCCACCAATGCACAAAAACAAGTTTTTGTCGGGAGGATTCGGCGCTACAATGAAAACAGGAAAGCATTGGATAAAAATTCCAAATGCTGTTTTCAAATCGTCGCCAACGGGAAAGGGACTTGGACCGACAGAAAAAGAAAGCAACAACATCGGCCATCTCTAATCGGTATATATTTAGAAAACGAAAATTAATTACTTATGGAAAGTATCTAAGATTCGCTCATCTTGGTGTTGCACAACAGGCTCTTTTTATTTTTCACAAGCACGAACGCTTTTTAAGTCGATCGAAAAAAACAATATGGTGGATTTGACGTTTACCGAGACCGTTACCGAACTCAGTAGTGGGACGCTTTGTTTACCGAAACTTCAGTAAAATATTTCACCGAAGTCAGTGATGAAGCTGATTTACAGACCTGCCGGTAAAAATGTTTACCGTTTTCGTTAAATTAAAATGAAATTACCGAAATTCGGTCATTTCATTTACAGTTTTCAGCAAAAAAGCGAGAAAATACCGAAACATCTGTAATTTTTAGCATTACCGATCTAAAGCAAACCCCACACGCATCAATATATTGACGCGAAGGGGAATTATTGACAATAATATTGATGATGTGAATTCAGAAATATTGTCAATCTCGATATATTGACGTCAATATAGAATGTATTGACAATACGATTATTGTCAATAAAAGTAATCGTGTAGGGTCCACTTAAGACGGTAATTTGTTTTTACCGATCGTAGGGTCTCTGTTTAAGTGTGTACATCATAGCTTCACGGGAGCAAGTACGTCACGATTCGATCCTGCACGCTCGAAACGAAAATCCCGGTCTATCCGCTTCTGGCAGAGGCCACATTGCGCATCTTGAAACGAAAAACTTTTTTATACAAGCGTTCGTTCAAAAAGTCTTTCGTTTCGAGATTCGCAATGTGACTCCAGTTTTCGATCACCTCGGTTGACCGGAAGAATGTAAAATTAAAAAGAAGTCGAAATTGCTCAAAAAGTTCCTTGTCTGGAAAGCAATCTGCAGTTGTGGGCTGAAAAGCGAAACTTTCGCTACTTCGGGGACCATGTACCAGCAGATTTACCAGGAGTAGTGCCTACGAAGGAGACTACTGCCTTTTCTGGAGCAGCATGAGGTGGATTGCCTATTTTGGCCGCTCTTGGCAAGCTGCCACTACTCAAATTCCACCAAACAGTGGTACACCGAAAATGGCGTCACAGTGGTTCCCAAGGAGATGAATCCGACCAATACTCCGGAACTAAGGCCAATTGAGGAGTACTGGTCAATTGTGTCAGTATGTACTGAAGAAAAAAGGTGGAACTGCAATTGAAGGAAGAAGGAAGGCTAAAAAAAGGACTTACAATAAGTATTATAGCTACTAATGTATAGCTGCTACATTGAACTATAAAAAATAAAACGCATTTTAAAACCCCAACAAGATTTTCTTGTCCGGATTTTTTCGTGTTCAACTCTTAAACCATGCTCGCATTAAAATAGTTCTAATTATGAAACTAGAAAAATAGTTTTGCAGTTGTATATTCCACTAAAAAATTTCCATATGCACCTTACTACTTGCAGGCTTCATCAGTTTCGAAATTTAGTTACCATAAAAAACCCTAATAAAATGGTGTCTGTGGTGCTCGTCTTGCCCCATCCTAGATAGATGTTCGAATGACTGTATTTTTTTTATTTAAACAAAATTTGCTTATCTGAGTAAGGACAATATAATATAAGCTCAAATAAAAAAGAAGATTGTAGGTACATACCAGTGCCTTGAGACACAAATATAAATTAATAACCACTTATTTTGTACCGTAAAGTATCATAACTTTGCGCAACTTAGACCCTAATTCGGCATAGTTATGAAAAATCCCAAAATAATGTGTAATGTGGATATTTTAGATTGAACTGAATTTGACATTACTGACTAGTATATGGGAAAAATATAAATGAAGAAACTATCACAAAACACATATTGGCCAAAATGAGCGAAGTTTGACCCCGCGTGATATTATGGCACTTCACGGTAGCAAGAAAAATTATTAAGTTTACCACAATGTATTTTACTATATGCATTGCAATACGCAGTACAATAACTACCAGCTACCAAAACAAATTACAGTGCATACCGAATATTTCGTCGCCTTACTGCTACAACTTGCATTGACGGGACGATTTATAGGAGTTGTTGTAATCAAAGTTATTTGAAATATATTCCATGACGCATTACATGATAACCGGTGATCCGTTTTCGGTGAATGCTAAGATCAAAAACAACACCAAACCACCTTACGCGCCATCATCGACACCTCCCAGGCTCGACAGATGCACACGCACACTAAATGGGGTCTTTTGCGTGAGTCGCTTTCCGAGGGGAAGCGGTTCCTATTTATAAAAATAATTATCATTCCACTCGTTGCTCAAGAGCCAAAAGCGAGCATGCTTCTTAAACGCCACACAATGTGTGCGAGTCAGGCGCGTTTACATATGTGCTACAAAATGTTCTCGTTTTATCTAACCCAATGTATTTCTAATCAATTGATCTTCGTAACCTGCACCGGTAAATTGAGGGAGTTGGTCAAGTGACGACGTCACCATCCTCCTTATGTCTGAATCTGAACTCCGGTTTTTGGTTTTGTCATATTGTGTGTCACGGTGACCATTAGTACTCGGTTAGCAAGCACTGATTGGATCACACCGAAAATGCATTGGTAGTAGTTCGTAAGACTTGGTATGTAGCTACACATAGGCAACACCTTCAGAGCTGCAGTTTCCAATCTCGGCATTGTTGGTTGGTCGGAAGAACTGCTGAAGGTCGCCACTTCCTGACACAGTAATTATTACACCCAGGGGCTTTAGTCATGAAACAAGAAACAAACTCATCCAAGCAGATCCTCGCTGCATCCTTGCTTATGTATTGAAGAATCTGTCTAGCGGTGTCCATCATCAGCTTTCGGATGATGTCATCAAATTGCTATTTATGGTTCGTATGGTATTCTAAACTGCAACTAGCTACTTTCAACTCTGTTTTAGTCGGGAGTTACCACTTCAATTACCTCGAATCTTTTTCGGCGAGTCGAATGTGAACGTGACCTTTCCATTTACTGTCTGGCCGGCATAGTACGTATTCCAGGGATTATCCAATTCGATTTGACATTCTTTGAGGCCCATTCTGCAGTGGCACCTTTTTAGCACTACTCTTCAGCACCTTGATATTAGCTCACTAGTACACGAATTTCTTCACTGAAGCACAACAACTGAGCATAACTCAATCACGACCAAAGGTTATTATTATTTGAAGCTCTTATTCTAATAAGTGTTCAAATAATGTTAACAAAACTACCAAAAGGTATCCCTGTTTCCCGTTCTATACGACGTGATTCAGGGAGTGCTATATCTGGGGCTGACGGGATTGAACTGACGGGGGATGATGAGCAACCGAGCCGAATCTGTGCGCTGTTGTCATCATTAGCCGTCATCATCATCATCATCATCATTATGAGTCGTCTTCGATTGTTGGGAGCATAGATTTGATCGTGAGGTGAGACTACTACTGCGGTTTGAATGTGTGAGACTTTGGTGACGTCATATGTTGAAAGAGAGAAGGATTAGTAATTTCCATTTAATTGAAATACCTTAATAGCTTATATTTTAATCGTTCTGATGCTTTATTGAAAATTTATGGTGAAACATTTGCAGCATTCTGGTGCATAAAGAGGAAAGTCTGAAAACTGCACCACAAAGGTGCATGGTGAAACAAACTTTACTGACAATTTTTGGTGCACCGTTCTGGTGAATGGAGGAGCATGCTTTCTTGAAAATTTCTGGTGCAAAATTTTCATCGGTCTGATAAAATAAATGAACGGAAAATTTCTGGTGGAAAACTTGCACTGGTCTGGTAAATGAAGGTACAAGCTTTATTTAAAATTAAGCTATATCGAAAATTTCTGGTAGAAAATCTGCACCGTTCTGGTAAAGAGATGGGCTAGCTTTTTGGAAAATGTTTGGTATTAATTTTGCATCCTTCTGCTGAATAGAGAAGCAAAGTTTAATAATAATTTTTGGTGTAAAATTTGCACCATTCTGATGAATTAAGAGAAGCTGCTTTACTGAAAATGTATGATGGAAAATCTGAAAATAGGGGCATGCTATATTTGTTGGAAAACCTACAACATTTTGATGATAGGAGAAGCAAGCTATATTGAAAACACAGACAAACAGACATAACACTCGCAAGTTGATCATCGAACAAGCATTTAATGGTCAATTTAAAAGTATCGTAGTTGGTAGTACCGCCACCTGTGGCGCGCATAGTCAATTCCCTTGCGTTTGACGTTTACGCACTACCGACATCTCTTCAGCGTACTAACCACCACAGTGTACTTAACAGATGGCGGTAATGTTTTAGAAACGATGTTTTACATTGAGAAATATTAAATGTGTTATGTCTGTTTGTCTGTATTGAAAATGTCTGGTGAAAAAAGGGAAAAAGAAAATCTGCACCAATCAGAAGATTGGAGAAGCAATTTTTATTGAACACTAGCTGAGTGTGCCCGGCCTTGCTCGGGATTCAATATTAGCTTGAGTTTATGCGCCGATTTAAAAAAAAAGCATACTATATTGTACGTAGCCCTCCTCTTATCTAAGGGGCTACCCCCTATGACTTCCACATGCCAAATTTGGTTCCATTTGCTAGATTAGTTCTCGAGTTATGCAGAAATTTCTGTTTCATTTGTATGGGAGCCCCCCTTAAAGAGAGGGGAGGGGTCTTTAATCATCATAAGAACCTTTCCCTGCTCCAAAAACCCCTGCATACAAATTTTCACGCCGATATAGATAGATTAACGGTGGAAAATTTGCATCGTTCTGATCAATTGAAATTTTCTGGTGTAAAATTTTCTGGGGGCAAGTTTGTATTGAAAATTTAAGATTTTCAACAATCTGCTGCATGGAGAGGCAAGCTGAATTGAAAATTCCTGATGTAAAAATTACACAGTTCTGGTGAATGGAGGGGCAAGCTTTATTGAACATTTCTGGTAGAAAAACTACAAAGTTTTGGTGAATGGGCGGACAACTTCAACTTGACTTCCGAGAAGAACCTCAAGGGTATTGAATTCTGAGGGCAGTTCTAAAAGAAAAGATTTCTGGGGATGATTCCATGAAAATTCTGCGAATAATTTCAAGTAAATCCTGCAGATAGCTTCAAGATAATTTCGAAAAGAATATCGAGAGAATCAAGCTTTGAATGAAATTTCAAAGCGATGTTGAGAAAATTTTCAAGGAAATTCCGAGGATAATTTCAAGCTCATTCTGGGAAGAATTTCTGGAGAATGCAGAGGAAATTCTTCTGAAACTTAAGGGAAATTTCAGTTCCAAGGTGTTCTGAGAAAAAAAAGTTCTAAAATATTCCGAGAAGAACCTCAAGGATATTGAATTCTTATGACTGTTCCAAAATATTTCTGGGGAGAGTTCTGGGGCCTCCCATTTTATAGAGATGAACTAGCCAACGGCTAAAAATCTCTCTAATAATGCTTAAAAAAAAACAAAAAATCTGGGAAGAGTTCAAAGCAAATTCTGCCGATAATTTCTAGTGCATCTTGCACATAGTTCCAAGATAATTTCAAAAAGAATACCGAGAAAATCAAATTTTGAGGATTTTAAGCAAAATTTCCGAGGATAATTTCTAGCTCATTCAGTTCCAGGGTGTTCTGAAAAAAAATCACGTAGAGTTCTAAATATAATTTCAGTGGACTTCTGAGATGAGAGAGTTCTAAAAAATCCGAGAAGAACCTCAAGGATATTGAGGACAGTTCCAAAGGATTTCTGGGGAGTATTCTAAGAAAATTCTGCGTATAATTTCTAGTGAATCCTGCAGATAGTTCCAAGATAATTCCGAGAAAATTTAATTTTGAGTGAAATTCCAAAGGGATTTTGAGAAAAATTTCAGGGGAGTACCGATAATTTCTAGCTCATTCCGGGAATATTTTTTTTGAGGAAAATCTTCTGAAACTCTAAGGGAATTTCAGTTTCAAGGTGTTCTGAGTAAAAGTCAAGAATAGTTCTAAAACTAATTCCAGAGGACTTCTGAGAAGAATTTCAAAAGAGCTCATAGAGTTCTTAAAATTTCGAAAAGAAGCTCAAGGAATGCTGAGGACGGACTATTTTGCAACTGTACAATGTTTAAAGACTTTTGGATTCCCTAATTGAAAAGTGGGAACAGAAAAAAAGACGTGAAGCAAAGATTCCAATCTCAGAAGAAAGGTTATGTATTTGCGAATTTTTTGGTTCCACCTTCGCTAGAGCGCAGCGCTGTTGTATCAGTTACTTGGATACTGGAAAAGTTGCCAGTTGCCTTGATATGATGTCTTCGATCTAATTCTTGAATAGCATCTTAAATATTCCCTCCAAGGGTGGTACATCAGCGGCAAAAAAAACAAAATAATTCAGAAGGAGCTTGTTTTACGGACTGAACGGAGAACTCCTACAGCATTTTAAGGTGCAATTTACTTAGCTGCATTTTCAAAATTTCCGTTTCTCGGGAAATTTTGAAACCCTCATTCGAATACCCCTCACCAATTATGGCAACGAAATGTCATACTAAATGTGACGTCTATTTTTTTTCCCAGAAAAAATATTATTTTTCTCTGTAACTTTATTTTAGACGTGATTTCAATCAGAAGTGAGGTTTCCCTGCTATTTTGTTTTGGAAAATTTCAAAGACGTCATTTTGACAATTTTACAAGATCCTAAATGGACGACTTTTAGCAAAAATTTAAATAATTTTCCATAACAAACAGTCATGCAAATTGAAGAAAGTCGAGTTTTTTATGATTCGTCATTTGGCGTTGAACTGCTGAAATGGGGAAGAGTTAAACAATATGGCTTATCTCATGACCTAAGCGGAAGAGGGACAACCAACAATAAATTTGAAACTAACGATTTTAAATTGGCTCACTACTTGACTAGCCTATTGGTCCCAAGCAAACCGCCAAAAAGTTGAGCTCGTTTCTTCTGGCCTTAGAGTAACCTCTATGGAACAACTGGCTTCTTTTTGTCTGTGACGTGTTCTTCTTCTCTCGCAAAAACGACCGTGCAAAAACTATTTCACTATCGGCGCCGCAGTCGACTGTCAAAATACAAGAAAATAGATTCCCTGTTGTAAAAATTCTCGTGTTTCTATCGTTTCGATACGTTCACCTGATCCAGGTTGGAACTGCATAATAAACAAATTCGCTATAATATATTATGTTGACTCGAGTGACAGAGCTTGTTGGCGGATTAATAGAATTGACAGCTCAACTCCTAATATGTAGTCACATGTGTTTAAAATTGTTACTACGTAACAAAATAGCTGAACCTTAAGATATTAGCTCATCATTAAGCACCTTTCCATTACCTCAATACCCCTCCAATACCAATATGTTCATCTTATTGAAAACAAACCGAATGACAGACCCGCAAGTGACTCATACTGGTAAACAGGGGATTTCGTTGATCTAAGACAAAACCAAACACCAGCATTAAACTAACTTTTCTTTTATTAACACAATGCAGAAAGTGCTTGCTACATGCGGATCATTAATATTGGATCGAAGTGTGTGTGCCTGGGTTGATAAACAACAATGTGGAGAAAACGTGAAATGGTCGTTTTTGGGTTCGGTTGGCGCGATTCGTACGATTCGGAGGTTCTTACTCGGCAATTACATTGCTCTGGAGGTACTTCTGGAAGGAGCGATCGGACTCGAGCACCGGATCCGACTCCGTGATAATTTGCGTCAGCTTGGGGTTCTCCAGCATGGTGATGTGGTTGCCTTCCAGGAACTTGAGACTGACCGCTCCCTTGGTATACTCGGACAGTCCGTAGTCTTCTTCGATGTCCACGACAGACACTTCAGTTGGACGTACCAAGGTGATTGGAGACTCGAGAGGAGTTATCTTGTTGACATCGTAGAGCAGTGTGATCTTGATGCGGTTGAACAAGGCCTTCGTCATCATTCGTAGGTAAGCTTCGGAGTAGATATTTTGATCCTTGGTGAGCTCAAGTAGTTTGTCCATTCGAGCTTCAAACGAGGGACATCCACTGATGATGGGCAAAACGTCGGTCGTCTCATCGGGGTAGATGGTGTTGAGAATACCAGCGAACAGAACAATCTGAACACTTTCTTCGGTCCAATTTTCGGACATTTGATCCAGAGCCAACTTGTGCAGGAACTTGGGTGCTCCGTCGATAAGTAAGATCTTACCACGTTTACCCGTTTCTTCCAATAATCGAGCCAGCTCCAGGGTAATGAAAGCACCAAACGAATAACCCACCAGGTAAAAGTGTTCGGCTCCCTTGAACACATTCTCGATCACGTCCTGGGACAAATATTGGCAAATTTCCGGTATACTGCCCATGTCGATAGTCTTGGTCAGCTGAGTGATAAACGTGGGCAGGGTTAGTTGGGACGCGATGCTGTGCCAGGCGTTACCAGCGACACCTTCGATTCCAGGGGTTAAGATGACGCAGGCGTTGTACTTTTTGGAGTCGTTCTCCGACTGTAGACGCAGGATCGTATGTTCGCTGTTGAACTCATCACCCAAGTTACGTAGTAACATGGCCACACCGGTCGGAGTCTTCTCGTTGGCCAGCTTCAGTTTAACGTTGTCGTCAGTGGATGCCTTGGCTTCGGTCAGCTCCTGCAGCTTCATGAAGGTCAACGAACGAAGATCCTGAGGCGTTAGGAACAGTTCGTATTCGCGTTCTAGAGTTTGCTTGATTTCTACAGCCATCAGAGAGTCCATACCCAGCTCGGACAACGTAGTATCCATCGATACGGATTTGATGTCACGGATGCTCATAATGTTCATAACGGATTCTATAATGTTGTCCTTTCCACTGCTTCGTACACGTTTCTCCGCGACAACCATACTGGCGACAATTGGTTCCGGAGTTGTCAGCAGGGGATCCAGCTCCTGAAGACAGGAGGAGATTCTTTGCTGCAGAGTTCCTCCAATTTCCATGTCCAGTTTATCTTCCAGCATGTCAGCCACCAAACCAACTTCACCAACTGCTCCCCATTGAACGGCCTTGGCTGGCAAACCGTTTGCATGACGATGCTCGATGATACGTTCCATTACAGAGTTCGCCATGCCGTAGTTGCTCTGACCAGCGTTTCCTCGACCACAAGACACACTGGAGAACACTACAAAGTATGACAACTCGGGGCACAGCTTCCGGCTGAGTTCATCCAAGTACTTGGTTGCCATCGCCTTCGGGCCCATACATTCGATAAACGTTTGTACACTTTGATTTTCGAAAATACTATCACGCAGTTGAACTGCCAGATTGTAAATACCACCGACTGGACCCAATTTGGTAGCAGCTAAAAGCAATGCTTCGCATCCCTTCTTGGTGGTGATGTTTTCGGTGTTAACCAACACCTTGACTCCATATTGTTCCCAGATTCTGTAACGAAAACGAGAATAGTTAGATTAGGACAAACCTAGTACAGGCATCGCAAACTCACTTGATTCGGTAGGCTTGATACGCCTTGCTAATGCCACGGCTAGAACTCATGACTAGCTTGCGGCATCCGCGAAGTACCAACCAATCGGCCAGCTCAAGGCCGAATCCTCCCAAACCACCAGCAATCACGTACGAATGATCCGGATTGCAGTACATTCGTGGCAGATATGCAATCGGCACAGAGTATTCATCGTTCGGGTTATCCCGAATCTTCAGCAGCACCTTGCCGACGTGTTTTCCACTGGCCAGATAACGGAAGGCATTTTCGATCTCACTAGCAGGGAAGACATTGGTCTTCAAGGGCTTGACAATTCCGGCCTTGATGTCCTTTTCGACTAGATCGCGTAGTACTTGTTTTTCCTCTGGTGCTGCCGTGAACAGGAAATCTACCAAAATGGCCGTGAATGACAAAGCTCGCAAGAATCTATGCAGACCCAGCTTGCTATCATTGGCCATGTCGTATTTGCCGATTTCCAGGAATTTGCCGTATTTTCCCAAACAGCGAACCGAGGCCTGCAATTTATCCTCCGACAAGGAATTCAGAACGTAGTCAACTCCTAGACCGTTGGTGCGAAGCATAATCATCTTCTCAAAGGAAGTGTCACGAGAGTTTCCGATGTTTTCTGGCTTTAGCTTCGGGAATGTTTGCAACAGGAAGTCTCGTTTTGCTTGCGTGCCTACTGTAGTGTAGACCTCTAACCCGTATGCCTGACACACATTGATGGCTGCTAGACCAACCCCTCCACTACCAGCGTGGATCAGGATGGACTGTCCCTTCTGGATGTTTGCGTTGAGGAACAGTGCAGTGTACACGGTACCGTAGACTACCGGTACAGTAGCCGCCTCTTCCAGGGTCCATTTGTCTGGAACAGCCCACGTCAGTGATTCATCGCATTCAACATGGGTAGCCATAGCTCCGGTGGTAAGCATACCCATCAAACGGCGACCGCTTTCTGCGATACCGGAGTATTCGAAACCCAGATCGCACTGCTGTTCGAGGCGAGACAAATTAGCAAAGTCGGCCGTCAATTTACCCGACGCGAACATCACATCACGGAAGTTCAACGAGCTGTAGGATACTTTAACTAGTTCACCCTTTGGTCTACTTTGGTTGAACGGTCCACCCAGCCAGGTCATCGACGAAAGATCTCCCTTAGTTAGAGCATTGGCGTAGCAATGATCACGTCTTGGTTTGGTCACAATGGGCTGTAGTAGCTGCAAGTGACGGTAAGTTCCCCAACGACCATTACGGTATACATTCAAGGCAAGCCCAAGCTTCAGATGTGCCTTGTAGAATGGGTTGTCGAGTTCAAATGACGGTGCCTTCGGGTCATCTACGAATACGCAGCTCACCATTCCACCATCAGGTTCCTTACGGATACAGTTAACCAGACCGATGATTCCAGACATGCTGTCACTTTGAGACACGGCAATCACGGAACCGTGCTTCATAGCTTCCCGTAGTTTCGGAACCCATTCAAACTTGTCGTCATTAGGAATGTGTACGATGGTTGGGCTTCCCATGTACTTGCGCTTGATACGTTGAAGCAGGACATATGTCTCATCTTCAACCGGGATCAACGCAATCAGCTGGTATCCGGCTGGCGCAACTACGCTGTCAAGTACAAGATTTGCACTTTCTCGTGATAGAATAAATCCACTGTCATGTAAGCTACCAGCCGCTTCTTCGAACAATTCTGGGCGACCCAAGCAGTTGACGGAAACTAGGAATAGGCAGTTGGATTGAGTTGACAGTTTACCATCTTCAACGTGCACTCCGGCCAGAGTTAATTGTTGCTGAGAGAGGAACATCAAGTCAGCTGTGACGAGCGGAAGATCTCCAAGGGCTTCAGCAAACAATGGAGTAATCGGAGTATCGTTGTGGAAGTCAGTCTCCACGGCCTTAACCTTCGGTACGGGAATGTTTTCCAAGGCCAGCTGAACGCACACTCGTACGGCATCGGCTTTAGACATCTTCGGTGCTGGAAGATGCGAGATGAACTGGTACGATTCCAACACTGGATAACCTGGAGGCTTCCTCCGTCCGACGGTGCTTGCTTGCAGTCCAATGACTTCGATTCCACCGCAGCGGATTGTGTTCAACACATCAGAGTACTTGAAGTCGAACACTTGCTGTCCTTCTTCCATTGTGTTGGCGATCGCCAGGTGCATCTTCGGATCGATGCGCATACGCTCGATTCCTGTCGGGATCATCAAGGAACGAGTATCTTTACCGACGATACAGCACTGCAGTAAACAATCGAGGAAGGATACCCAATTCAGCTCCCAGTTGACTTTTCCGCAACGAGCGTCAGCTCGAGCTTCCTGCACCGCCCGGAAGGCTCCATTGTAATGGTAACCGCGAAGGCGGAGTTCCTTGTAGAAGTCACGACTGGACAGCATGGGGAAGTCACTCTCCGGTGGATCCGGAATTTCCGACAATTGAATGTTCTCGACGTGCTTAACGTAGCCAGTTACGACTGCAGCCGTTCCTTCCGTGATCTATATCCGATATTATAGTATCAATCCGGGTTAAAAAAGTGTATTCGAACTGAGAACTTACCTCAAATCTTCCGGTACCTGGTTGCAGCATAACCGTGAACTCAATTTCCTGATCCTTGGCGATGGAAGTCGCCCGCAAGAACTTGACATCTTCGAACTCTACCTCCAAGTCGAAGTACATGGGACCCTTAACCATGGCAAGAGTTTCCCAAGCCAGATGCAGGTATGCCGTAGCGGGGAACAGTACACGTCCGTCTATGATATGACCGGAAATGTAGCTGAAGTCCTGATCGCTGAGCTTGATCTTTACGCGACGCTCTCCACTCTTGGATGACTTTTGCATCTCGAACTTGGTAACGAACCAGTCTTCGCTGTGATCCCAACGTACCAGGTGAGAGATTAGTGGAGTTCCCCGTGAAACGGGATATTCTACTTGAGGGTACATGCGAGACACCGGGATATCCAACCCGTTGACGTACAATCTAGGCGTGTTAAGAATGAGAGTTATATGATATACGGACAAATGATTACTGTAAAAAAAAAACAACTTACTTTCCAAGAGCGTTGAACAGGTATTGTACGTTGTCTTTGTTGCCCCGTTTCGTCAATCCAATATGAACGGCATTTGGCATAGACTTCTTCAGGATAGCTTGCAGTAGTCCATGGGGGGCTACCTCAATGGTCATGGCATTATTCGGGAGCAGAGCGGACGTTTCTTCAAACAGAACCGAGCTCAACAGGTTGTTGGTGTGGTAGTGAGCTGAGGAGTACTGGCTTTCCGGTTGATCCCAACGGATCTTCGGTACCGAGGAGCTCAACCATTTAGCTGAACGTTTCTTCGGTTCCGGAATCACTTCGTTCAGTCGGGCTAACAGCCTCGGTCCCATTTCAGCGATGTATTTGCTGTGATAGGGAATGTTCGAGCAGGGAACTTCCTTGGCAAAAATTCCCTTGCCAGTCAGTTCCTTGACAAAGGCCTCTACATTTTCTTTAGGTCCAGAAATGGTACACGAGTCGGGACCGTTGTGACAGGCAACCTCAATGCCTGGTGGGATCATGGTTCGGATCTTACGGTAACCCAAGCCAACAGCAGCCATGGAACCGAACACGGTTTTTGTCTCCAAGCTGGCCATACCTCGGGAGTATGCGGACAAAATCATTTGTTCAGCCGTGAAGCACCCGTCAGCGTATGCACAACCCAATTCACCGACAGAGTGCCCAATCACGAAGTCGGGTTCAATATCCAGTGATCGGAGGACATCTACGATACCGATTTGAACAGCGGCAATTCCGACAAACGAGTGCAGAATGTTTTCGTATTTGCAATCCTTCGAGGTAAGGATTTCCATCAGATTCAATCCCTTCTTGTCCAGCACGCGATGGCAGTTTTCAACGGAGTTTCGGAAGATTGGGATCTCCAACAGCGAAGTACCCATCTCGGTCCACTGTGATCCCATTCCGCTGAATACCCAAACCAGTGGACGCTTCAGACCGGTGTAGTGCTGACAGTCGCGTCCCAAGCAAAGGGCATTCTCGGTGCCGTTCTTAGCATAAACTCCGTAGCCTCGGAACACATTGCCGGGAATGGACTCACTCTGAACGCTATGCACCAAAGATACGTATTCGGCGTCCAGATGTCTATTACTCATGTCAGTCAGAATAGCATCGATGGCCTCCTCAGTTCTACCAGACCATGTGACCAATCTTGGAAGATTATCCTCCGGAATTCCACCGTTGACCTTTACCTTCGAGTTACCCTTGAGCAGAGCATGTGCATTGGCACCTCCAAAACCGAATGAGTTCACAGCAATCAAGTTTCCTTCCAGAGGCGTATTCTCCGCTACAACGGCTAAACGACCCTCAACCAGCGATGGAATATCACTTCTGATTTCGCCAAAGTTGATGTTAGGTGGGATGACTCTATTTTCAAATGCCAACACAGACTTGATGATGGAGCAGATTCCTGAGCTGGACTCGGAGTGGCCAATGTTAGACTTGACAGAACCGACCGGCAGCGGCTTCGTACGACCTGTGCAGAAAATCTTATCCAACCCAGCGCACTCCTCGGGATCACCAACAACGGTACCGGTACTGTGAGCTTCTACGTAATTGACGGTCGATGGATCAATGGCGATTTCTTGGTAGAACTCGGAAAGCAGCTTACGTTGCATCGTTCCCGATGGGTAGGTGATACCTTCCTCTTTGAATCCGTCGCAGTTGGTCTTCGAGTAGACGACATCTGCGTACACACGTTTAGCGTCCTTGGCTTTCTGTAGGAAGACTACGCAGATAGCTTCTGAACGTGTATAACCGGAAGCATCTTTGTCGAATGGCCGACAGTAGCCATCAGAGGCCAGTACACCGAGACGAGCAAACTGCAGCGTTACGTACGGATGCAACAGTAGGTTAGAACCTCCAACAATTGCTGCATCACATTCACCATTGCGAATGGCATTAAACGCACAATCCAGGGCGTACATAGAGCTACTACAAGCCGTATCCAGCAGGAAGGAAGGACCGTTCAATCCCATGGTGTATGAGATACGGTTCGCCATCATAGCACGGGAACAACCGGTGATACCGAATCCCCCGGATGAGATCTTCTCGTAGAACCAGGTTTTCTCCGATTCAGCAAAGCAAGCTCCGACGAACACTCCGGTTCGCGATCCACGCAGACTTTTCGGGTTCACACCGGCATCGATGACGGCTTCGTACGCGTGTTCCACCAGGATACGACATTGCGGATCCATGGTGTGGGCCTATGGGTTTGACGATATGAATTCGATACGTGTTGGTGATTTGGACATTTACGTTACAAATCGACAGACTTACCTGCTTGAAGTGCACTCCGAAGAACGTGGCGTCGAACTTCTCCAGGTTGTTCACCTTGCCCATGCGGCGAGGAATTTCGACGTTGCTATGACGCCAACGCGTTTCCAAATCGTCTACCATGTCAATCTTGTTGTACAGATTGTAGGCATAATCCTTGACATTGTCCGAATTCGGGAAACGCCCAGAAATACCGGAAATGACAATCTCTGCACCCGCAGCCGGCGGCTTAGCACGGTGTTCGATCGCAGGGTTTTCAATTCTTGAACCCATTGTTGTAATAATTTGTACTATTTCTCAGTCCCAACACAAATCACTTCACTGGAAGCTCCAAATCAAATAATCGCACTTAACACTAGTTCCTCTCCACCAAAGAACCAAAACCGTCCCCAAAACTACACTTAATCCACGTCACCACAAACTAATCCACACGATGCGCGCGTTTCCAGTTCCGTCCGAATCCTTCCTTAAGCGCCTGCCTGAGTCCTGCGTCCGTATCCGGTCAAACTGGGAATCCACTATTCATTGACAATGAACTTGCAAACCGTTGAAATAACCGTACCGTAGCGTAGACGAGTAACGAACGATAAATTTGCACACAATCCGGAGACAGTTCGGAAAGAAAGCCACAGAAGAACTCAGCGGCGCAATGACCAGTACGCTTGTGAACGAAATACCAGAGGCGGTAACCGTTTTATAGCGGTGACCTGCACGGCCAATACGGGGCGACTTTCGATTAACGATTCCATGCATCTGATTAACTCCGCTTTACTTTCATTAAGCTTTGACCGGTAAACGTGCGCGGTACCTAAAGTGGAATTTGCGTGCGCTTCCTGCGTCAACTGCAATAGGTGTGCATCGTTCTGCAGATTATGGATGCTCCTTGGACAGTTCAGCTAGATTCAGAAGCATAATTTTAACGGAAATCTCGGGACATTATTGCGATGGGGATGATAGTGTTGCCCGTCACAAGTACACATTGACGTTCGTTGTATATAATCAGTGAAGACTCCGAGAAGGCATGTTTAACCTTTCTGACCCCACGGAGTGGCCGATGGAAACGTGCATTCTTTTTTTCAGTTTATACAATGTTTCGTCCAAGGTATTCGGGTAGCGTCGCATGTTCGGTAATATGCTTATCGTGGTAAGTTAACTGAATTTTATGTAAATTTTGACGGCATTGCTTTGTTTTGTATAATTTGAATACATTAATTTTTCGGTCTTTCATATCGGTTTAGCTTGATACATTGGAAGTATATTGAACTTCGTTCAGATTTGGATGTTTGACCAATATTTTTAAACATCGAACCTGTAAGGTGTAACCATTTTGAGATTTCGTGTGTGGCGTTTCTGATCTTTGCATCAAAAATGTTTGTATCTATCATAAAACAATGAAGAGATTGAGTACCGTTTGAGTAACCATTACTGGTTGCAGCCCCTTACAAAATCTGCACGTCGCTAAGAAGTGTTTCGCACCTAAATTGCAAAACATAGCCATTTCATGTGCGTATCTTATGATTTAAATAATTCCACAACACTATAAATGCAATTGTTCAATACTTGGATTTCATTCGCTATCTTGGTTTCCAAAATGGTAGTGAACATCAAATCTCAGCTTCTACTCGTCAAGCCCACCCTAATATTTATTTAAGATTATTTTGCTTATCATAGTAAGGTATCATCCGAACCATTTGTCGAATAGTTCAATCATTTGGGTTATCGTTCGGGTTGGTATATTTTTTATTATGGCATTGGTTCAAACGCGAATTCGTTGTCCGCTAGCTTCCATATTGGATTCAAATCCAATATCTTAATTATAGATCTGTCATCTTGAATGTCGGAATGTCCTGTTTTCAGAAGCTAGCTGTGGTCAGCCCTTACCAATAACTGGCTTGGTGGATACTTGGGCAGATTGCAGTGTGTATTACACGCAGGGAAATGAGTATAAGAAAACCAAAATTCAAACATTATGTAAACTCAAAAATGAAGCAAACTAAACTTTCATAAGTCACTTATGCGTTGCATATAAGACATCTCAGTTTTCATTATTTGGACATAAACCATTCATGCACCACATGTTTGAATTTCATTATGCGCATTATGAAAGTTGGAAGAGTGTTTATTTGAAAAAAATCATAAGGGACGTTATAATATTTAGAGCCAAAACTCAAGATGGAAGTGGCTATTGAAGACGGTACTGGATGCAAACAAGTCGAAGTTATGTCAATTTTTTTTGCAGCGAGAATTATTCGAAAAGTTACCATTAATAAGGCAGGGGTCAACAGAATCATTAGTGAGGACGCCGTCTTTTCATGTAATTTAGAATTCTACTGTGGATCCAATGCATGATTTATTCAGCAATGGAATCTGTAAACACAGTTTTTCGGCATTTCAATTTTCATTCGCTTGGTGTCACAATTCATAATGTAGGTAATTGAAAGTGTATGCTTCAATTTTCGAAATTCTTAATGTGTCATTATGAACTAAGCTATGCATTATGATGATTTCATTACCAAATCCTTAAGAAATTCCTACGAATTGATTTGCCCAATAAATTTGATTTCATAATGTATCGTATTGAACATCATGAGAATTGCTTGTGGCTAATTTTCAAAAGATATTTTAATGAATATCTTATGTGCATTTACCTGCGTGTAGTCCCATAAGAGGGAATAACGTAACGGCGGCAAATGATCATTCAGCACACATCACAAACCAACACAATATGCAACCATCGTGGCAATGAAGGAGTAGACGATACAGCAGCAAACGAACGAGAAAGATCCTTGAGATCAGGGATGCAAGGTTTATTTAGAAAAAATCACAAAATTTCTTCGGATGTCTTCACTGCTACTTTTGAAATTTGCTAGCAGTGGAAAGTCCTCAATATTTCAGATTCATAAAACTGAGCCTATACTGAAGTTCAAGGAACTTCTTCGAAGTCAAGGACAGTTCGAAAAAGTTAATAGATCATCGTTTGACTTCAGCGAGATTCATAGACGGTCTGGAAACTTCGCAAACATTCAGTGAATATTGTAGAACTTCAAGGAACTTCATAGGTCTTTAAAATACTTCGTAGAATTAAAAAAAAACTTCGTTAGAAGTTCAGGGCACTGCGTAGAATTTCTGGAAACTTATTTGTGAAGTGCTGAGAATTGTGTCGAACTTCGTAAAAGTTCAATAACTTTCTGAAAATTTAATAGAAATTCAGGGAGCTTTGTGAAAATTAGAGAAAACTTCGTAGAAGTCCGAACTTTGTACAAGTTTGGGAACTTTGTTTATTTTCAGCAAACTACATAAAAGTTTCGGGACCTTCTTTAAAATACAGGACACTTTGTTAATAGCTTTTAAATAGTTCCGTACAAGTTCAGTTAACTTTGTAGAACTTCAGAGGACTTCGCAGAAAATCAATAAAATTCTTAAAAATCCAGGAAACTTTGTAGAAGTGCACTGAATTTCATAGTAGTTCAGTCAAAGTAGAAGTTTTAAGAAAAAACTTCGATTGATTGATTGATTTCCTTATTATAGAGACTTTCAGCCGTTGGCTGATTCGTCTCTGAAAAGATAGTGTGGGGTCCAGAAGGGACCTCATCTAGTTACAAAGTTTTTTTTTTTTTCTTTTTTTATCATGTTAGGAGGTCTATAAGAGGCCTCCTCTAGTTAAATACTGAGGCTGTCAATGTGCTGTCTTTCTTCGGAGTTTTGGTTGTTAAGTTGCTGAGGATCTTGCTTTGGTTTGAGATGTTGGGTGATAAGAGAAAGTCCATTTGTATTGCGGTGGTCGGGTTTTTGGCAGGTTTCATATTTGGTCGAAAAGGCCGGCCTCGCGGAGGAAGCCCATTAATGCTGTGATTCTAGTCGGGTCGTTACTCAGTGCGTCCTTAATGCTGCCCGGTATGCCGTACAGCACTCGTGAGCCTTCGTATTGAGTACAGTGGCAGATTATGTGTTCCACTGAACAGTTGGTGCGGCAGAGCTCACAAAATTTCCGGAACGGGCCGCTCCCAGAAAAGTTATGCGAGACACTGGTATGGCCTGTTCTGAGTCTTGCCAGGACAACCTGAGTTCGGTGGTCAGGGGGGTCTTGCCATCTTCGTGTGTCAGCCTTCACTTTTCTAAGGAAAATGCTAGTTGATTGGGAGCATGTATTTGACCATAAGTCCCAGATTTTGTTGGCAACCCATTTTTTCAGGTCCCCTGATGGAACCTCCTTGGTGAACAGTTGGGCTCGTCTTCCAGAAGCTGCTAGATGATCCGCCTCCGTATTACCACGAATGCCGCAGTGTCCCGGAATCCATACAAATGTAGTGTTTCTGGGGGCATATCGCTGAATGGCTTGGATCCATGAGTGCTTAATAGAGTCTGAGTTGAGGGCTAAAACTACACTTGCGGAGTCCGTAAATACGGCAATCGGCTTGTTTGAGGGAGTGGTAGCAGCAATAAAAGCAGAGACCGCTTCTGCCGAGAATATAGTGTACTGGTCTGGAAGTCGATGAAGTACGGACATTTGGGGTCCCGTGATGCCGATGCCAACCCCTTCACGGGAAACCGATCCATCGGAGTAACGGATAGTGTGGTTGCAGTATCTGGTTCTCTGGAGTTCCGCGACGGATCTCACAAGTGCCGTAGAGTTTGATCCTGCCTTGAACTTCTTCTTTATCGCCAAGTCGATAATGGGCCCGGGCAGGTTCCAATCTCTGGTTCCACACCAATGTAAGCTAGACACCGGGGGGAGCTCCAGATTGGTGGTGGCTGAAAGGAGTTGTTTGGCCTCGGTAAGGAGGAAAACTCCTTCATCTGAGCCAGCTGTCTTCTCCTCGAAGCTAATTGATCGGTTACAGATGGTCTGAGTAACTAGAAGGTTGAATGGTAGTACCCCACTTTCCACGCAAGCTGCAATTGCAGGCGTGGATGGTAGTAGGCCGGATGAGATACGGATTGCTTGGTGGTATGTAGAGGCTAGTTTCGTAATAAGTTGTTCGCGAGCGAGACAGGTAACTTCGATTCCATAAAGGAGACGTGATTCTAAAATTGTTCTAGCAACTCGAAGACGAATGGGCCGGTTACTGTCTGGGTGTCGACCTGCGATGGATCGTAGCAGATTAAGACGTGTCTTGCAGGCTTTCTTGACTTCGTCAAAGTGGGCAGAAAAGGTCAAATATCGGTCAATTCGAACTCCGAGAATACGGGCTGACCTCCTGATGGGAATAGCTGTACCATTGATACAGATGGGAGTGTTAAGGACGGCATGATGGTGAGAGCAGATGTGCACTAGTGTGCATTTTTCGGCTGAGAGTTGGAAGCCAGTAAGTGATGTCCTCAGGGAGACTGCCCTTGTGGCAGCGCCCATCTTTCTACGTAGTGCCTTTATGGTTTTGTGAGTGATCAGGAGGATAATGTCGTCAGCGTACACAAAGATGTAAATTTCCTTAGGAAGGTTAACGAAAACTCCATTCATACAAATTAAGAAAAGGGTGACCGCGATAACCGAACCCTGCGGTACGCGAGTCTCCTCTCGGAATGTTGCGGAACGGTGGTTTCCCAGAAGTACCTGAAAGGTGCGGTTTGCCAAGAAATTCTTCACGAAATGCATCAGGTGCCCGCCAAGGCCCCAATCAGCCATTTGTCGGATGACATCTGGCATCCAAGCTCTATTATATGCTTTTGCTATGTCTAAAGCTGCCAGTTCGACATGGTGTCCGCTCGAGGTAGCGTCATCAAGGGCTTGGGCAAGTGTGGTGAAGTACGTGTATGTACCGTGTCCTGGACGAAAGGCGTGTTGACGGTGGTCAAGTAGGTCCCTGGATTCTAGAAAGTTCATCAGTCGTCTATTTACCATCCTTTCCACGATTTTGGAGGCACAGCATGTGAGGGAGATCGGCCTGGAATCACTAGCTTGTCTGCCTTGCTTTCCTTGCTTGAGGATCGGGACCACAAGACTGTGCTTCCAATCCTGAGGCAGGGAGTTGTGCAGCCACTCCTGGTTGATTAGATCTAGAAGCTTGCGCCTTCTGGTGGTAGATTCCGGAGCAAAAGATAGCCCACCTCGTCCGGGCCCGCAGAATTGCCTTTAGCCTTTGATAAGGCTAGAGCGAGCTCGTTCATCCGGAAGGGTTCGTTTATTTCCGGAAAAATTGTTTCCTCTGGAATTGGCATGCTGGCTATCGGGGGTGTCGAAGCAACTTTTTTCCTACGGAAGCGTTCTTCGTAGCCTTCAACGCCTGATAGAGAGGCAAAGTATTCTCCAAGCACATCGGCAATAGTATCTGAATCGCGGGTAATTCCTCCTTCATATTTAAGAGCGATTCCCCGGTTTTTTCTCTTCCCACTTAAAGCATTAACCTTTCCCCACAGAACTTTGTAGAAGTGCACTGAATTTCATAGTAGTTCAGTCAAAGTAGAAGTTTTATGAAAAAAACTTCGAGAAATTTAAAAAAAATTAGCAATTTACGGAGCTTTGTAAAACTTCACAAAAGTGCCGGGAATTTCGTAAAAGTTCATGGATCTCTTAAAAGTTTGGCAAACTTTGTAGACATTCAGCGAACTTGTTAGCAGTTCAGGGAATTTCGTAGAACCTCAGGATATATATTGTAGAAGTTCAGCACACTAGGAGAAATCATTTCAAAAAAGCTTTTTAAATTTCATGAAAGTTTTGGGAACTTCGTATCCGCCTAGGTGTTCAGGAAAATTATTAGAAAATTTTCAGGATCTTTCCGGAAATTTGGAGAAATTTATGGATATTCTGAGATCATGGTTGAATCGACTGGTCGATCAACTTCAATGCTCATGGTTCGAATCTGGGCTGCGGAACCAGATTATTTTTTAACAACATTATGAACCAGAAGACAAATCAATGGAATTCATACCGATATCTTGAGGCTAAAATTCATAAGGCAATATTTTGAATCTGGATACTTTATTTGAAACTTATTGGTTGTTCAGAGAACTTTGATCAAAGATTAAAAATGGGATCTCTCAGATATTTTCCGAAGACGGCAGGTTGGTTAGGAAGTATTTAAAAGATCTTCAGCTGATCGGGGATTTCAATAAAGTCCTCTGAATATTTTTCAAGTCTTCAGATTGATCAACTATTATTGTGAAATAATGTTCTTTCCTTTATTTAACGTCTGTCTCTGTTCCGCTATCTAGTGCCAATCACGGACGGACATCAATTGGCATGCATTGACGGCAATCGAATATGTGAGAAGGCAGCATCCATACCTGCGTAGGATATCGCACCCATTCACAACACACATGGGCCGTGACCAACAGCTTTACTTCCCTTCCGAAGGAAGACGTGAACAGAGATTTTTATGCTTCAGAAAAATCCCACCGACCTCGGCTGGGATTGAACCCAGTTCCATTGGGCTGAGAAATCACGCTTACCACTACACCACCGGCGCCGGCTTTTGTGAAATATTATTAGTATTGTGAAGTATTATTATTCTCCCAAAATGGAACTTTAATCAGCAAGCATTCAAAATATCTCTTTATTCATACTCGACATTTTAAATGAGGAGCTTAAAGATGAAGTCAAAATCATCGTATATATATGTCTGCTTAAAAATCAAAAATCCTTCAAAAGTCTTCTTCAATTACAACATGAAATGTCTCCAAACTGGAGACATGTTTTCAAATCTGGCGTCCCTGCATGGGAACGCTTGAAGTGGTGGTACACGGAGATGAAAAACTATCCATAATTAAGTACTTTTCCTCAATTCCTAAGTTCAGACCAATAAACCAAATTTGAGTAAATCACATATAGTCTTCTTCTTCTTGTTCGCATTTCAAGCTTATTGCTTAGCGCATATTAGCTTATTGCGTGCGCTCAACTTAGTGTTCTCAATGCACTTCCACAGTTATTAATTGAGAGCTTTCGATGCCAATACCAATGCATGAATTTGTATATTGTGTGGCAAGCACAATGCTGCTCTGACCAGGGAAGTCGAGAAAATTTCCAACCCGAAAGATTCCCTCGACCGGACCGGGAATCGAACCCGCCGCCTCCGGCTTGGTAATACCGTGCCTTTACTGACTAGGCTATGAGGCCCCCTAGTACTTTCCATTTAAAACCAGCAAAAAAATTACTTACTCTAAAGTATATTCTACCCAAAATTAAGTTTAATTCACTTAAATTTGAGAATGCCATTTACTCAAAAGTAACTTATTTGGCTGAACTACATAGTTGGGTCGAATCTCTCGTTCCTTTTTTGAAAACAATAACATATGCAAGTGCTCAACTCAAAATCGAGTAAAAAGAATTCAAATGTTGGGTAGTATTTTTTCTCCGTGTAGGGCGATCTAGTAAATCTTATATGAAATCTTAATTTTCTTAATAGCACAGTATTTCTCGATGTAGACTTCTCCTATGGGAAGTAAATTTTCGGCTCTAAAGAAATGTCGAACACTTTCAAACAAATGCTTGCACATTTTTAAATACAATCAGAATGGCCCTGCTCATAGTTTTATTAAGCCTTATCGTGGACACAGATTGTTCTTTCCTCCGTCAACACAGAGACACGTTCCCGTGATGAAGCTGGCAGTATCTGCGGCTAGGAAAGCAATGGCAGCAGCCACTTCCGACGCTTGGCCTACCCGTCCAAGTGGGTGACTTTTCTCGCAATTCTTCAGATATGTTGCATAATCGGCTGGACTCATACCCAAGCGATTATGAAAATCCGTTACAATAACCGCTGAAAATAAAATTGAGAATGATAACAAGAAACTTACAAACCCGTGTTTACTTCATAGTTGGCGTAGCCTACCTGGATTGACCGAATTTACTCTGACTTGCTTCGGCGCAAGATCGAGCGCAACGCATCTCGTAAATTGATCCAGTGCGGCCTTCGAAACACAGTAGGCCAATACGTTCGCGAATGCTCTAGTCCCGGCGATACTTGAAACGTTAACAATATTGCCTTTACTCTTGATAAGATGAGGCACAGCCAACATCGTCAGGTGATAGACGGCTCTCACGTTGGTTTGCATAATCTCGTCGTACTGTTCCAGGCTAGTGGTTTCGATGCCTGCATACTTTCCTATACCGGCATTGTTCACCAGGACATCCAGTTTGCCGAATTTCTTGATGGTCTCTTCGATCACACGACTGTTATCCTCGGTTTTGGTGACGTCGGCCACCAGAAGAAAAGGCTTCTGCTTTCCCAGAGCCTGACATTCCGCTCCAACTTTATTGAGATTTTCCGCATTTCTTCCGATCAAGACCACCGAACCGCCCAACTCGGTTAGATATTTTGCAGTGGCAGCACCGATACCACTACTAGCTCCCGTGATGAGCACTACTTTACCGGAGAAATCCATGCTGCTTGAGATGAGCGTTATGACTGAAATTTGCGTTAGTGGGTGGACAGCGTTTTATTCTGTAAATAATTTCCTATCTACTATGGGCAGTGCATTGTATTGCACGACGAACGCTATCCGTCAAACAGCTATAGATCCATTATCAAATGGTTCCCATACTCAAATATAGACTTTATGATTAAACAAGCAAACTCAAGCTGACCAACACACAAAAACATCTCTATAGATAACGCTGGCCAAAAGTATTGATCATTATCTTGAACAATGCAAGTAAAATGTAAATGATTACAGAAAAAATTGTCATGCAATCCACTCACGTAGGAAACAGTCATATCGCACAAGTCAACCAGAATGGATTTCTCCGGTAAAGTAGTGCTCATCACGGGAGCTAGTAGCGGAATCGGTGCTGCTACTGCCAAATATCTAACCGAATTGGGCGCTACAGTGGCTATGACCGGAAGAAATGCGGAAAACCTCAACAAAGTTGGAGCAGAATGCGAGGCTGTGGGAAAGCAAACGCCCTTGCTTTTGGTAGCCGACGTGACCAAAACTGATGATAACAGTCGTGTGATTGAGGAAATCATCAAGAAATTCGGTAAATTGAATGTCCTGGTGAATAATGCCGGTAAAGGGGCGGTTGGAAGCATTGAAACTACCAGCCTGGAACAATACGACGATATTCTGCAAACCAACGTGAGAGCCGTCTATCACCTGACGATGCTGGCTGTGCCTCATCTTATTAAAAGCAAAGGCAATATTGTTAACGTTTCAAGCGTCACCGGTACTAGATCTTTCCCGAACGCCTTGGCCTACTGTGTTTCGAAGGCCGCACTGGATCAATTCACGAGATGCGTTGCGCTCGATCTTGCGCCGAAGCAAGTCCGAGTAAATTCAGTTAATCCAGGTAGGCTACATTATTTATTACATCGATTTTTGTTTACTTATTATCTTCCATATTATTTGCAGCGGTTATTGTAACGGATTTTCAACAGCGCGTGGGTATGAATCCGACGGATTATGCAACATTTTTGAAGCGCTGCGAACAAACCCACCCACTTGGTCGGGTGGGTCAAGCGCCGGAAGTCGCTGCTGCTATAGCATTCCTAGCCTCAGACACTGCCAGTTTCATCACGGGAACGAACCTCTGTGTTGACGGTGGAAAGAACATTACCAGTTAGTGATAAAGCAATCCTCATACAGCTATGAGTAGCGTTAAATCACGCATTAAGAAACTATTAATAGTTTTAATGACCCGATTTTGTCAGCCCTCTTATTGGAAATCGTGAATCCTGGCGAACCAGCCAATGGCTGAAAGCCTTGTAAATAAAGGAAAAAAAAAAAAAAAAAAAAAAAAAAAATCGTGAATCCATGCATGGTCTTATTGCATCAAAGTATTCCTCAAACATCCATCTTGAAGATGAATGAAAAAGATTTGGAATTACGGTTATGTGAAATTTTCGAAAGATAAAAGTATGATGCGCGAAGGAGCTGATAAAATCGGGTCATTACTGTATCTGAAATAAATACTTTTTTCCCATCACTACCTAAACTTTAACGATGATTATAGAAAATACAAACATATTTTATATTTAGCATACCAAGCAAGTAAATGAAGAGGATATGCAGAAGTATATTCGGTCTCTAGTAACAACGGATGTCGAACAATTCTTCCCCTTCCCGATGACGGGAGGACGTGGCTGACGCCGTTATTGACCATATAAACTAATAGAACCATCAAAAAAGAACGGATAACACATCCCAAGCCCCATTAATTCGGATCAGTGTGCAATTTTAATGGCTTTTGTCAATCACGGAGTAGCCATACGAAATTTTAGGTTAAATAACCCAGCTCATGATCAAGCTCTTTTCTGATTGGATATGTCGCAAGATGCGATGTTTAGCTCAATCCTAATTGAAAATCCGATGCTAGTCCTTGAATCCATGTTCATGAGGAGATATCAGAAAATTTCATAATGAAGCATATGTGGCCCTGGACATTCAGTATTCTCGATGAACATTTCAAATGGTCCTATCTGCTTTGATCGATTCTCTTCATCGACTTTCTCTTTTCATAACCACTGCTATGCAAACAGATTTCGCGCTAATTTTACCACATAGTTTGATAAAGGAGGTTCTTATCTAGCGTCCAAAACGTCAAATACAACAAGGAATGGTTTTGCAGCTGAGTGATTGACGAAAGAGAAAGTCGATGAACAGAATCGATCAAAGCAGATAGGACCATTTGAAATGTTCATCGAGTATTGCACAATGGGTTATAGAGTATTTATCGTTTCTTAGGTCTTAATGGAGGTCCCTGCTCGGGTCTCTGACGGTGTGCGACAATTGGCAAGGCATCATGTTACCGTGTATTGTTCTCAAATCGGATATAGGAGAAGATCGACGCGACTCTCCGGCGCAGCAGGCTGGATTCCGTGCCAGAAGATCTTGTGTGGACCATATTTGCACGCTCCGCATCATCCTGGAGCAGGTCAACGAATTCCAAGAGTCCAAGAGTAATCATTGACTACGAAAAGCTTTCGACCAAATCAAACACGAAAACCGTTGGGCGCCCTGAGACGCAAAGGAGTCCCGGATAAAATCGTCAACCTCATCGAAGTCCGATCCGGGGAGTCACAGGTGTACGGCAAGGATGTAATACACCGCACCGCTACTGTTCCTCATCGTGACCGTGTACCGAATTTACTTGCTCCGGTGATGAGCACAACTTTACCGGAAAAATCCACGCTAGTAATATTGGCGCACAGATACCTTCAACATATGTTTACTAGATAATGTAGTCCAGGTCTACCTGTTAAATTTCGTAGCCACTATTTCTTAAAGAAGGAATCTATTTATGAAATTTTGCCTACTAATTACCAGAATCTATACTTAATCTAGCAAAATCTCGTTTGTCCTAATTAAGATCATCTTTGATATAGGAAAATGTATCATTTCGCGAATTTTAGAAAGAGATCGTCAGGATGTATGAAGGGTTATAGATAGAAAGTCTCTTTCTCACCTGCGTTCCATGAGTTAGAGAGAGACATCCGTCAAACAGCTATTGATCCATTATCAAATGGTTCCCGTCGTTCCCATACTCAAATATATACATAATGATTTAACATGCAAACTCAAGCTGACCAACACGCACAAACATTTCTATAAAGATAACGTTGGCCAGAAGCATTGGTCATTATCTTGAACAATGCAAGTAAATCGCAGACCACGTAGAAAACAGTCATATCGCACAAGTCAATCAGAATGGATTTCTCCGGTAAAGTAGTGCTCATCACGGGAGCTAGTAGCGGAATCGGTGCTGCTACTGCCAAATACCTAACCGAATTGGGCGCTACAGTGGCTATGACCGGAAGAAATGCGGAAAACCTCAACAAATTTGGAGCAGAATGCGAGGCTGTGGGAAAGCAGAAGCCATTTCTTTTGGTAGCCGACGTGACCAAAACTGAGGATAACAGTCGGGTGATTGAAGAAACCATCAAGAAATTCGGTAAACTGGATGTCCTGGTGAACAATGCTGGTAAAGGGGCGGCCGGCAGCATTGAAACTACCACTTTGGAACAATACGACGATATTATGCAAACCAACGTGAGAGCCGTCTATCACCTGACGATGCTGGCTGTGCCTCATCTTATCAAGAGTAAAGGCAATATTGTTAACGTATCAAGCGTCGCCGGGACGAGATCTTTCCCGAACGCTTTAGCCTACTGTGTTTCCAAGACCGCCCTGGATCAATTCACGCGGTGTGTTGCACTTGATCTTGCGCCGAAGCAAGTCCGAGTAAATTCGGTCAATCCAGGTAGGCTACAATATTTATTACATCGATGAATGTAAAACCATTATTTTTCTTATTGTTTGCAGCGGTTATTGTAACGGATTTTCACCATCGTGTGGGTATGAATGCCGCTGATTATGCAACATATTTGAAGCAATGCGAACAAACCCACCCACTTGGTCGGGTGGGTCAAGCGTCGGAAGTCGCTGCTGCTATAGCATTCCTAGCCGCAGACACTGCCAGCTTCATCACGGGAACGAACCTCTGTGTTGACGGGGGCAAGAACATTTTGTGTCCACGATAAAGCAATCCTCATATCAAATGCTATGAGTAGCGTGATTCAAATTACATTAAGAAACTCTTGGTTCCAGTTCTGGGTGTATTTTATAAATATTTGAAATAAATACTTTTTGCAAATCACTGGTTAAAATTTTGCGTTGATTTATGGAAAATAAATACATGTTTTGACTGCTAAATTAAGAGGAGATATGGAGGTGTATTCGGTGTATCCCTAACCGATGACCGTAAGGACGTGGCTGGCGCCGTTTTTGAAAATTTAAACTAATAGACCTTGAAGGAAAATTAAGAATTTATCAGATGCTAGATTAGATGTCTATTCAGGATTTAATCACTTTCCTGGTTCAATACGACGCAGTCCCCCCTATTCTGCGAGTCACGTGACTCTCTCTCACCGGTGAGGTGACAATAGTCACCTCGTGTGAGGTGACTCTCCATTTGATTTGCATGGAGAGTCACCTCACACGAGGTGACAATTGTCACCTCACCGGTGAGAGAGAGTCACGTGACTCGCAGAATAAGGGGGAGTGTACTCAAGAAGTTGGGCCTCAGATAGCCTAGTCAGTAAAGATATACACGCCTGAAGCGGTGGGTTCGATTCGGGGTCCGGTCGAGGAAACCTTTCGGGTTGGAAATTTGTTTGACTTCTCTGGGCATAGAGTATCATTGTGCTTGCCACACAATATACAAATTCATGCATTGGTTGACATAGAAAGCTCAGTTCTCAATTAATAGCTGGAAGTGCATGTAGAACTCTACGATACAGAATCGTAAAAAAGCATAGAACAAGAAGAAGAAGAAGGACATGACTTCTTAGACTGTGTTCCATTTGATGAATTTGATGAAAAGAAAAGTTACGTCTGTTTGTCTGTGCTCATAGTATTCACGCCGGAGATGAACCAGCGTCTGTCGAAAAATCTCCTTAATAAAGGCCACCAACCAACCAACCTATAGTATTCAAGATGTAAAATCAGATTCTGGCCAGTTGATTGAATCGCAGTAGGTCATGCTGCAAAAATGACGTGTACGTGTTTTGCTCCATCGCATTCTTGTGCGAAAACATTAACAAATATACATCTAATATTTAAACGCGATTTTAATGTTTGATCGCGATTGATGTTGAAAAAGTGCATTACGAGATAGTGATCGGTAAGAGTTCCCATTCGTTTCCGCTACATTAAAAAATATTTGCGTTCCATAAGACGATTGTTGTTTTCTCATCCGACGCCCAGCTAAGTAATTTTTCTTCTAAAATACGTAATGACTATTTTATAACTTAAGTTATACTGGGGAAGTTGGACATGGGGGTAAGTGGGGTCATTGGCTTGTATGACAGTAATCTTATAAATTGTGTCTGTTTTCCAGTAGAAGTTCGTGTTATGTCGTTTTCGTTTTTGCGGTGTAGCTACATGTAGCTACACCGCAAAAACGAAAACGACATAACACGAACTTCTACTGGAAAACAGAATCCTATATCTACACCCTAACATATTTCGGTGTACGGCAGTGTAGCACCGGTGCACCGGTGCTACACTGCCGTACACCGAAATATGTTAGGGTGTAGATATAGGATGCATCTTTGTTTACAAACAAATGATGTTGAGCTGTCAAAGACTCGTGCTTATTCCTGCTTACACTACACCAGTGCTACACCGCAAAAACGAAAACGACATTAAATTATATCTAATGCAAGATGGTGGAAATTTGAGTAAGAAATCAATTGGTCATGTCACATGTTGGTTGGTACACTGAAACAAAGACCATAGTTAGGAATACTATTTTGCAGAAAACACTTATTTTCAGTATAACTACGCTTAATGCCGTTAAATCTACCATGATTTCAGTATAATTGACTAAAAATATAATCAAATTTACTACCATTCGGTCAAAACTACTATGCTTACTCGAACGGCATAGTAGTTTTGATAGAAAAAATAGTAAAATTAAATGAATTTCGTTTCTGCACAAATCTATTGGTGTGAGTATTTAATTTAAACCATCAATATAGTATTTTTGCCAATGGATTTTGTTTCTGTGTAGGATTGTTATGCACGCTAAGAAAAAAGTATGCATTAATGTTTAAACTTTAACCAGTTTCGAGAAAACCCACACATATTCATAAAATGAATAAACGCTGTTTACTCATCGGATGAATGAACACGTTTTTCTCGAAAGTGATTAAATTTTAATCATTAATGAATAAAGACGTTATTCTCAAAAGTGGTTAAATTGTATGCACTAGAAGGAATTTAAATGGCTGATTTCGTTTATTTTAAACATATATTATTATAAATTACAATCGAATAAAATCCAATAAAAAGTAACGTTTATTTCAAGATTCTGGTTCGTGTTGCTGTTTGGTCCACCGCCTTAGTGACCTTGTACACGGTGACCGGGGAATACTCCGTTCTTCTGCTGCCGGCTGGTCCCCTTGGTTTCAACGCAGAATCCATCATGTGATTCGCGAGGCTGTTCATATCGGCAATGGTTGGAAATGGTCAGGAGGATACTCTGCTGTGGTGGTGTTGTTTCTGCCCTTGGTGGTGATTCAATGTTGGGAACATGCTGCTCCTGGTGAATCTATCTTAATTGCGTACAAAGCAGTGTAGTCCGATCACGGAACACCTTCGCACAATCCGAAATCGGATGTTTCCTTGTTTTCGCGATCCTTTCGTCGACCTTCCCGTTCCGTTGCCCGGCGAACTCGATCCGGATCATTGTGCTGCCGTTTGAAGCCCTATGTAGTGGGGATCAAAAGTTTTGAAATAACAAAACAATGTACCTTGTTAGATATACTTACTATTATCATCGACCATCTCTTTGGCCTGATCCCGCACATTCTGTCCTGTTTCCAAAGTCGGAAACAGAATCGGAAGAAAACTTTATTTTCGTTCCGGCACTTGATTGCGAAGGAAGCCGCAATTCCTGATGCTCACTAGACGATGATGACTTCATCTTGGAGTTCTCACCGCACTCTGGAAATGAAAACAAAACTATAAGTTAGTTTTAAATTGTATGTATATTATAATAATAATCTATCTACCTGCGAAAAGTTGATGAATGATGGCCGCTGCGGTTTCGGAAAATAATTGCTGTCAAGTTTTTTTTCAGCCACTGGTGAATAAAATTTAGACGCTTATGTTGCAAAATGGTTTTCTCTGGAAATGTCTAGATTGTATACACTTTTTTGCTATAAATTTCAACCACTCTATGACAGCTCGAACAAACTCCCAAAAGTGGTTAAAAAATAATCATCAATGCATAAACTCGTTTTTCCGTGTGGATGTATGGATTTGTGTCGAATCGGAAGACAAGCCGTTTTAGCAAGTTAAAACTGATTGATTTCATATTAAATAATATTCCCTGAAACCTTATGAAAATTTCCAGTAGAATGCTACATTGTCGAGTTGTGATTTTTGGGGTAATTGGGTTATTTTTGCGTAGTACTTTAAAGCGGCTTTCTCAGGACAATCTAAGTACATTTATTTCATTTTTTTTGGCCTTTATCAAGGGGAAACTTTATTACATGAATTTAATCAGTTAGGGTATAGACACAGACAAACAGACATAACACTCGCAAGTTGTTCATCGAACATGCATTTAACGGTCAATTTTAAAGTATCATAGTTGGTAGTACCAACAATCAATACGAAACTAACGATTTTAAATTGGCTCACCACTTTAGTAGCCTATTGGTCCCAAGCAAACGATTAACGTACCCTATTCTAGTTGAAATTCTATTACTACACTATGTTTGTTTTGATTCGCTATGAAAGTTTGACAGATAACATCAGGGGTGTGTGGATTCATGCAGAACATGCAGGGGTGAGTGAAATAGCTTGGGACTGCTTGGGACCGTTGTTCTGGTACTGAGTGAGCCAAAAATAATAATGATTTTCTTCGGGACCCAGTGGTCTTAGAGTTACCTCTATGGTAGTACTCCCACCTGTGGCGCGCATAGTCAATTCCCTTGCGTTTGACGTTTACACACTACCGCCATCTGTTCAGCGTACTACCCACCACAGTGTACTCAACAGATGGCGGTAATGTTTTAGCGACGATGTTTTACAGTGAGAAATATTCAATGTGTTATGTCTGTTTGTCTGTGGTATAGATGTACCAGTTATGACTACTAACCAGTTATGGAAACTAAGTCCGAAAGCAGTGGACTCTCCTCCATGATGTGATCAAGTTTAATAACCTCTGATTTCCCTCACTATGCTATGTATCTGTATGAAGGGCCAAAAACGGGTTGGGTGGATCGATTAGCAAAGTCACATATACGCCTCACGGAGAAATAAAGAATCTCCTTCCAGCAGCATGATCATTCAATTGGTAAAAAAAACAAGCCGTCAAACAGAAGGATACCCATATGAGTGGAGAAGAGCCCGCCCTTTATCCACGAAATCTTAATAACAAGGAGTGGACAATTTCACTCTCTTTATCCAAATCGCTTCAATTGGGTCCCTCGCAAATCCCAGCATATATATAATATGTAATGAATTTTGAAACAATCGGAGTAAAATAATAAGGACAAGCCTCACCAAATTCTGCTTCGATGGATTAGTGAAATGATTTATATCTCGAGGCATTAAAGTCCCCATCGTCCTCCTGTTCTTGCTCATAATATGCTTTTTTACAGCAGCTAATGTTCACAATCTTACATGCACACATCACTAAATGATCCTGGATTATCATTAATAGTGTCTTAATAAAACTTACGGAGCCGGAAATCTTTAAAAACAATTCTACAATAACAATAAAATAAAAACACTATCAATTAAAAAAACAATTTCGAAGCAGTGCCATAGTTGGGCCGTGATGAGTTCTTATATTTGCTGGTTGGAAAGTGATCCTGCTTAAAGCATGAAATATATTAAAAAATAATATACAGTGAACTCTCCCTTACTGGATCTCTCCTTAAATCGATGGAAATCTAGACTACATCGACCACTCTTCCTGATGATGATGATGATGATGATGATGATGAGAATAGTGGTTTACCACCCATTGTAGCACGGAAACTAAGTCCGACAGCAGTGGGCTGTCTTCTCTGTTTGTCTTGATCAATCTTAATAACCTCTGAATGTCCTCAACATGTCGCTGTATGAAGGGCCAAAAACGGATTGGGTAGATCGATAGGCAAAGTCGCCTATACGCATCTACGGAACAATAAAGAATCTCCTTCCAGCAACTTGATCAGCCAATTGGTCAAAAAAACAAACCCCCAAACAGGAAGATGCCCCAATGAGAGGGGAGAAGAGCCCGCCCTTTATCCACGAAATGTTATCAACAAGGAGTTGGCATTCCCACTCTCCCCGTCGTGGTCATCTTCTTCCTCTTCAGGTTTGCTCATCACCCGGAATGAAGGCTCGGTGCGGTTAGTAATATCAAACAGTGTTACATGCAAACGAAAAAGAGATACAACCAGGATTAGTTTTTTTAAAGTAATAATCATCTGAATATCCAACTAACCATATCTCAGTGACTTTTTCTCACTCTGAACCTACATTAAAAGTTATTTTGTGATTATATGGTTACTTTGGTACTCACATGAAATGTTGTTCAAGTACCACATGTTCAACAACGCCAATGTTAATACCACTTAATGCCATTTCCTTTTTGAATCAGCGTACACCAACATGATAATCTTCTTAGAAATACCTAAGAATGTATAGAGATAAAGCTCAAAATATTATTATTATTATTTAGCTTTATTAAGGAGGCTTTCAGCCTTGGGCTGGTTTGCCTCCACAGCTCAAAATACAGTTTTAACTGATGGTACTCTATAAACATCAAACTGTCCAATATTGGACCCTGCCAACACACGGTGCCTGCACGGTAATGTGGGCCGTCAGAATGGTTCATTGGTTGCGAAGTGAAGTGCTTCTCAAACTGAAGCGAAATATTTCTCAAGTTTTCAACGTTATCCTAACGTAAACCTAATATTATCACCCATATGCTCGTCCACGCCCGAAACCCATCCACCACACAAAATCAAATAAAAATGTTTCTGTATGAAACACACGTCCAGACATAAACGAGAATATGGGTGTATATCTTCACTGTAACAACTACGGGTAATTATCGAAAATACTTGCATTTTACTCAGGCACTTTTGAGCAAACTGCAATCGCTCTCTCATACTCGAAATGTGCCACGACCAAATTGGCACAGCGACGCCCTATACGCTATCTGACCAAAGCGCAGGGGTAGTCCCTGGGCCACTCTTCCCACACAAATATTTAAAATTTACCTCCCCAACTCGACGGTCCCTTCAACCTCGAGTTAGGGAGAGTTAATTGTATTACAACTGCATAAAAAAATTTAAGGAACATCCAAAGTCAGAGGAACGAAGGTCTTTAGTAAAGACTCTTTACGTTTAGGTCATGGCAACTAGAAAGACACCAAGCGCACTTTTATTAGCGATTATGTACTTTTGACGAGTCCAGTTTCAAATGCAAAATACAATATTTGTATTAAGATATTGCTGTGAACGAACCAATTGATCGACCGTTGTACTTGAACAATGCAAATAGTAGATAGGCAATTAGTTCAAAAGAATATAATGCCTACCATCAACTAGTGCGGTATTCAGTCGTATCACTCAATTCTATCAGAATGGATTTCTCCGGTAAAGTTGTACTCATCACAGGAGCAAGTAGCGGAATCGGTGCTGCTACTGCCAAATACCTATCCAAATTAGGCGCTACGGTGGTTTTGACTGGACGAAACGCGGAAAACCTTAACAAAGTTGGAGCAGAATGCCAGGCTGTGGGAAAGCAGAACCCATTTCTTCTGGTAGCCGACGTGACTAAAACCGAGGATAACAGTCGTGTGATTGAAGAAACCATCAAGAAATTCGGCAAACTCGATGTCCTGGTGAACAATGCGGGTAAAGGAGGGTCTGGCGGCATCGAAACTACCAGTCTGGAACAATACGATGATATTATGCATGCCAATCTAAAAGCCGTCTATCATCTGACGATGCTGGCTGTGCCTTATCTTATCAAAAGCAAAGGGAATATCGTCAACGTATCAAGTGTCGCCGGAACTAGGTCTTTCGCGAACTTATTGGCCTATTGCATTTCCAAGGCTGCACTGGACCAATTCACAAGATGTGTTGCGCTTGACCTGGCACCGAAACAAGTGCGAGTCAATTCGGTCAATCCAGGTACACTACTACGTTCATTCGAAATTTGCATTTTCATTCAAACCATTAGTAACCATATGATTTACAGCGGTTATTGTAACGGATTTCCACAGTCGTTTGGGTATGACTCCGCAAGATTATGCAGCATATCTGAAGAAATGTGAAAACGATCATCCTCTTGGGCGAGTGGGTCAAGCGTCTGAAGTGGCTGCCGCTATAGCTTTCCTAGCCGCAAATAATGCCAGCTTCATTACCGGAACGAGCCTCTGTGTCGACGGAGGAAAGAACGTTTTGTGTCCACGATAAAACGTGCTTGTAAATACAGCTAAATAAAACTTTCAGCAGAGTTGCAAATTTTCGGAAAATGTGGATTAAATTATAAAGAGAGAAGGATTAGTAATTTCCATTTAATTCGACTATACTAAACAAGTCTGCACATTGTAGACGAAATACGTGAAGGATAAGCAATCAAGGTAGTGGAATTAAATGGAAATTACTAATCATTCTCTTTTTCTTTATACCACTAAAGACGCCCACATTCATCAGGAATCAATTGACTAGAAATTGTTTTACTAAGTGGTCCATCGTATATTATTTGTTTTATTTATTACACCTACGGTACGGTACTTTAAAGTATCCTTTTCAATGCTCGATGTTCATTTGTTATAAATTAACACACTTAATAGACTATGATGCACAATCTTCTAAATTTAACTTCTGAATGGCAACTTAAAAAAAAACAAATATCTACATTTTCAATCATGTCAATAACTAAAAATCAATCCCTCCACTGTTCATATTGTACTCGGCCACCTTGCCCAGAATAAGCTCGATGTCCTGCTGGCAATCGATGCCAATATCGTGCAGATCCTTTTCCGACAGAGTGAGAAACACCTCGAAGTCGATTTCCTCATCGTTGAAGATGCCGATGTACTTGGCCAAGTTGAGATCGCGCAGGATGTTGGACACCGACAATCGATGCTCCAGCTCGCGCTTTACCAGCGGTGTTCCGATTGCGTACACCGGTTTGCGTTTATCCGGAGCGGGCTGTTTGGTGGAACTGAAGAATCTGGAACCATAGAAAGCCGAAAGGGGGGTTTTTTTTTTTAGTGATGTCACTTGGAATTTGTTTTTTTTTTTTTCGTTCGCTGATTTGCGGTTTTGGAGTACTGTAATGTGCTGAAAAAATACTCTCACATTTTGGAAAACATGCCGTTTGGCATACACTCGCTTGACATACCTAATAGTTGTTTGGCAGAATGCCGTGAAAAAGTTTTATTTTAGTATTGCACAACAATAAGAGTACATTTTACCTCTTCTTGGTATCTCAAAAAATATTAGTATAACTTTATTTTTTATTCATTAGGACAAACGATGGTATCACATTTCCCGGAATGCCATTTCCTGGAGTGACATTTCCTGGAATTTGATATTTCCCGGAATGCCATTTCTTGAAAACGATGTCGCAGAATAAGCATTTCACCGGAGTTCCATTTATTACTAGATCTATTATTCAAAATATTTAATGAAATAAATATTCCCTTATTTATTGAAACATTCGAGAAAGGAAACTTTTTCGGATTCCGAATTCGGGGAGCAACAAATTCGCACAGTGGAGAAAGGTTGCCACTGTTTACGGATCAGGGACAGACCATATGATCCCATAATTTTGTTGAAGTAGACTTTGTTGAATGTAAGTCCCAAAGTTTGTTGTCGTGGGGTAATAATTTGAGATTAATTTCATGTGCCCGCTCCCCGTGGGGTGGGAACTTTGCAGCACAAACCCATTCCCCTCAATTTTTGCTTTGCTGTTGATCTACTGGTGTAGCCCAGGCATACAATATGCTAGGTCTTTAAATCCGCTGCCACGGCGTCCACAACATAATCCAGTATATCCAGCACACTGACTTGGACGTCGATTTCGGGATGGTAATCTGCAATCATACAAAACATAACCTAAATAATATCGGTGCGTCAAAAACGCATTTTCATTATCTTTCAATAACATTGCAATGAAAACTTACATAACATTACATTAGTCGACAAATGTCCCACATGTACCATCCATAATAATGGTCGTATCTCACTATTTTGAAGTTCTTTTTTTCAATATTTTATCATTCAAACTTTGGAATTTGAACCGGCTGTCATAAATTTATCACCATCGACTAGTACCCGCCACTAGTGACGCATAAATTTCACTTGGATTCTACTATTGCGTGCTCTCAACTTAGTGGTCTACACATCCAATGAGAACGACCCAAATTTGAGTTTAGTTTACTCACAATCGCGAAAAATGCAGGAACTCAACGATGAGTAAATTTGCCTCATTTTTTTCTGTGGAAACCTCAAAAATCTATCGGAAAATGGGGAAAATTGACGAAAATTTTACTGAGTCTTGAAGTAGTACCAAAAGACTGAGGCAATCCAAACTTTACTTTTATCATATTCGGGAATTTTTTCCTCGACATACCTGGAAATCATGAGGCAAATTTACTTCCTGTACTTTATGGGATTTATGAGTAAACTAAACTCAAATTTGAGTCGTTCTCATTGGCCATATTATGACCTGCGGTAAATACTTGGGCTGTGTTCCATTGGCGTTGACGGCACTGTCGAAAAATTTGCTCTTCCAGCAAATGTAGACAGTTTCCTATGGGAATTTTCGGTGGAGTGAAAGGATAGTACAAAGTCCGCCATGTTTCACGCACAGTCTGACGTTTGCTTATGGATTTTCTCATAGGAGTAAAGAGCTACAGAGTCGCCGTCAACGCCAATTTCGTGAATTTTCACTTAAATTTGACACTTCGAAAATAAATTGAAATGTTCAAAAATCCCTCTGTTTTTGATTGGTCAATTTTCGAGAAGGTGTCTGTCAAAATTGATTCCTGTCTGTCAGAAATAACTCTGCTGGAATAGCAGGTTTATTTGAAACTTTTCCATCTGTCAAATGTAAGTGAAAATTCACCAAATGGAATACAGCCTTGGTCTATCATACCGAAAATATGTGCCATGTGTCATCCAAATCAAAGAAAGTCGAGTTCGGTGACCGACCGTTTTGGCGTGGAACCCGTATGCTGCGTATGTTATGGATTGAACCCAGGCTTGCTGGGGTGAGAGGTAATGAAGCTTACCTGTACACCACCGGCGCCGCTAAGGCAAGAACAATGGAAAGAACACCGTAACATACACAGTTAACTCTCTACAGTCGATATTGAACCACCGACGAACCGACGTGAGGGCTCATACAAGCTAATTTCAAATTCATGTCCAAAACGCTGTCCAGACTGGAGAGTTATAACATGTTATAACGGTTGTCAAATAATTGCAACACAGAAACCACCATCAAGATAGCGCTATAACATGTTATAGCTCTGTAGTCTGAACGTACTACAAGATGCCATATTTAAAATACGTTACACGCTAACTTCAAAGTACCCATTTAATGAGTATCTTTTACTCTTTTTTGGAATCCATACTAAGTTGTCAAAAAATGGGTATTTTCCAAAAATGAAAAATGGTTACTTTTCATTCACTTTAAAAAATGTCTTCTTGCAATAAAAATGGGTAAACACATTATTGTTATTTTGCATTTCGGAGACATGTCGAAAAAAAAGCACGACTCAAGAGGATACGCTAAGGAAGCTCGAACGGAAGTTTGATTGTGCTAGCAGATTCCATCTGGCCGGTGTGAATTCGGGTGAAAATAGTGCGCCGGACAGAAGTCTCATTATTGCAGCAACATGACGAAAAACAGCAACCCGAGGTGAATTTCACGAGGTAAGAGCTAGAAGTCAAGCTAGAAGTGTGATGTGTCCGTTCTCAGTTCCGTTTCAGGTTTAGCTTCGATTAGTGGAGACTGGCGAATGAACGTCTAGTACTGCGTTTCAACTAATTATACAGGGTAGCCGTGGAACCAGTGGAATTCCATCGAAAATCAGGATGGTTTGGCAATGGAAGACGGTAACGAGGGTTGAAATTCGAACAACCGGAATCGAGGCCGGAACAACCTTTTCTCGTTTAAAGGGTGGCTGGTTACAACCTATAACGCATATTTTATTATATTTAGTGCAATATAAAAGATTCCTTTTTTTTCTTTTGATTACTCTTAATATTCGGTTAAATCATTAAAGGCAGGAAGCCCAAAAAACAATTTTGTTGATAAAATGGGTATTTTTTATTCATATCCACTAAGAACATGAAAGCTAAAAAGTACCCATTTTTTGAAGTATACGTCAAATACTCATTAATGAGTAATATTGGGTTTACTCATTTAATGAGTTAAGCCACTTTTCTTAAAAATTGGTCTTTTTTTACTCATTAATGGGTACTTTCAAGCTAGCGTGTAAACACTACCGACATCTACTCATCCGATCGCGTCATACCATGAGTAAATATATGAACCCACGTATAATTTATGTTGCCTTGGTTTGCGTCTCACCTCGTTTGACAGATCTGATTGCCCGTTTGAAAGTTCAAATCGCTCGATTGACAATTCGAATTGTGGACAAACGAAATGCTCGTGTGGCATGTCGGTTCGTCGGTGATTGAAGTCTCATCGTATCGTCGCCCACTGGTTACCACACTCGGTCCAGACGAATTTGAGTCAAGAACCGAACTACCGAACTACCGTTCATATACTGAAGACATCGCCCTGATGAGACAACGAAACCCCACCACTAGCTCATCCCTTGATCCTTCGACAATGTACCCCTCTAACATCGAGTATTGGGCCTCATACTAGACTAAGAATTAAGTAAATTTGGTAGCGAAAAGACTCCGTAAAGTTAACGCGATTGAGCCTTTCAAATAAACGAACTAGATAAAAAAAACCCGATATTTAAGGGACCAGTGAGTTATAGAATTATCGAACTATAGAACAACAATGTCTTAGGAAATCCCCATCACAGTAGCCATGAAATCCATACTATACTACATACTTCCGGAATAATTTGAGATTTGGGCGTAATTGCATTTGTAAACAAACACGTCAATCACAGATTTCTCGCGAATAAAAGCTCAATCTCGAAAACTAATAACGCTATGAGGTAGAGGAATGATTCCTCTATCATTTGGTATAGTTTGTTTATGAGATTGAGCTTTATCTCAAAAGAAATTGGCAATTGACGTCTTTGTTTACAAAAGCAATTACGCCCAAATCCCTAATCACTCAGGACTTCGAAATGATTACCGACTTCGGTAATTTTTACCGAACTTTCAACAGCTGTTCGGTAAAATTTTAGAGCTTCAAAACAAGAAAAACGTTACCGCAATGACAAGACTCGATTATGTAAACATGGCTGACAGTGGTAATAATAATTCGGTAATAATTTCCAAGTGTATATGGTTCTATAACTCGATATCGAGTTATAGATAATTGACTTTATATCATTAACAGTTAAGGTTGACAAGCTACTTTTGTAGCTGGAGCCCCTCACATGATTGAAAAATAATTTGAATTTGGAACAAAGGTTTAAAAAAATAAAGTAGGTACATAAAAGAATACTCTTTATCTGAAGGCCCTGACGACATTGGATACCCTATGCTAAAGCACCTTCCGATTCGTTGCAAAAAAATGCTTCTTAAAAAATTAAATGAATGCTGGCAAAATGACTTCTTCCCAGAACAGTGGCGTCACAGCCTGGTGATCCCCATACCAAAAAACGGATCATCATCAATTGATCCCAAGGACTTCCGTCCAATCGCATTAACCAGCTGTGCCTGTAAGATTTACGAACGAATCATCAACAGAAGACTGACAGCGTACCTTCGAGAAAACAATTTCCTGGATCATAGACAACATGCTTTCCGACAAGGCTTTGGTACAGGAACATACTTTGCTTCTTTGGGCCAGGTTCTCGATGAAGCTCAAAGAGACAACCTACATGTCGACGTTGCCATTCTAGATCTCTTCAAAGCATATAATCGTGCTTGGACTCCCGGAGTACTAAAGATGCTGCAAGAATGGGGCCTGTCTGGCCACATTCTTGGCTCCATCCAAAACTTTCTCATCAATAGAACGTTCCAGGTGACGATAGGAAACACGAGAAGTAAAAAAGTTCCTGAGGAAACGGGTGTGCCACAAGGCTCCGTTCTGGCCGTCACACTATTATTAGTGGCTATGAATGGAGTATTTGACTGCCTTCCAAGCGGTGTCTTTATTTTTGTATATGCGGACGACATCCTACTGGTTGTTGTTGGGAAATACAAAAAAAAAATCCGAAGAAAACTTCAGACGGCAACAAGTGCTGTTGCCAAATGGGCCGAAAATGCTGGGTTCCAACTCTCCGTCAATAAGAGTGCAATAACCCACCTCTGCATGAGTAACCACCATCCCTGGAAGTGGCCCATTTCGATTGACGGGGAGGAAATACCCTATAAAAAGCAATGTCGAGTCCTCGGTGTTCTCCTCGATCGCCGGCTCAGTTTTAAGCCACATTTCACAGCAGTTAGAGAGAACTACCAGTCCCGGATTCGGCTCCTGCGGGTTATCACCAGTCGCCATCAATGTAATAACCGAGACATTGCACTTCGAATATCCAACGCCGTAGTAACAAGCAGGCTTCTCTACGGGATCGAAATCACATGCCGTGCGGCCGACTTGATGGTCGCAATGCTGGGACCGATCTACAACCGCTGTATCAGGACCGTATCAGGGCTACTCCCATCCACTCCAGAAAAAGCTGCTTGCATCGAAACCGTTGTACTTCCCTTTAGGCATCTGATGACCATCGCTACCTGTTCCAAAGCAGTTAGCTTCCTTGAACGCACCATCGGTGAGAATGAGGGAGTGTTCCTCTTCACGGAGGCGAACAAACTCCTTCAATATTTGACCAATCAAGAGCTCCTTCCAGTTTCTGAGGCTCACTGGGTAGGAGACAGCGATTGGAACTCTCCTCAATTGAACATCGACTGGACAATAAAAAGGAACTTCAGAGCTGGAGAAAACTCTATTCACCTTCACAAAGCATACCTACAATTCATTTCTACCAAACTTGCCAATCACCAACTCATATTCACCGACGGCTCTAAAGCACTGGGCCACGTGGGAATTGGGGTAACCGGTCCCAATATAACCTACTTTCATCGCCTACCTGATACATGTTCCGTGTTCACAGCCGAAGCTGTCGCCATATTTTTAGCTACCTCTGGAGCTTCATCGTGTCCTACGGCAATCCTCACTGACTCAGCAAGTGTACTTTCGGCGCTCGAGTCTTACAAGAATCGCCACCCGTGGATCCAAGCTATACACAATGCGGCTAATAGCAACCTTCGATTTGCCTGGATACCCGGATACGTCGAAATAGCTGGAAACGAAACCGCTGACCATCTGGCGTCTGTCGGTCAAGAGTCAAATTTGTATACCAATGAAACGCCAGCTGATGACGTCAAAACATGGGTTAAAGCGATCATCCAAGATGCTTGGGCCCAAAGCTGGCAACAAGAAAGATGGCTATTTTTGCGAAAGGTGAAAGGTGACATCAAGAAATGGACTGATCAGCCCCGCTGGAAAGACCAACGAACCCTATCGCGTCTAAGAACGGGTCACACTCGAGTCACCCACGATTATTCCATAGTACCAGACAGGCACAAACGGTGCGATATATGCCAGACAGAACAATCAGTTCTTGTACTTGGGAACTGTCCCAAGTATGAGGATCATCGACGTCTGTATGGTATCCACGCTGGAGTGCGAGACGTTCTAAGTAACGATCCTTCATACGAATCTGCCTTACTGTGCTTCCTGAAAGACACCGAACTATACACACAAATTTGAAAAACTGATCTTCTGTTAACGCTATGAGATTTGCCATTTCACAACTGATCATCCTGCAAACACCTAACGGACTATTCTCCTAACATCAATATTGTTATCATCTCAGCAACCCACATTTGCCAACGTTTAACGGATTACGATTTTGTTTTACATCTTTATAATATGTATAATATGGCATGAACCACTGTAACTATTTATTATTCAATTGCCAAGGGGGGCCTCACTGGATCTTTCAAAAGCCCTCTCCATGTTACCATTAAACGGGAGATGAACCACCCTGCGGCTGAAAATCTCGATAATAAAGAAATAAAAAAAAAAAATAAATAAAAATTCTTAAGAATGACATGTCATAAATAATTGTAGGACTTACACCCCAATTAATAACTGTGGAAGTACTTCTCGAACAACATCCGGCTAACACTCGCCATAGAAGCGTAAAAAGCCTAGAAGAAGACATGTTACCCCTGAGCTCCATAAAAATGAGTCATTAATATAATAAATCAACACTTCAAAAGGATGTTTTAACATTATAAAAAAAAAAAAACTAATGGTAATGCATACCAGAGTAAAACGACACGTTGCCACTTTTACGTGAATTTATCAAGTAGAAATGGTACTGGAATTAGCTATGCTGATTGATCAAATCACGGAAAAAATTGCCGAGGACATCATCGGGTCGTTTAGTCCTGGCGATGATTCTGAAAATATATTCTAATTAATCCGCCCGTGCACTTACGGTACCTATATATTGAAATGGTGTAAAACTTGGAAAACGCGTCAGAATAGCTAAATCAATTATTTGGTGCTTAGAAGGTAAGAGAAAATTGCCTTGGTGGTACGTATATATAGTTCCCCTACGTAGGCGTGTATCACACTTCTCCTTATAATCCAAAGTTGTCAACCGTGAGCCACAAATAACTTCAAAAGATATGCTTCGAAAATGGCCGTTTTTTTTTCTTTTGATAAATTCTACTTTGAACCGTAATCGGCTCAGCAAATTGCATTCAATGTGTAGAAATACTCACGATTTTATCGGATGACGGCGGGCTTCATCCGTCAAGCGTTTGTCCAGCTTCGCCTCCGGAGTGTTGACACGCGGAGGAATCCGAAAGGTAGTATCCACCACAGTCATCGCAATCGGCGAAATATCGGGAGATCTCATATTCCTCATGGGTGAAAAGCTACGCTTTCGAGTGTTGGAACATTTTGCCTGTTTGTACGCCTCGAACGAGATATCCTGAGCATCCAGCGCTTCTGGGGAAAATACCGATATTTTAGGTGACGGTGCACAGGCGGACACCGATGCTGAAGCTGAAGAAGCTTAGGGTTAGTTCATCGTAATAAATGAATTGGAAATTATATCACATACCACGAGATTCATACATTCTTTTTGGGACGAAACACAGGCGGAACACAATAGAAGGAATTTAATAATCGCAACGAATAAAATAAAGTCTGAGGACGCCACAACACACTGATATTGCCTTCTTGTCGAAAAGAGATGCACAGGAAGAATGGAACAATAGGTAGTGCAAGCTGTCCGGTGGTCACTGCCGATCACTTGCCATAATATTTGGCTATTGTACAATGCATAAAGCTCCGCGAACAATGCATCCGATTTTCCTACATCAAATTGCCTATTGTGTCTGACTGTCAGGATTTTCGAAGTTAAACCTGTTTAACCCTTTTCTTCCCGAAAGGATCAAATTTTTCGTCATGGTATAAAAAAATCTTTAGTTTGTTTTGTCTGTATTCATGCTGGGATTATGTCAGAGATCTTTAAACATGACATGGTCCATGGTCTTCAAACCTGGGAATGCGATCTAAATGTTTAGAAAATTCTTACTCAATTTTGAACTTATGGACACAGACAAACAGACATAACACATAACCAGTGTTGGAAAAGTTCGCGATATTTCACGAAGTTCACCAAGGGAAAAGTTCGCGAGTCATAGAGAACTTTGATGAACTTTTCCATCACTGCACATAACAATATTTGTAAAACATCGTCGCTAAAACATAACCGCCATATGTTGAGTACACTGTAGTGGGCACTACGCTGTACAGATGGCGGTAGTGTGTGAACGTCAAACGCAAGGGAATTGACTATGTGCGCCACAGGTGGCGTTACTACCAACTACCATACTTTTAAATTGTCCGTTAAATGCTTGTTCGATGAACAAGTTGCAAGTGTTATGTCTGCTTGTCTGTGTTATGGAGATTGCTGCGCACGCACTCGCTTCAGTAACAGTGGTTAATGCAAAAACACACGACTTGAGCGTACTTTTCGTTCATTTACATCTAGACACTTATTTGCATAATCACGTGACGGTGCAATTAACGCCGATGTACAAGCGGTTGGTGTTTTCTTTCGATTGAAACACATTCGATTGGAGTGATTTGATTTTTTACATCCTACGGCGAGTTATCGCCCAAACAAACACTTTATTTGCGAATTTTATTCTCTATGTTTTGTATCCTTTCCTTTCCTAATTCTACTAGGACCAATACCTTCTTTAGGATATGAGGTTTTCCACTTCATTCGACTTTTGTGTTTCTTTTTCGTCTTTCAAAGAGAAGACATTGCGATTTCACGCGGTGACTTATGTTTATGACTTTAAAGGGGATGGTAGTTTTTGTTTCTCTGGTAGTAGCATGCCAAATGCGCTTTTGTTGTTGTACTTAATATGTTTTTCGATGATGTATGTAAACCGCGCCGCCTACTGATCGGATCGCTTTACTTCTTGTGGGCAAAGTCTTCACCCTTCTGGATGTTCTTCTTCAGCTCTGGAATGGCCTTCTTCAGCAGTTCCTGTTCGTAAGCATTCAGCTTGGGCAGTCCAAGGTTCTTCTCAAGTCCGTTCTTGCCCAGGAGCAGGGGAGTGGAGAAGTACTTAGCTTCGGTAACATCCGAACGAACGTAAGCACATTCGATGACGTTCTTCTCGCCGTTCATGGCGCGGGCCAGAGCCAGTGCGAAACGTGCTCCAGCATAAGCCATCGACAGGGTAGCCGAACCGGCTCCTGCCTTGGCCTTGACGACTTCGGTACCAGCCTCCTGGATGCGTTCGGACAGAGCGGCGACCTTGTCCTGGGGGAAGCTAACCGACGGGGTGGCCTGCGACAGAACGGGGATGATTGTCACACCGGAATGACCTCCGATGACTGGAACATTAACCTTTTGCGGGTCAACTCCGGCGGCTTCACCGATGAAGGTGTTGGCACGAACAATGTCCAGCGTGGAAACACCAAACACGCGCTTTACGTCCAGCACGCCTGCCTGCAATTAAACGGAAAAGATGAAGTGTTAAACAATTTATGTTGAAAATATCAAAAATGGTAATTGATCTAAACTGATAACTCCAAACGCTTCAATAGGAATGACGATACAAAGTTCCAGTTGGGATGACATTAGCGAAAATTTTAGAACTTGTTGCTAAAGGCCAGCTTTTGGAGTATTTGAATGGCAGCTCTGTGTTGATACCAGAACAATCAGGATATCGTTAAGGTCATTCTTGTGAAACAGCGTTGAATTTGGTGTGTAAGTGGAAAGACAATTTGAAGCGTTAAGATACGACTGTTGCTGGTTTTTTGGATCTGAAACGCGCTTTTGAAACAATTTCTAGGTCCCTATTGTTAAGTATAATCAAGCGCTTTGGATTACGAGTCCTTCATATAAATGGTTTGAAAGCTATTTATCGGACAGAACTCAACTGACTGTTTTTAATGATTATATTTCTAGTCCCATGGGAAATAACCTTGGAGTGCCCCAGGGAAATGTATTAGGGTCCCTGTTATTGATTATGTATATTTATTACTTGCGACGTGTTTTACGATTTTGCGACATTAATCTTTTTGCAGATGACAATGTGGATCGCTCTTTTGGGACTTTTTCGTTACTTTTTAATATAGGATGCCTAAATTAAATCCAATTGAATGCTTAGTTAACTCATCTTAAAATAGATAGTTTAGTGCTATTATCTCCCTATCAAAATACAAAATTTCCGCTTCGTAGAGCCACACTCTGTGCTACACTCTATGTCGATTGAAAAACGATTTAACTATTGCCAGTGAAATACAGCTATACAAATCAATCATCTCGCCTTATCTGGACTTTTCCCTTCCATTTTGTTTCTGGCCAATGAAACACAAATATGGAGATTACAGCGCTTGCAGAAATTTTCAAATCATTCCATTGTATGTGATCCAACAGAACCTCAATAATCATATCATTTCTTTAGCTCAATTATTACTCTACAATACAATACAATCTAATATATAGAAAAAAAGAGTTTCCTGGAAAGGTACGCTTAGTGCTTAAACGCTGACTCTTTATGTTAAAAAAAAGCATAATAAAAGTTCTCCAAATCATCCTGGAGTTTAGATCTTGATGTTCTACAGGTGTAATAAAATATTGGAAGCCTGATTAAATTTGGATATTTCGACAGTGAGCATGCATAAGGGCGTATACGCGATGATCGATTCTCTTCATCGATTTTCTTTTTGCATTGCTACAACAGCTAAGCGAAACAATTTTCTAGAATTTGTTCAATGCAGTGTTGTAACAGGTTGTATTGGCTATAAAAAGCAAAGCAAACGTAGGTACCTAGAAACTTTAATTTATTAACAAAAGAGAAAATCGACGAAGAGAATCGATGATCGCGTTTACGCCCTTATGAATGCTTACAGTCATTCAAATTTCCAAAAAGGTTTTAAATCCCATAATGAGTATTTGATATAGATCCAATTCAATACATAACACAACAAGTTTGTCCAATTGATTAAGCTAAGGATTCTGCCAGATGCATCTCATCGTTTTAATGTACTGATCAAAGTAAACATTCTTGTAGCTATTTTACTTCAATTTCTGAGCTACTGTGTAATGTGCTAAATGAAGATGATAACATTCGCCACCACCAAATTATCGAAGTTGCCTGATGTGATAATTGATGTGTAAATGTGTAATGTATAATGAAAATATGCTCTTTCATTATGGGGTGCATGTCACCGTGCCAGCACCATAATGTGATGCGTTCCTAATGATGACGCACTAATCTATTTTCGATCGCATCTCGATTTTGACAAGATATTTTTAAAAACTTTGGTACACCATCATCCTAGAGCACTGGAACTAATATTTGAAAAAGCAAAATTTCAAAAATAAAGATTGAATTATTATGAACCGCTTTGAATATGGTGCCAAAAAAAAAATACAAAATGGCACAACCCTGTATATATAGCTTGAGAACTGTTATTGCATTGTTGCCTATTGAATTGTTATCTATACAAGGGGATTGACTTGTTGCACAATACATATGATTTGAAATAACAAAATTTACAAAGTTCACTTACCTTGGCGAGGGTTTCGCAGGCAATCGGGACTGTCGAGTTGACCGGGTTCGAGATAATACCGATCAGGGCCTTGGGGCAAGCCTTGGCACAACCAGCGGCCAGGTCACGGACGATCGAAGCGTTGGTGTTGAACAGGTCATCACGAGTCATACCGGGCTTGCGGGGGACACCGGCCGGAATGATAACAATGTCGGCATTAGCCAGAGCTTTCTCCAAATTTTCCGGACCATTGTAGCCGGTGACCTTCGAATGGGTTTCAATGTGAGACAAATCGGCAGCCACTCCGGGTGTGTGGACAATATCGTACAGGGACAGTTCCGTCACCAGCGGGCTCTGCTTCAGCAGCAGCGACAGGGGCTGGCCAATACCACCGGAAGCACCGCAAACGGCCACTTTGACATTGTTCTGAAAATTGCACACAATTCATTGACCTTGCAACAATAGGTTACGTAAAGTCTCGAAAAATCAAACCGGCCCAGCACAGAACCGATCCTGCTTGAAATTTGTTGACTATCCCTGAAATAAATGCGACCCCCATCTCACCTGGCTAGTAGTGGAGAAGTTCTTGGCTCCCTGAGCAGCAACAGATTTCAGTGTACGGGCGAACATTTTTCACGATTTTACAGAAAATTGACTTTTCGGAAGAGATTATCGACACTCCACAGCACACGCAAGCGGATGAACAGTGCTGATTCTGGCAGCAGTAGAAAAATGAGAAAAATCGAATGAATCGATCCCCCTTCTTCCCTTTTTTTAGCACCCCCCACGACTGTACGCAATGCTCCCCTCTTGCGCAAACAACATCCGCGTTGCAAGCGAGAAAGAGAGCCAGCCTGGAGTGTGAGCGAAAGGGTACGATTGTGTCAAAAACAGTCGTTCTGCCATGTGACGGATAATGTTCATGATCCCAGTGGCGGAATTAATATAAAATACACGGTAGCCGCAAAATACACAATAATGACTACAAAGTACACACTTTTTAATCCACTGAATTAGAAGCAGATAGTACCAACAATCAATACGAAACTAACGATTTTAAATTACCTCACTACTTCCCGCATAAACGCGAACCATAAATTGACCTTACCAAAAATGGTTAAAAATTGTTTATAATCCCTGCTAAAATTTAAACTGAAATGGTTATGGAACTTTACAAGAACGTTTAATGATAAAGTTTTAACCTTATGTATTATGGTTTTTTGGAAGCGGACCTTACAAATAATGAGTTGTTAAGAACCATTACCATTCAAAATTCTTGTTTTCTCCATATATTTTCGGGAGGAGGACTATATTAGAACCTTTTAACTTATGGTTTGAGAACATTAATGGTTATGGTTGTGGTAGTCAGTAAGGTCCATGAATAGTTTTGTAACATCGATCAACTTTATGTGGAATATATCGCGAATTGGTTGCCTGTAAATTACTGATTACCAATCCACGATATATTCCACGTAAAGTTGAGCGATAATACAAAACCATTAATGGACCTTACTGACTATCATAACCATAACCATTAATGTTCTCAAACCATAAGTAAAAACGTTCTAATATAGTTCTCTTTTCGAAAATGTATGGAGAAAACAAGAATTTTGAATGGTAATGGTTCTTAACAACCCATTATTTGTGAGGTCCGCTTTCAAAAAACAATAATACATAAGGTTAAAACTTTATCACACAAACGTTCATGTAAAGTTCCATAATCATTTCAGTTAAAGTTTAGGAGGGATTGTAAACAATTTATAATTATTGTCGGTAAGGTCAAGTTATGGTTCGCGTTTATGCGGGTTGACTAGCCCATTGGTCCCAAGCAAATCGACTAACGTACCCCATTCTAGTAGAAATTCCAGTACTACACTATGTTTGTTTTGATTCGCTATGAAAGTTTGACAGATAAAATGAGGGGTTCGTGGATTTTCCTATGTTGCGAGGGGTGCACCGATTAGCTTGGGACCGAAGATAGTACCAGAGCTGAGCCGAAATTTGAGCTCGTTTCTTCGGGACCTTCTAGTCTTAGAGTTACCTCTATGATAGTACGCACCCTGACGCGAACCATAAATTGACCTTACGAAATTCTAGATAGAGCTGGAATTAGGGCGTAACCGCTTTTGTAAACAATGACTTCTTTTGATGATTTCTAGAAAGTAAAGGCTTGCCAACGCAAATCAACTACACCATCGGGTAGTGGAAGAGTTCCCTTAGCCGGAGGTTATATTGGTTTGCGTTAGCGTGCCTTGAATTTCTAGAAATCATCGATAGAAGTCATTGTTTACAAAAGCTGTTACGCCCTAATTCCAGCTCTATCTAGAATTTTCAAAAATTGTTTATAATCCCTGCTAAACTTTAATTGAAATGGTTATGGAACTTTTAAACATGTTTTTTAGATAAAGTTTTAACCTCTTGTCACAGACAAACAGATATAACCCATTGAATATTGTTCATTGTAAAACATTCTCGCTAAAACATTACCGCCATCTGTTGAGTACACTGTGGTGGGTAGTACGCTGAACAGATGGTGGTAGCATAGAGGTAACTCTAAGACCACTGGGTCCCGAAGAAAATCATTATTATTTTTGGCTCACTCAGTACCAGAACAACGGTCCCAAGCAGTCCCAAGCTATTTCACTCACCCCTGCATGTTCTGCATGAATCCACACACCCCTGATGTTATCTGTCAAACGTTCATAGCGAATCAAAACAAACATAGTGTAGTAATAGAATTTCAACTAGAATAGGGTACGTTAATCGTTTGCTTGGGACCAATAGGCTACTAAAGTGGTGAGCCAATTTAAAATCGTTAGTTTCGTATTGATTGTTGGTGGTAGTGTGTAAACGTCAAACGCAAGGGAATTTACTATGCGCGCCACAGGTGGCTGTACTATAAACTGAGATACTTTCAAATTGACCGTTAAATGCTTGTTCGATGAACAACTGGTAGGCTGGTAGTAAAGCAGGTGAAACAGTTTGGGGAAAAATCATTTTTATTTAATTGTAGCTTGTTTAACAATAATGTCTGAACAATAATAACTGAACGACAAAATCCCTGACTAATTTCTTTAGGTTGTCGTTCACTTTTTTGACCTAAATATGCACCGGAAATAAATTATTCCCACTTCTCTCAATTTCGATATGCACAGCAAAAAATGTAATATCGATCAATATAATTCAAGCTGATGTATGAAATAATGATGTAATAGCAAAAAGTCGATACAATATTACATCAACGTTATATTACACAACCGATGGATTGACCTGGTTTTTTGGATGTAATATTCAATAAAAAAAATTCTGTGTGGGAATTTTTATCACTTCCTACCAGCGGAACAGCACCATCTCTGTGAAAAATGGCCGGACGATATTATTAATTGGTAATCATTAATTTACAGGCAACCAATTCTTGATATATTTCATATAAAGTTGATCGATAAAACAAAACCATCGGGCTCCCTCTTAACTTCTCCACGAACCGACGTAAACATTCACTACCCCTGTTGACCGGCGACGTACATCTCGCTTCTCACATCCCATTTCACGGTAGGCTGGTCGCGAGTACAGCTGAAACCCCGTGGTGTCAATATTGTCCATACGGCTTAAATCAAGCTCAATATAAGTTTTTCTAAATTTCATAACGCAATCATGCAGTTAATCTTTGGAACTATGTTTCTGTGGAAGAAAATATGATTTCCATGAAAATTGTGAGCTTTTAGATCGTATGGTCAATTAGGAGAAAGCTTAGCTGGTACGCTACCCCTACACAGAAAAAAAAGTTGTTGAATATTACTTCCAAAGTGCTGCAACCAGGTCAATCCATCGGTAGTGTAATATAACGTTGTACGATGTACATCGATTTTGCGAACAAAATTACATCTATTGATGTTATATTGTATCTGCTTTTTGCTATTACATCATTATTTCATACATCAGCTGGAATTACATTGATCGATATTACATTTTTTTTTGCTGTGTACATGCTGTATGTATTTGAATTTTCCCTTACACTAAAAAAATATTAGAATCTAAATAGTATAAAAGTTACGCTAAATCGCAACTCTCCTACCCGACGCATAACTCGCTATAAAGGGAGAGAATACGAACTTAGTATAAAAGTGATTTATGCATGCAAAGCGCATGAATTCTTTATATGAATAACCGTTGTTTATTCAGGGTTTGAAGTTACTTTTACCGTCATTATTTTTTTATTTCTCTTGGGAGTCGAGTTTCTAACGCCTTTGGATACGGTTGTGTGTTAAGTTCGTTCTCTGTTTTGTGCGTGCATTCGCTTTCATAGTTTTCGGCTGCATTTGCCGGATTAGCGCTGGCTCTCTGCCTCCCGGACGGTTATACGTGTGTGAGTGTTGGTTTCTCGCTTTCCGAGAAGTTTTAGAATCGAGAAAGAAAACATGATTCATCATGTTTGCAAAATTGGCGTGGTTTGATTGTTTCTCCCGGACCAGAAATTTGTGGCATCGCGAGTGAAATTTCTGTTTATTTACGCGGTGATGAGAAGTGCGCTGAACTATTGTCAGGGTTTTGAGATGTGCATTGCTTTTGTGCACGGAGTGACTTGAAAAAAGAAAAGTGATATTTGGTTGTTGTGTGGTTGGAGTGGAGGGAAAAAAATATGCGTGGAAGCATCGGGAATGCGCTCCCGGGTGAAGTGATTTGGTGAGAACGTTCCAGTTGAAGATTGTTGACAAGTGTATTTGTGGTGATGCAAATTATGGTTTAGATGACGCATGACTTCAAACATTTTGTGTATCCAAATAAAACATATTACATACTAAATACGCACAGGGCATCGTCTGCTGACCATTGCCGCGGGTATATCGTGGGAGTCCCAGGTACCCGGTTCAAGCTTTAGTTGGCGGCGGTGGCTCTTCTTGACCTTCTACCCCCTGAGTAGTTAGTGTGAATAAGGGCGTCTATGTGATGTTTTGCTGTACCTGTTGTGGACATTTAGTGCATCCTGTTCCCTTAACTTGTTGAGGACACCCTGTCTTGCCTCAAAAGTTACCCTTTTTGAAGTACTAGTCTTCACAACATAAAGGGCACCATTACGGAGCATGAGATTTGATCAAATTATTCGCAGTTCTACTTGTCCAACGCCCCCGGCTGGGTGAGGGATAGAGGATGACACACACACACACATTATTTTTTTATTTCTCTTCAGTATCAATTTAAGGAACAATTTAAGCAAAAAATGAAAATATTTTATTTTCCTCGTAGCATTGGAATATATGATCTACGAAATTTATTTTTTTTCCATTTGCTTCCATTGTTGATGCGACCACTTCCGTAGTGGTATCGTTAGTGATTTAATTTGAACTGCAACACGGATCTAATCGAAGTTGCTTGGCTAGCACCCACACCTTCTCCTTGGTATCCTGCTCGGCGTGTCGCAGCCCTATGCAATACACCCATTATTATTCTGCCTGTCGTTGCCAACATCGTATAGATAAGAACAAGTCTATGTGCCGTGCCTGATGACTTCGCTACCGTACCGCGATAGAACACGCCATGGCCATCTACAGCTGCATTATGGAGAACTCGAACTACTGCCTGGAGCCAGCGAACAGCGAAGGATGTATGAAATACTCGGTAGTTGTCGATGGTGTTCCTCATTCTGAAATTCATGGTCAATGACGGCTTGAGAGAATCCGGACAGAACATATTTGCCTTCGATCCAACATCCTCATCGAATAATGCAAAGATCCAGTATTTTGTGCTGGGATCTGAAATTAAATCACTATTTTAAGGATTACTTTTAAAGCACAAGAAAACCTACCATACTATTTCGATGGAATGCTCTTGAGCAGTTTATATATGAATCTGGACGGTTGTAAGTACCCGTCCTTACAAAAACCAGCTGCTTCTTCCCCGACATCTCCCCATGCATTACAGGGAAGTTGCTCGCATTTGGTTGTGTTTGGAATCCTCTTCGTCGTCCTAATTTGTGTAAATGCCTAAAACGAAATTCCAATGAAATGCCAATCACACTGTGAATGTGGTAATCCCATGTACCTACCTCTTTTTCCATCTTGATCAACTGCATGGTATCCTCGTCCTTCACGAAGCTCATCTCTTACTGCAAGTTCTGATTTTCCATCATTGTCATCCGATTGATGTCCTGTTTGTTAAGTTGGTAACGATGTTTTGCAACAACATAAGTTTGTTGTATCCGGTCACTTTTCGGACTTTTCAATCACCGGTTGGTTCACTCCAGTCACACACTGCACAAGATACGGTGGTGGCAGATCGAATCGGGATGACATTAACACAAGGAGTATAGAACAGCTGGCACCAAGCAAAGCGAGGTTTTTGGTGAAGGAAGGTCAATCAGGGACAAGCTCGAATTTTGGTAATCGTAGAATGAATCCGTGAACAAGGCTCCACCTGCTGTTCCGAATGTGTAAATTAGTAAACTTGGCCACGATGGATGACAGCATCAATAGTAATGGTAGGAAGCCAAAGGATCTGTGTGGTCGCTTCGATTACGTCACTGTCCGGCCAGTCTTGGGAAGATCCATTTCGCAGTCAATTGAATTCCTGCCTTTGCGGAGCGAAGGTCATGTGCCAAGCTGTGGACTGCTTTGAAATGGGAAATGGGAGTCCACCATCCACAGATTGGTGTTGCCAGTAACGGACATCAGCTAATTGAACAGGAGTTTCACTGAGGCAGCCGTTTAAGGTTTATTTCCTGAAGCAGATTCGAGTGTAAGAATGAAATATTGAACGCGACTAGCTAAAAAGATAAATTAAAATTATCTGCCATAATTCACGTAGAGATTGATCAATTCATCGTATTAATCGTAGCCAACGCCGGATACCTTGATGCCGATGCATTTCAGCATAACGTCGGGGACAACCGCAGCTGCTCTTTATCGGATTTCATCAATTAATTAATCCATCGTGCTGGTTTAGGTTTGATAACTTGTAATTTTGGTTTTGCAACTCCGACTTTTGTGTTTGCTACTCTTCTTGTGTATAAAAATATTGGTATACACTGAACGAATTTTGCTCCATCATTCGAACTTAGTATAATTTTGGGGTGAAACTTTATCAGATCAATGTATAAACATTGCGTAACTGTAAATTGATTACATTTTAATCTATCCTTGAATAGTAATATTTTTGAGTGTATATAGTCCATATTGTAACACCTCATACCACTCGGGAAGCAAAAAAAAACATCACACCAACTGTCAATTGACGGACCCACGAAGCTGACGCCGAGGTGATCAAAAATCAAAACTGTCTGTCTGTCTCAAAAATTGTGTGCGAAGTTCGCGTTTCGATTCAATCACTTCGCGTGCAGTGGAAAGAAAATCGCGAGAATTTCCCCAGCACAAGCAAGCAGGAGGAATATCAGCAGTGTGTTCATTACTAGCTAGTGTTTACGGTTTCCAGTCCGGAGGATATATAGTGGGAAGATGCCTGCCAAGGAGCGAAACATTGCCATGATGGGCTACCGATCCGTAGGTATGTACCTGAAGAACGGACAGCGATCCTCCTCCATCCATTGTCACAATATACAGGAAACTGCGGTGATTGATGGCTCTCTTTTTTCAACTATCATTCTTGTCCCTCCCTCCCCCGTGTGTGTGCGCGAGGATTGTATAGGACAAGTTTTTATTGCGAAGTTTGCTTTTACGCAGCTTCTAGTTGGGAATTTCACTGCAAGGTTCTCTTCATTGCTGTACTGAGGTAGTGCCCCATCCCTCTGTTATCAGCAGCACAGATGAGCGAAAATCGGGTGTGAGGCTGAAATTGCGAGCGATAAGACAATTCGCTTAACTCTGCGGGGTCAATTTTCAGCAAATTGCGTTCTCCCTCCGGGAAAATCCTTTGTTTGGATGACTACCGGGCGGATCATGTCTCTCGGATTTGCTAGAATCCAGTGCACGATATCACTGAGTGTAAGTGAGGGAAGAGCCAGCGATGCAACGCAAGGCGCTAAGTGGAAACAAAAATAAACAATGTTCAAATATTGGGCATCTAAATTGAAGCAACTCTCGCCGATGGTTTCTGTCTGCTGTTGGCTTGGCTGGCGCTTTATTGCTTCCTACTACCTATCTCAATATGCGCTGGTGTCGTGTATGTCGAATCTCAGCTGATGTTTGTTTTCTTTTTTTTTTTCTTTTGCATTTTTGCAGGGAAGTCATCGCTCAGTATTCAATTCGTCGAAGGGCAATTTGTGGATTCGTACGATCCGACCATCGAGAACAGTAAGTATTATCTTTTTGGAATGTCAATGCGGTTTGATTAGAGATAGGAGTTAACAGCGGCTATTTTAGTCGGTACACCTAATCCAGACTTTGTAATTATTGATAGGAAAACTGAAAGTACCGAGGTGCATTGATTGCTAATGCGCAAATCTAAGTACTTAGAATATTGCGAGGTACGAAACAACTTCTTTAGCAGCTAACTTACTGGAGTTTCTTCTGTACCTACGTATGAATAGAACAACTCCTAATGGTTTTCCTTCCTGATCGATTGGAAGTTGCTTAATCTAAATCGGTCTAGAAATGATGAAATGGGAGCAATATTTATTTTATTAGGTGGAACATGTTGGATACGCATGGGTAAAAATACATTTCATTTAACAAACTGGTATAAAATACATCTAAGTGCATTTTACTTCCTTAAGTATCCTGGTATCTTCAGTCGACCAAAGGACAACGTGAAAGACTTCCCTCCTGGACGACTGCTTGCTTTAATACGTGGGTCTTAGTCAAATTACATTCCATGTTCCTATTCTCACAGTTATAGATTTACGAATATTAATACCATAGAACCCCGTTAGTTTGAACAGCTAAATTAAACGGCACTCATATATAATTTGTTTAACTGGTTACTGGTTTAAGGGTGCCAGTTAAACAAAGCTCTGGAAAAGTTTATGAAAGTCTCATCTTCAAAACATAGCTAAGATTGGATATCTATTGATGAACATTGGTCTGAAGGCAGGATTTGCCACTAATAGCCAAAATACAGGTATACTAGAATAAGTTCGAACATATTCGCGCGGATTTGTCGCGAGTTTGATGCTAAGATTAACGCGAATTCAAATTTATCTTAACAAACAACCCTGCACATCTTATTCACTTTTACAGCCTTCACCAAAATCACCCGCGTCAATTCGACCGACTATGAAGTGAAACTGGTCGACACAGCCGGTCAGGATGAGTACAGCATATTCCCTGCCCAGTACAGCATGGACTTCCATGGGTACGTGCTGGTGTATTCCATCACCAGTCAGAAGTCGTTCGAGGTCATTCAGATCATCTACGAGAAGCTGCTGGACGTGATGGGCAAGGCTTAGTAAGTTTTCTTGAATCGTACCTACAACCGTTGCGGTTGAAATCGAAAATACTAAGATTCGATTGCGTTGTTACAGCGTCCCCGTGGTACTGGTAGGAAACAAGACCGATTTGCACCAGGAACGAGCCGTCTCAACCGAGGAAGGCAAAAAGCTAGCCGAATGTTGGAAGGCACAATTCTTAGAGACATCTGCCAAGCAAAATGAGGTAAGGACTGCTCAGTTTGTCAAGGTCGATGATTTTATAGTAATTCAATGTTTCCTTTCTCAGTCCGTAGCCGACATATTCCACCTATTGTTGCAGCAGATCGAGCGCGACAATGGAAACACCGGCGAAAAGAGCAGCTGTACAATTTCCTGAACAGCAGGTGAGGATGTCATGCAAATTATCCCAGTAGTCCTTCTCACTAGCCCAATCGCAGTAGCCTGAATCATTTTCTCCGCCCGTGGTCAATCAGCCACTCACAGTTGGCTACGACGAACCACGGGCGACTCGAGTAGTACCTTAATTTTTGGTTTGTGCGCAAATCGAATGATGCAACAATTAGCAATTGTGAAACAAGCAACAAGCAATGTTTTCTGTTTGATGCAAAGTGTTTCCGTTAACTGTTTAATTTTTCAAATATTGGAATTTTATATGTTGAAGAGTTTAATATATGATTTTGGATGCGATTGGTTCGGCTGAAAGCTGTCACCCAAGCGAGAAGACGGAACTGTAAAGATGGGAAAAGATTCCTTCACACTTTCACATATGCAATACAGACACCCCCCCCCCCCCCCCCCACACACACACACATACACTCTCAAACGTACAAGTCGTTTCATACCGTAACATCCGAGTTTAGTGTAACAAACAATATCATTATGCGGTCAGATAAGAATAGGATGGGCGAGAAGTTTTATAGGTGTGTTTCAACTAAGGCACCGTCGGTATGATTCTTCGGGAAATTAGAGGTAAAACTGTGTAAAAAAGAACCTATTGAAAATATATTTTAAAACAAATTTACCACCCTTAAACCTAGTAGTTCTTAGAATGTGTTCGAGTTATACTAATTGAGCGAAAAAAGGGATGAAAGTAAAATGATGACACAGAAAGTACCTAACCACTACTTTGCAACTGGGAAAGAATGCTAATGCGAGTCGGATTTTCATAGATAGGATTTACCAATAGATAACATAATTACAACACACACACACATACATACACAGACATACATTCGTACACTTTTTTGAGCGTGAGAGAACAGAAGACGAAGTAACACTTATGCAGTGGTAGTTGTTTTAATGGGAAGAAAAGTGAACTCCTACTTACAGGACTCGCACTATCACACGCTTTCCACAAATGAGCTAATAAATTAATAGCGTAACTAGCGGAGCGCGTCATCTGCACGGAATTTGATTTTCAGCAACACCATGTAAAGTGAGGTTTAATATCTTTCGTAAAATTAAGGAATGGCATGGCATCTCTGCTTGCTGCAAATAGGTACACTCAAAACATATGAAAACATGTTATCAGGCAGAAGCTACGTGTGGATATTTTTGAGTGCACAACCGGCCATACTGTATCAGGTTCGATCGACCTTAAAACAATCGGTTTTGACCTATTGATGAACTTTTTTTTTTGCCACGTAGTCACTGTTATTAATTTTAACGCTTTGCGCTGGAATGCGTCACCACGTAACTACAATGCAAGTATAACTTTTATTCATCGGAGATTAAGTAGCAGGATTTGCGAGGACAGTTCGGAAGGAAGTTCGCTCATGTACATCGGACATGTAGACACGTACATTCAAACACATACAATGAACATATAGGAACGCTTATTTTCGAGAAGGTATATTATTGAGAAATCGTACACTTATATTAATATATTTTAGTCTATACATATTTTTTGTTCATTGGAAACCAGTAAAAAAAATGTAGTTGTAACACTTAGGAAAGCATTAAAATCATGCGCTGCTGCAGTGGAAACGTAGACGAAATTAAATTAGTGGAAATGAAACGGAATTATTTTTAATTTAAAACCCACATGTTTTCTCATTGCGATATCACAGTCTTATAGGGTTAACTACCCCATTTCCGGCCTATTAAGCACAACCCGCACTTAGTCTTTCTTAATCTAGCGTAGTTTAGCACCAAACGGAATGTTATTATTACTGATGGCTTCCAAATGTATTTACCTTTCCGTATGTACCGTAAGATTTGACAAAGAGAAACCAATCGTTGAGATATTGTTAAAAGTCTAACACTGCTTCTTGACGCCAAACTCGGCCTACGGATTCTAAACTCGGTCTAACGCATTGAAACGCCAATGAATTCACTTCGGCCTATCGGATGAAGATAAAAATTGATTTGAGTAGTTCTCTACCCTATACCTATAAGTATTGTTTCTAACAGTCATCGGCAATCTTAAATTTCAGTCAACTCGATATTGTCCTTTAAATCTATAGAAATCTCTGCATAACCCCGAACAATTAATGTTCCATTTTGTTGATGGAAAGGCAGTCAGTACCAAAAGTTCCCGACAAAGATCTAGCGTTGGTGCTGGAAAAATGCGGTAAAGAAAGCGTGTGGTTCGTGAGAAATTCCCACCACAGTTTGGCTTCGATATTTATACTGGTGTGCGCGGTGTGTACATGGATGTGAAGAATGAAATTCCTACATCGCTGGATTTCCTCAATCGGAAGGGGAATATCTTCTACCAAGAGAACAAGAACGTGTGTTTTGTTAGTAGGATGGAAGGGCACCGGATGAATTTCTATCCCAAGCGGAAATTTCGGAAGCAGCTTAAGAAGCAACAATCGACGGAAGCACGAAACGGAGAAGAAAAGCATTACTAGGATGAAGAGCTGCTTGAATACAAGTTCGTACGCAGATATGTTAACCCTGGGCATTGGCATAACCTTGAGGATTGCTGGTTGTCAGTATCTTAACATTTTATAGTAGAGGCCAGTTGAAATGTAGCGGACGAAAAAATTGTTGGATTTTAACTACTAGCCAAAATAAAATAATAGTGAAGTTTATAATTATGAGTTCAACTATAACTTGATTATCTAAATAATAGAATCTAACAGCTGTAAAACAAATCTTTATTTGGCTCAAAACTTTTGGAATGCGACATCACACAAGTATGACCTTTGAATTTGGCTTAATCGAGTGGCGATTTTCTTTTCTCTATAGATCAAGACGATGTGGTTTTGAAGAAGACAACGATATTAGCTATCTGCACGATGGATCATCATATAGCTATGATAGAGGGATAGAACATCATTTTATTTTCATAAAAACAAAACCATCATAACAGATTATGAGGAAAGTTCTTTTTAGTATGGGATCCCGGAGAAGAAGAAAAGTTTTAAGACTATGCTTCACATAGAAAACCAGTGTAAGACAGGATGCAGAAAGAAGTGGTCGATCGGCGGATTATTGGCAAAAGGTGGCTAATAACAGAAGCAAGTATTTAAATCAATCACGAATCAGAATATGAAGACTCGGAAGATACTCTTAGTGATTCAAGTAGCGATGATCAACTCAACATCTTGGATTTCAGAGGTTTCTCTGATGATGAGGATGATGCTTTCCCAGGATTCGTCTAATCAACAACATCATAATATGCCATCGTGCGTCAGAACCGAACGGCTAAGCGCCATCTTGTGAGACAAGGAAAAAACTACTCGCCGCTAGCGCAAAGGCAAAACCCCATCTCCGGTGCGAAATACCCAGTGCGGAAAACACTCATCCAGGGTAGAACAACGAGAGGCGGAACAGCACACCCCGTCGGAAAAGAGTAAGTCGACAGTAAGTCCTTTTGCTCAATAGCAAGCTAACGAAATTGATTGCTCGTCATAGGCCTTGCACGTGCTCGCCATCTTGTTACACGCGGGAAACCTCTCGAAGATCGCACACCCGGGCACGAGAGGTACGGGATATTACGATCAGAAAGCGCATAGGGATCGCCCTCACTTCGTCCAACACGGCTGCAGGACAAAAAAGCCTTCGAAAGAGAAGTGAGTTGTTCTTGAGCCCCAATATGTACAGGAAGACTGATGTTGTATCTGTCTTAGGGCTTTTATTTGCAGCCTGATTTTCCGTGTTTGCGGGCTATATCAACGTATCGCCTCGCTGTGACACCAAATTCCCACCAAGGCGATCTCAGCCGGACGAAAGCGACCCGGTGAGGCAATGTGTCATACATCACCTGATTGCATCGATTGTCCTAACCGAGCCGGTATCGAAGCGAAAGGCTGTCGCTACCTAGGTAGCTACTGAACTGCAGGTCCTCGGGCAGTCAGCCGACATCGAGGACGACCTAAGGCGGGGTTCGTGACGAGCTGAGATCGACCATCGAGTTCTGCGACGCATCGGCCAGCAAATTCGTCTGGAGTGACTATTCCGCAGGCACAGTGTGTCACCACAGACCACGGACGTGACGGGTGGTGTGAAGTCGGAGCGGCAGGATGTCGGCGCGGTGTAACTAACACCGAGGATTTGAATTGTATGCAGCGTATCGTGAGTAGAAGAAAATGGAAGAAACATAAAAAGAACCTGTTGCTATGAAAGTTTGACAGATAAAATGAGGGGTTCGTGGATTTTCCTATGTTTCGAGGGGTGCATCGATTAGCTTGGGACCGAAGATCGTACCAGAGCTGAGCCAAAAAGTTGAACACGTTTGTTCGGGACCTTCTGGTCACAGAACAGAAGGAGAAGTGCAAACAAATCGGTGAATCAAAAAGTGTTCGTTTTTCTGCTCAACAAGCGATGTGTTGTGGTAGCGTTCCACACGGGCTTTCTATGTGCACTCACACTATTATCACAAACGAAGTGACAGACGACTAACTGGCGAAGAAATCCATTTAAATAATGTGGTTCACTGTAATAGAATTTTCTTGGAAGCTTTTGCCATCATCCACCAGATGGGTTAGTTTTTTTGTTTTGATTTGAACAAAGTTGATTTTGTGTACAATGATTCTTTGACAGTGTGCAAAGAGTGCGTATCATTTTGTCATTTTTTTTGTGCATTTCAGTTTTGAGTAGAGTGAAAGAGATAGAACCAAAACATTCTAGTACATTTGGTGAAAATGCTAGTTCAATCTAGTAGTAGTGTTGCCATGTGGTACAATCCAGTAGTAGTGGTGTTGCCATGTGGTACACTGAAAAATTGCAATAGCAGGTTAGTCACCAAAGTTTTCGAGCCGCTCCGTCTGTCACTTCGTTTGTGCTATTATAGCATGCTGCCTATCTCAACTGCAGGCAGAAGATGCCTTCTACCGCTAGGTGCGCTAGTGTTCGCAAATGACAAGTGGAGCCACTTTCTGATCCAAAGTTCCACTCCTGTGTTCTAGTCTTAGAGTTACCTCTATGATATTACATATTACTACTTACCTATACCAGTAAGTATAGGCCGATGGTAAGAGAAATGGGTGATGAATACTTTACATCTAAGATCTGGAATATGTAGCACAAAGTCTGTGAGTGGTCGGAAAAAATGTGTTTGCTCTTAGTTCTTTCAATTATTCGAAAGTTATTATCTTAATTCCTTCTGTATTTTAATTGGCTGAAAAGGGCCGTTTGTATGTTGGTTGTTGGCCCTGAAAAGGCAAATCCACATGCCCGGACCTGGTACATAGATGACATTGCTTCACGACACCGATGATGGTAACGCGTAACGCTGTGGTGACGCGCAACGCACTTAACGATGATGGCCCACAGCGGTGGATCTCATGAGACATCTGTGGTCGATCAGAAGTGATGCAACGTTTTTACTACGGGCTGGAGCGATCCTGGTTGCAAGTATATGGCAGCATTCACACCAGACCAAGCCGTGCTCTAGCTAGCATTGAATTGGATTGTTGTGAAAGAACAACTAACGCTAGTTGGCTCTTTCACACCACTCCAAGTCGATGCCGACCAGATGACGGCGGCCCAGTCATGCTGCCTATTGCGGAACACCTTTCCTCCAGTCGATGTGGGTACATTCGTCGTCGTCTTCGTATTGGTGCGATACGTGCTGGTCCACTCATACGTCGTGTCCGATGCTTATCCGTTCGTTGCTCAAAAGTAAATGACGAAGAAAACCTTTTTTTTAGTAAAATTATGTTTATTTCTGTTGATTGGTATAGTACATTGATTTAAAATTTTAATTGATTAGCCTACAAGGCTACCAGGCTCTTCATCTTTGTTTAATTTGATATTCTAACTTAATATTTGCGTTTTTCAACTAGTTTACAGAATACCCCTTTGGGGTGTGTTTTGTTTGAATTGAAAAAAAGTGAAAACCTACCTAACTACGAGTATAACTTAGATCACGTAGATCACGTATGATCTGATGATGTGATCTTAAACAGGTGTCTCTGAACCTTTCCAGGATGAATACTCTCCGTTCTCCTATTTCTGAATTCCAGCTAGGAGGTGGATCTCAGAGTTTCTAGTCCGCGGGGAATGTTTAGGACCATCCTAAGAATCTTGTTCTGGATCCTTTGGAGTTTATGGTGATGGCATTTGGCGCAACTCTCCCAGATTCGCATCCCGTATTCTATGAGGGGAAGGATGATTTGTTTGTAGACAGCAAGCTTATTTTTCAGGGATAGAGTAGACCTACTGTTGATGAGTGGATACAGTGATCTTATCAAGATGTTACACTTGATTTTGGTTTTATCAACGTGCTCCCTGAAAATCAGCTTGCTGTCTAGTGTTAAGCCGAGGTAGACTACCTCTTTCGACCATTCCACCACTGTGCCGTTCAGGCAGATCTTATTATTCACCAACGGAACAAGTCTGGGAGATTTAGAGTGTGGAAAGATGATGACCTGGGTCTTTGCCGCGTTGATACGGATCTCCAGCTGTTGAAATATTCAGACAGGACGTCCAGGCCTCTCTGAAGTTTGGCAGTCAGAGCTCCGATTACCCTACCTTATAGATTTCGTTAATTTCGTATTGATTGTTGGTGATACCAACCGGTGGAAACTAACGTTCTTAAATTGGCTCACTACTTGACTAGCCTATTGGTCCCAAGCAAATCGATTAACGTACCCCATTCTAGTATAAATTCCAGTACTACACTATGTTTGTCTTGATTCACTATGAAAGTTTGACAGATAAAATGAGGGGTTCGCGCATTTTCCTATGTTTCGAGGGGTGCATAGATTAGCTTGGGACCGAAGAGCTGAGCCAAAAAGTTGAGCACGTTTCTTCGGGACCTACTAGTCTTCGAGTTACCTCTATAGTATCACTCTCTCTGTTGCTTTGCTGTCATTGTCCAACGATGCACCTCCAGCTACTACACCAGTGGCAACAAAGTGACGCTCAATCATAATCGCTCCAGTCACGCTTATAGTCGCTATATTCATAGTCTGGCGAATAGAATCTCGGGAGCCAATTGAGCTGTCAAATAGCGGAACCAAACGAGCAAATCACGACCAACAACAGAAACGAGCACATCAGTTATTGCGAACAAAACTTCGGAACCCCTTTTCTCGTGACTCGTTGGGGAAGGTTTTCCCTATCCGATGATGCTGGTAATTTGCGAGGAAAGAATAATCAACGTTTTGTTTTTAAAAGTTGATAGTACCTTTTCAATTGTTCGTCTACAATATATTAAATTGGTTCCGCTTTTTGATAAATCGAAATTCTATCCGCCAGACTATGAATATAGCGACTATAGTCACGCTCGGTGCTATGGGATTAACGGATTTAGATACCATAAGCGATAGATTTGATTAGAATTTACCAGCAGGTTGCAATAGGGGCTCGTCAATATCGGATTGCACCGCTTGACAATTCAAAGGCGGTCATCAAACGGAACAGCTTTAAACACCATCTTACAAATTTATAAAAATGTTTCATTTTATACTCATCTAAATATAAAAAAATCTACATAAAATTAAGTCGGTATATCTCAACATGAACCTTAGACTATGTCAGTCAGAATACTCCCCCGGCCGGACCCCATGTCACCGCATCATCCGTGCTCCCGGATGTCTGATGTGCAAATTGGCTATATAATCCGTATTAATCCGCTGCACACTGATAGCGAACGGTTCCGTCGGGTGAAAGGTGAACGCTACCAACCTTCGAGAGCCCGAATTGGACAATTGGTTCTGAACTCCTGCATAGATGCGGAACTTAAGCAACCCAGAATCGCGAGCGAAAAACCGAATGGGGAACTCGGCACACGCCTTCGGCCGTTCCATAGCCGATACCCACTTGTCATCGTAGCTGAACAAACTGAGATCCAAGTACGGTGAACTGCTGTAGCTTTGTGCGCTGATTGGCAGTGCAGCCAGAATTCTCTTCGTTGCCTCCTGGACTCCTCCGCCACGAGCACCGATTATAGTCTGTTTGAAACGCTGATGGATTAGATTACTGTAGATGTTGTTGGCCGGTGAGCAGGTGAACTGCGTTTGATGGGCCTGATTGGCATTCCGGAAGCTGTCGCAGAAATTTTCATACAGAAACAGCAGCTCGGGCGATTGATTGCCATAAATGCCGATGATTCTGTTCTTCCAGATGTTGTACACCACGAACATCGAACTATTGTGATTGTTCGGTTCCAGCGTCTTCAGCGTAACGACATCTTCACTAGAATACTTGATCAGCAAATGGTCATCATCCAGCAGTTGCATCTTCCACATCCGTAAGTTTCGGTATTCATCAAATCTGCGGTAGAACTTTCGTAGTGCTAATCTATCTTCACCAGAATCCACCATTCCTTTGGCCTGTCTGAAGAGGAAAACCAACATTCGATGCTTCAAACTGTTGATTGTTGGTTCACGGAAAGCTCGTAAGTTCGAATTATTTCCACTGCGGCCTCCAGATGTACCCATGCTGTACAGCAAGCCTTCATCCGGGCAGCAGAATCTTCCTATCGTTCGTTCGAGAATGAATGTACCGTCGGCAATCGAAAAAATGTGAACCGTCTGATGTTGGATCGACAATATTGCCAACGTATCATTGTACAAATAAACACCCTGATTATGCGACAGTATGATTTTATCTACATTGAAATCCTTTGAGTCGGAAATGCGACCGTTGTGTAAATCTATGATATAGAGCGTGTAATCCTCCAAAGGGCAACTGGCAGTGGGTTTTATAGCTTCGTTATTCGTGTACAACTCGTAGAATCGAGGGTGGTTATCCTCTGGAATGAACGACGCCGCTCCAATGATTACATACTTCCCATCGTTGGTGAACAGACTGCACTCGCGATTCAACTGGTTCTGGTGACTTTCCATGTTGACTATGTGCTTGAGCTAAAAACAATTCATTTTAATATTATAAAAATCCAACCAACCCATAAAATCTCACCTTGAATAAATTTTCAAATATCTGACTGCGAATTTCGTAGCTCCGACCACCGGTGCCATCGTTCAGAATCACTTCCGGTGTTTCCCAGTCCTGAAACAATTTGGCCGCCGCAGCACACCCCATATACTGGTAGATTTCTAACGAAGCCTGATCCGACGAGAATGCGATCAGATACCTTCCATCCGGGCTGAATTTTCTCAAGTAGCACGGTGGCTTCTCGACATTGACCACCGTCAGATTGGGATAGACATTCTGGTAGAATTCCCGTACCGAATGCTGAGGTGTCTTCACTCCCATTCCTATCTCCCGATAGCGCAACCGGTGTACGATGTTTTGCGAGCGCAGTTTACGAAATTTTATCCGCTCCGTACAGACAAACTCCGGAGGATCACCATCGGACTTTGCCGAGTTCGATTCCGTTGCCATTACGGGTTACAAAGCCAATCTAATAAACCGAAAATTACCCGTGATGCAAACGGAGTAATCTGTATGGGAACGAAATTAATCACAACAAAACATGACACTTCTATCTTCTTATCAATCAACAGAAAACAATGTGGGGGTTGTGCTCTTCAAGTCGAACTGGCGTCTTTATCGCAACACCAGAGAGAAAAAAAAATCTCTAATATACACGCTAAGAAAAAAATATTTATTTTTTTTAAGTTTAACAAGTTTTGAGAAAACTCGCCATGGTAACGGTTCTTAACAACTCATTATTTGTAAGGTCCACTTCCAAAAAAAAAAAACAATAAAACAAAAGGATAAAACTTTATTGTTAAGTTCCATAACCATTTCAGTTAAAGTTTAGCAGCAGGAATTACAAACAATGTTTAACCATTTTCGGTAAGGTCAAGTTATGGTTCGCGTTTATGCGGGTATGTTTTGATTAGAAATACTCATTCGACAGCAGGGATTTGTACCTAAATTATCTTGAAACCCTTGCTAGAAGCTAGCATTTCACATCACATGACTTTTATTTTTAATTAGACTTACGTGCTAAATAATAATTGATGGCATCGCAATATTTTGCACAATTCTTGGTGCCATTAATTTAGTTGGTTAATTGGCAATCAATGATTATTTAGCACGTTAGTCAATCAATTAATCAATAAAGTTAGAATATTGTTTTTGATTCCAAAAACTAGTTGAATTTGAGAAGCACACGAAACATATAGGAGATTGAATCTCTTTTCGATTGCAATATTCTCTAATTCAATCTAGTAAGAATAAGAAATCCCCGGAAAAAATCTAATGGGAATGTTCGATCGGCTCAGATTTGGCTCAAAACATTCTCTCAGCCCCGAGCTCCACCCATCTCTCCCTCTGAATATTTCTAGTTTTGATTGGTTGGCACATACGAAAAATAACTTTTTTGATGAGCAAATGAAACAGAAATGAGAAAAATTTTCTACCTTGTTCAACTCCTCTTATTCCTCTTCGATCCTTGTTTGGACCCTACCCGAGGTAATCCTTCTTGGATATCGATTTGGAAAATTCCTCTTCGATCCTTCAGATTCTTATAGTAATCTGCTTGGAAGTCGATTTGGATAAAAAATTTACTGCCGCCATGGCGCCTAAACGCAAAAGAAAGGGGCAAACTCTTGACCCCCCTTCTGAAGAAATTAATTTGAGTAATCAATTTGATTTGCTCACGGATGATGAGAATGATCCATCATCCAAGAAAAATTCTAGTAAACTTTCCCGGCTTAATGCTAAGAAGGAAAAGATTCCCCCTATTGTGATAACCACTACCGATTTCCATGCTCTTCGCATGGAACTTTTGAATTTCGTGAAAGTTAAGTTTTCACTACAAATTGGACGTCGGGGTGAATGCCGTGTATTGGCTGAAACCTTGGACGGATTTAAATGTCTTCTCAAGTATCTTACTGAGAAGAAGCACAAATTTTTTACTTACGACACCAAAACTGAACGTGTGTTCAAGGTTGTCATGAAAGGACTGCCCAGTGGTGAATCCCTGGATCAGATCAAAGATGAACTGGCAAAATTACTTGGAGTTGTGCCACTTCAAGTAATCAAAATGAAAATGAAATCCCGTCCTGGCGATTCGCGCAACGGGATTTCTAATGATTTTTATTTAGTTCACTTCAAGTCTAGTGAACTAAACAACCTTACGGCCTTAGAAAAAGCTAGCCTTATGCTCCATGTCCGAGTGAAGTGGGAACACTTCAGGAAGACTGGAGGAAATTTCCAAAACCTCACTCAGTGCAGTAAGTGCCAGGGATGGGGTCACGGAACTAAAAATTGCTACATGCCAGCTAAATGCATGAATTGTGGTGATTCCTCTCACGCAAAGGACGACTGTCCTGTGAAGGAAGATCCTAAGAAATTTAAATGTTCAAATTGTGGTGAAAACCTCGGTGAAAACCACAAATCCAATTTTTGGGAATGTAAGACTCGCAAAGCGATCCTACAATCTCGTTCTAACCGACAGGTAGGAAACGCTCCACGTTTCCGACCAGGTATAAATTCCTCTGCTGTTAACAACGGTCAGCGAGGAACAAATTCTACATTCGTACCCGTAGGTACAAATATCACCCCTGCTTCAAATGTTTCATCTGTACCTACTCCCCTCGCTGCTAACAATGTTCAGCGAGTTAATGGAGCTACCTATGCTGCTATTGCAGCGGGTAGAAATCAAATACTAACCAACGTTCTAACGGAAATTTTGACAATTTTGACTTAGGAAGCATTACTGCTCCTAAAATGGAATTTTTACAGAATTCATTAATTGACATGATTTCTGATATGCTTAAATCTAACTCCATGTTTGATGCTATTCAAACTGGAGTAAAATTTGCTAATAATATTGTCATGACTTTAAAATTCAGTAATGGATTTTAAAGCATTAAACATTTTAAATTGGAATGCTCGATCTCTTAAAGATAATGAAGACGAGCTATTTAATTTTTTGAGAGTTCATAACGTGCATATTGCCGTTATAACTGAAACGTTCCTTAAACCTGGCCATAAGGTTAAGAAGGACTCAAATTATTTAATTTATAGAAATGATCGTCTTGATGGACCCTGTGGTGGCGTTGCCATCATTATTCATAGACGAATCAAACACAAAATACTTTCTTCATTTGAAACCAAAGTTTTTGAAACTTTGGGAGTTTCTGTTGAAACAAAATTTGGACAACTTACGTTTATAGCTGCCTATTTGCCATTCCAATGCGTAGGCCAGCAAAAGAATTTTCTCAAGGGTGACCTTCAGAAACTTACCCGTCATAGGTCTAAATTCTTCATTATTGGTGATTTTAATGCAAAACACCGCTCATGGAATAATGCTCAAAGCAATTCCAATGGTAATATTCTGTTTGATGATTGTTCTGCAGGTTATTACACTATTCAATATCCAAACAGCCCAACATGCTTTTCTTCTGCAAGAAATCCCTCAACTATTGATTTGGTCTTAACTGATTCATGTCATCTTTGTAGCCAATTGGTTACCCATGCTGACTTCGGTTCTGATCACCTTCCAGTAACTTTTGAAATATCCCAAGAAATAATTTCTAATCCCAACAGCTTTACTTTCAATTACCATAGGGCTGATTGGGAGCAATATCGAACATTTATGGAATATAACTTCGATCCAAACATTCCTTTGCAAACCAAAGATGAAATTAATTATGCTCTTGAATCTCTGACTACTTCTATAGTTGAAGCAAGAGCTGCCTCAGTACCAAAATGCGAGGTTAAATTCGATTCAATTATAATAGACGATGATCTTCAGCTCTTGATCCATCTTAAAAATGTCCGTAGGAGACAATTTCAAAGAACGCGCGATCCTGCCATGAAAGTTATCTGGCGGGATTTGCAAAAACAAATTAAAAAGCGATTCTCTGCCCTGAGGAACAAAACTTTTGAAAATAATGTTTCTAAATTAGACCCGAGTTCCAAACCCTTTTGGAAACTCACAAAAATTTTGAAAAAACCTCAAAAGCCAATTCCAGCGCTTAAAGAAGGTGGTAAAATTTTGATCACAAATTTGGAAAAAGCTCAGAAACTTGCTAAGCAATTCGAGAGTTCCCATAATTTCAGTTTGGGTCCTATTGAGAATCAGGTTGCTCGGGATTTTCGGAATATTTTCTCTCGGGAAAATATTTTTGATGATTCCTGGGGGACTGATTTGGACGAAGTAAGGTCTATAACTAAAAAATTTCAAAATATGAAAGCTCCAGGTGATGATGGAATTTTCTATATCCTCATCAAAAAACTCCCAGAGAGTACCTTGTCTTTCTTGGTAAAATTATTTAACAGATGTTTCCATTTGGCATACTTTCCTGATAAATGGAAAAATGCAAAAGTTGTTCCAATTTTGAAGCCGGATAAAAATCCAGCTGAAGCTTCTAGCTACCGTCCAATAAGTTTGCTTTCTTCAATAAGTAAACTTTTTGAAAAGATAATTTTGAATAGAATGATGCTTCACATCAATACGAACTCAATTTTTGCAGATGAGCAGTTTGGATTTCGCCATGGGCATTCAACTACTCATCAACTCTTGAGAGTTACCAATTTAATTCGTTCAAACAAATCTGAAGGCCACTCAACTGGAGTTGCTCTTCTAGACATAGAAAAAGCATTCGACAGTGTTTGGCATGAAGGTTTAATTGCTAAATTGAAAAAGTTTAATTTTCCACTTTACATTATGAAATTAGTTCAAAATTATTTAACTGACAGAACTCTGCAGGTAAATTATCAAAATTCCAAATCTAATCGACTACCTGTAAGAGCAGGAGTTCCTCAGGGTAGCATTCTTGGGCCTATATTGTATAACATTTTCACTTCGGACCTCCCTGATTTGCCTCAGGGTTGCCACAAATCTTTGTTCGCTGATGACACAGGCATTTCCGCTAAAGGAAGAAGTCTTCGTGTTATTTGCAGCAGACTGCAGAAAAGTTTAGATATTTTCTCTTCTTATTTACAAAACTGGAAGATTTCTCCCAACGCTTCCAAAACTCAACTTATAATATTTCCACACAAGCCTAGAGCTTCGTTTTTGAAACCTAGTAGTAGTTACATAGTCACTATGAACGGAGTTCCAATTTCCTGGTCAAACCAAGTGAAATATCTTGGATTAGTTCTTGACCAAAAATTAACTTTTAAAGATCACATTGAGGGCATTCAAGCTAAATGTAACAAATATATTAAATGTTTGTATCCTCTTATAAACAGGAAATCCAAACTTTGCCTGACGAATAAACTTCTAATATTTAAACAAGTTTTTAGACCGGCCATGCTTTACGCTGTGCCAATATGGTCTAGTTGTTGCACTACCAGGAAAAAAGCACTTCAAAGGATTCAGAACAAAATTCTGAAGATGATTTTGAAGTTGCCTCCCTGGTACAGTACTACCAACAATCAATACGAAACTAACGATTTTAAATTGGCTCACCACTTTAGTAGCCTATTGGTCCCAAGCAAACGATTAACGTACCCTATTCTAGTTGAAATTCTATTACTACACTATGTTTGTTTTGAATCGCTATGAAAGTTTGACAGATAACATCAGGGGTGTGTGGATTCATGCAGAACATGCAGGGGTGAGTGAAATAGCTTGGGACTGCTTGGGACCGTTGTTCTGGTACTGAGTGAGCCAAAAATGATAATGATTTTCTTCGGGACCCAGTGGTCTTAGAGTTACCTCTATGGTACTACCATAGAGGTAACTCTAAGACCACTGGGTCCCGAAGAAAATCATTATTATTTTTGGCTCACTCAGTACCAGAACAACGGTCCCAAGCAGTCCAAAGCTATTTCACTCACCCCTGCATGTTCTGCATGAATCCACACACCCCTGATGTTATCTGTCAAACTTTCATAGCGAATCAAAACAAACATAGTGTAGTAATAGAATTTCAACTAGAATAGGGTACGTTAATCGTTTGCTTGGGACCAATAGGCTACTAAAGTGGTGAGCCAATTTAAAATCGTTAGTTTCGTATTGATTGTTGGTACTACCGAAGTACATAGAATTTCGAATGTTGAGACTTTAGCACAAATGTCCAACAAAATAATTAATAATTTCCGGCAAAAATCGTTACAATCCTCAATTGCAACGATTAATTCCCTTTATACTTAGATAAGATTTAGGTTTAGTTATTTAGTTTTAAGCTATCAATTGTTATACTGACATGCAGGTTTAAAAAACCTGTTTAAAATACTGAATTGCCAAGACAGGAACAATGTAAAAACACTTAGATATATATCATAACAATTAAGGCTGGTAAGTTACTGTACACAGCAAAAAAAGTTGTTGAATATTACATCGAAACTGCTGCAACCAGGTCAATCCATCGGTTGTGTAATATCACATTGTACGATGTACATCGATTTTGCGAACAAAATTACATCCATTGATGTAATATTGTATCTGCGTTTTGCTATTACATCATTATTTCATACATCAGCTTGAATTACGTTGATCGATATTACATTTTTTTTTGCTGTGTAGTAACTGGAGCACCTAGGTTAAAAATGAAATGTAATTTATTTTGAATTTGGAACAAATAAAGAGTTAAAAAAAAAAAAAAAAAAAAAAAAAAAAAATGTAGCTGGTCCGAATTTTGCCTTTAAGAAGAGTAAGCAGAGTAGTGTATGATAGCATTAAAATGTCAATTTGCTTACGTTTATTACATACGAGCTATTCAAAAAGCCCTCCAGACTTGTATAGTTTTTGTATAGTGCTCATAATTATTATACAAATAATGCTCATGCTCATAGTAGGTCGTACAAGTGTATCCGTGGATTGGATGGTCCTTTACTAAAGTTCTCTAAGTAAAAGTATTAATGTCAGTCAAAATGCACTGCTTTGCTCGATTGGAACAACTGTTTTTCTAAGAGGAAGAGGAGACAAGGCTTCTAACTCTTTTATCTCTATCTATATCTATCTCTATCTTACGCACTTCAAATTGTCTAATCACGAGCTGGTTTGCGTTTGACAGAAAAGTGGTTCGTTTTCGCCTCCGTACGCCTTCCTCTTAGCTGTTTTTCAGTTTTGTGGTAACAGTCGTCCATACTTTTACTAGAGTGTGTTACCGTGTACTCTCAACAAATATTCAAATCTAAATAGTATAAAAGTTACGCTAAATCGCAACTCTGCCCAACTCTGCGCTTGGCTAGGTATAACGAGAGAGAATTCGAACTTAGTATAAAAGTGGATTATGAGTGCCATAGTATAAAAAGGAAGTATAACTTACAATGCATATAAACGGTTTATTTAGGAGAATGCATTGTGTGTTATTTGTCTATTTCCAGCTCAACATAATTCAAATAATCAAATAATATTAACAAAGTTTGAAAAAGATAAATTTATTGCCACAATTAATAACTGATGCACAATTTGAAACAATATGACAACAATATGTGTATTATTGTTATTGTTTATTATGAGCAGGTCAACGTCGTTATCTGAGCATGCTTGCCCCAGATTTTCACATGCTCTCCATGAACCACTATCCATTTCGAAGATTCCAATGGGCAGTGAATCCAGGCACCGTCGAGAAGCAGATTAAAACGTCAATGTAAACCTTCATATTGATTGGGCTCCTTCTTTAGATTGATAAGCACATCCCATTCGGTGTGCTCCGCCATCCTTACGTCCCTTAGTCTGCTTGGTCATACCTAAACACAAATTGTAACATGTTACGATGACATGACATTCACATGCAATAATAGCAATCTACAGCATCTTGTTGATTATGGACTCAACCGATGGGCCATAATAATCTCAATCGAACCGGCATGATTCCCTCCTGGTGGGCATATCAGATCGAAAGGTCAGAATGTGTCCGCACTGATGCAACCCGGTCGCAAACAGGGTGTATTTGGAAGAATGAAATCGTTTATAAATCAATGATTCAGAAGCCACAGAAAATTGAACCTGGCAAAAACATCCGAAATTTTTAAATAATGCAAATTACATCCAGAAGAATCCTGATGAATGTGGGCGTCTTAGTGGAATACCTGTATAAAGAGAGAGAGAGAGAGAAGGATTAGTAATGTCCATTTAATTTACTACCTTATTTGCTTATCCTTGACAGATACGCGTATTTCGTCTACAATGTGCAGACCTCTTCAGTTTTTTTTTATATAGTTACTTTAACACTCTTGGGTCATTCGTGACTTGTCCGGGGGTGAGATTTGAACTCGTGACTTTGGCGTGAGAGGTATGGATGTTAACCACTACGCCGGGGTCACCCCCGACTTCTTCAGTGTCTTGTACTAATACTCGACTATTAGTACAAGACACTGAAGAAGTCTGCACATTGTAGACGAAATACGCATATCTGTCAAGGATAAGCAAATAAGGTAGTGGAATTAAATGGAAATTACTAATCCTTCTCTCTCTATTTATCCAGAAGCAACTAAAAACTTCTCACCTCAACTTTTCGTTGGATTCAGAACCATTTCCTCCTCGTTCGGAAAGCTGACAGTCTACATCTCCGGCGGCCAGTGCAAGTCCTCAACCGTTTTGCTATCCACTTTAATTCATATCAGGTATGCAACTTTCACGCTGATTTCAGCGACAGTAGATATTTGCATTGGACCTTTAGAGTCCGTTTATTCATTGTTAGTATAAAAACTGATGCTCTTTTTATGTTAAGTATTGTTTATTTAGAGGTTATTCGAAAAAAACTATTAAATTTAATCCAACTGTGTTACTATTATTTTTGAGTGTACAACTTCAATCGTCTATTGCGATCGAACTATACTTTTTCGACCAAATATCAAATCCCATATTGGGCGATCATCATCAGAACCTGAAAAACACGAAAGACATCATTCGAAACATACGCGCGAAATGATTCGAGTTCAATATTTTCATGAAATCCTAAAACTACTTTAGTTTAATACCTAGTTTTTAAAAGAAAAAAAAAAGTGCTATTGCTTTTCTGTCACAACATGGAGCAATACTTGAAGCAACACTACGATGAGGAAATCACCAATCTGCTGAATAATCCGGACGATATGGTTAATGTTTCGATCAACGTAAAGTATGTGGCACGCATTGTTTACAAGGGTCGTCCTTTAATCATTAAATTGCAATATCTTGCAGCCTCACTCACCTTCAACGGAAGCAATCAGCCCTGTACAGTTCCCTGTTGCGAAACACTTGCTCAGAATTGATCAAATGGAACACTTGCCTCTTGAATGCACAGAAGTCACTAGTGGAGGGGAACATGTTCCTCGAACCGGGTTTCCAAATCAAACAGAACTGCCACGTCCGGTTCGTTAACATGCCGCAAACGGTCGCCGAAGCCGTCAGAAAGGTGGCCTTCCCGAACAACGATAACGTCGGCCAGTTCCTACAGGTGAAGGGCAGTATCATTCGAATGACTCAGGCACGGTTTCTCGAGTTCAAAAGGGAGTACACTTGCAGTCGGTGTAAGAACGATTTCATTCTGGAAGCGCAGTACGAAAAGAGCTACGTATTTGATCCACCTCGAGCGTGTCCGCTAGCGGGTGAAACCGGATGCAAGGGAATACCGCATCAGAAGAGCGCGCAACCTCAACCGGATTACTGCCGAGATTACCAGGAAATTCGCATCCAGGAGATTATGAGCGAACGGAATGTGCCAGCGTCGTTGCTAGTTACGCTGGAGGATGATTTGGTGGATAATTGTCAACCTGGTGATTGTGTAACCGTCGTTGGGACCATAGAGCGTCGTTGGAGTCCATTGGTGCAGAGCAAACGGACTGAAGTGACGATCGCTATGAATGCAAACAGCATTTCCAAGGATGAAAATAAGATGAATTTGGGAAAGGATTTGCCGGAGCACTTGGTGTTCGTGCGAGGGGAGTGGCAGAATACGATCAAGGAGATCGGGGAGCTGTCGGCCAGAGATATGCTGGTGCAGTCGTTCTGTCCCGAAATCCATGGGATGTATCCGGTAAAGTTGGCGGTTGCCCTGTCGCTTGCTAGCTGTACGGAACGATTTTTGGGGAGTGGAGCGAGCATACGAGGCCATTCACATTTGTTGCTGGTGGGTGACCCTGGGTTGGCCAAATCAAGACTGTTGAAATTTGCTTCAGAGGTATCGATGCGTTCGGTTTTCACCACTGGCATGGGGTGTTCGGCAGCTGGATTAACGGCTGCGGCAGTGAAAGAAGACGGTGAGTGGCAGTTGGAAGCGGGGGCGTTGGTCTTGGCAGATGGGGGCGTCTGCTGTATCGATGAATTTAATCTAATGCGAGAGTCGGACAAGGCTTCGATCCACGAGGCGATGGAACAACAGACGATTAGTATGGCAAAGGCCGGATTGGTGTGCAAGTTGAGCACGAGATGTGTGGTGCTGGCGGCAACCAATCCGAAGACTCTGTTCTCGATGGTTGAGATGGAGGCCAATAGCAGCGCTAATCTGGGCATTGGAGGACCGTTGCTGAGTCGATTTGATCTGGTGCTGATTCTGACGGACGACCGGAATAAGTACTGGGATGTGAGAGTGGCCAATCACATTCTGGCCCTGTCAGTTATGGACGATGTGAGGGATAAGTTTGAAGAAACCTCTCCGGATGGTCATTGGGATTTGGAACGACTACAGACGCATTTTCTTGCCATCAAAGATATTCATCCTCGGATCACGGACGATGCAAACACTATTCTGGGTGAGTTGGCGGTCGATTTTAGGAGAAAGCGTTCGTACTAATTTATCCTGATTCGACAGGAGCCTACTACAAACTGTGCCGAGCGGATCCGTCTCGTGACCCTTCGCGGACTACCGTGCGGTTGCTGGACAGTTTAGTCCGCTTGTCGCAAGCACACGCTCGGTTGCTGTTCCGGGACGAGGTCACTCCGGTGGATGCCATCACCGTAATTCGATTGATGGAATCAAGTTGGAGCTTTGGGAAGGTTGTACCGCCGGTTGATCTGATACGCAAAGAGCTTCCCATCGGGCCGACACGAGAGGAGATCACCGAAGTTCTGGACCAGCTGCTTCTCTCCGATATCGTGAAGGACGTCCAGTTGGAACAGGTGAACCAAAACCGAGTGGAACAGTATCAGAAGGAACTGGTCGAAAAGCGAAAGCAAGCTACTTCCGCCAGCAAATGGGATTCATTGTCCACCCAGAAGATCATTCAATTCGATGAGAGAGTACTCAGCGAGTTGGACAATAACAAGAAACAAAACGACGAGAAAGCAGTCAAGGAATCGGAACCTGTCGTGGAAAAACGAAAACCACTTGAGGAAGGAGATCTCTACTCGAAATATTCCTTTACCCAAATGCGGAAAAACAACGTAAAGAAAATAAGGAAGGAATCAAATTCTTCGAATGTTGATAAACCTCCGGAAGCTACGAAGAAATCTAAATCGAAAAAAGCGATCACCGAACCTGATCTAAAGTTGAAGGAAAATTTGAATAATGATCAATTGGACCGCATATTCAGCAGTTTGCGACAGAACTTCATGTCCGAGTTGAGTGAAGCCACTCAGCCGGCGAAACCTGAGACAGTCGTCCGAAGCAGTCAGTTGGATACGAACTACCCTCTAGCCAGTGGTAGATCAAGGGTCTCCCGGGAAGAGTCCTTCCGAACCATGCTAGACGTTAGTTACCTACTGGAGGACGAAGACCTCGAAGAGAAAAGCATTACCGTTAGTGCTAAAACGACAAATTCCAGTATGAGCGTGTTTGAAAACTCCGACGTATTTAAATCGCCGGTAACGTCCCCTTGTGAACCTGCCAAGTTTAGTGAAGATCATTCATTACTTGCAAAACCTCTCATTAGCTCGAACGATTCGTGTTCTGAAGATGACTCGTCTCGATTTCGATTTAAAAGACCCATAGATGGATCCAGTGCCCAAGAGTCCCGCTTCCAGTTCAAGCGATCGACTCGGACAAAGCCACTGCAATCAAGCGAACCCACAGAAGAATCCGAATCTCGATACCGCTTCAAAAGGCCTCCCACAGCAACAGTTATGAACCCCATGCTAGTAAGCCAACCCTCGGATTTCGATTTGGATTTCGACACGGAGATCCTAGCACTGGAGGAACAGCCTTCGAGCTCGACCAACCCGCAAAAACGATCGCTCTCTGAGCAAACGTTGAACAAAATCCGTGCCTTCGAGTTTGTGAAGAGCAACTTGGATGACGCCGGAGAAACTTCCAAACCTGGTCCAAACGGCAAGAAGCAACAGGATGATAGCGCCTACGAGTCCCAGCAATCGCACTTATCGTCGCCGTCGTTGTCTGCGGTAAGAAAATCTTGGAAGATGGACGTCAAGGTACCGGAATTGAAAGTCGTAGCAACGCTTGGAGGACCGGTGGACGTTGATGCGGAACTGGAAATGTTGGAGTCGGTGGATTTTTGAACACGATCGAATTTAAACTGTGCTCTGATGGCTGTGCTATCTTCAGGACTCATCATGATTGGAATAAAATAATGACTGTAGTAATACCCTGAATGTCACTATTCCGAACGCCCGTTAACCCGAACCATGTATAGAGGAAACGCTCCTATAGTTGCAGTACCTTAGAAGCGTTAGGTTCCTATAGTTGTGCATGGAGACTCAATACACAACTATAGGAACCGAACCCGTCTACCGTACCGCAACTATAGGACCGTTTACCCTATATATATTTTAGATAGAGTGTAAAACTTCCATTTCGTGTGTCTCTTTGCTGCAGTGTACCATAGTAAATAAGTTTATCTGATTGTAAATAGGTAACTAGGGTGGATGTGCCAGTTAAGGCTCTACTACTTTCGGTGAAAAATCGTACAATCGATTAGACGGAAACTTGCAGTTTTATCACCCTATCTAATATCCGCCAATTTAGCTGAAAACATGCACATAATTTCCCGTTGACTTGAGAAACAGATCAAATGCCGGAAATTTAGAAACAAATGAATAGGTCTCATCTTTATGATTTTCCATAATATGAAATAAAATAAAACCTCTCAAACATAGCTCACGGTTTTATTTTCAGCAATTCACACGAAGCGCTTCTAGCGACAAAGTTCTATTCAATTGCTCAACGTATTCGATAGCTTCTATAAAGCATTTTTTTTTTTCTTTTCAATCAACCAACGTTCGATTTGACGTTGAATTTTATCTCTTGTTTTTGATTCTGATTCGCAGAACATTGATTCTAGCGATAATTATCTTCTACTTCCGATCTCGTTTCAAATGGCGAGAGAGCCATGCTAACCATGTTTGTTCAATCGATTTGAGTTTTTCTCTTCGACAGCTTACACTCTAAATAGTAAAATGACGCCTTGCTCAGAACGATTCTGCTAGCGTTGAATAAAATAGCATTCGATTTCACAGTTTCAACGCCGTGACCTGTGAGATCAACTCACGAACATTGTTCACGCAATTAACAATAACCGGTTTAATAATAACGTTCCCCATTATCTGCACTACTGTAATAATTCCGATAATCCGGTCTGGCGTCTGCGCCAGAAGAATAGGTAGCCGGTTGATAGCACCGTCTCCAGTAGTCGTGGCGGACCATTTCCTGGACGTTGTTGGCTGCAAAGCGGATGTCATTCATCAAATTTGTGCAATCAGAAATGGGAAGCAAATCGGTTTACTTACCGGGATACTGCACGAACAGCTCGCCGGACGAAATTCGATAGTAGCTATCCAGATAGACTTTATGACCTAATTCTGCAGCTCGTGACTCCAGCCGTTTGGTCAAATGGTGCTGGTGGCACTGACCTTCTAGGTGGTAATGTAAATAGCCCACATTGAGACCGTAGTAACCGCAAAGTTTGCAAGTGAGCTTCAAGGGCGGTCGTGTTCCGTCCACCCGGATGGCATAGATGATGGTCCTGTTGTAAAGGTGCCGATCGGAAAACAGCGATAAAGCATCATTCGTACGGATTTTCATGAACGCATAATACTCGGTCGCACTGTGCCGGTTCTCTTGGGGTGAAACCTGAAGGTTTGTCACGATGCCAAAATCCGAAAAATATTTAATCGTTTCATGATCGATCGGGCGCTGATTGTGGAAGCCCACGAGGAGTACATTTATCTCAAGAAGGTCATTCCCGTAGGCGGGAAGTGGTTTCGTTTCCGGCTTTTGGTAATTATGATACTGATTTTCATAGCGGCGTCGCTTTTCGTAGCGTTCTTCAAGCTCATCACCCGATTCCGAGCGACGCTTTTGGCCTCTGGGTTCTGCAGTTTCGGTCCACTTCTTTTTGGTAAGTAAAGCGGTCGTTCGACCTTTATAGTCTTCAATTTTCAGGATCTTCTTGTTACGCTGAACTTGACGGCCCCGGCCTTTAAAGGTAACTTTCAGAGGGGTTTTTGTATACACATTTTGGGGAGATGGACGGGTATGTTGGTACCGATCAAGCATATTCCTGGACTGGGGAGCTGTATTAACTGTAACCATTACAGAGCTACGCTCCCGCTGGAAACCACTGGAGTCATTAATGGTGATTCTCTCATGTTTGATTGCGTTATTTCTTTTCTCATCGGAAGTGGACGAAACGTTGGGTCCCAGCTTGGCTCTTATACCGGACGATGTTGAGGGCGATAGCATCGGATTATCCTTAGGTGGTCCCGGAGGTGGTGGAAAAGGACACTGAAGCGTACTTTTTGTGTCGTTAATCGTAATCATTTCCACCGGAGGTTCGTTCAGGATAACATCCGATGTAGATGATACATTTTCCCGTACTGGCGGCATCTGTCCGTTGCTACTCCCTTTAACGGGAGTACTTTGAGCCCCTCTCCGTAAAACACTGTCCATGAGGAAAATGTCCATCGTACGTCCCAACAGTGTTGAATCATCGTTGTTACTCCCCTCCGATGGAAGCTCAGGAGTTTTCAATGTCAACGTAGGCATTTCTCCAGCATCCCCTACATCATCATTTGAGTCAACCATATCCATGAACGATCTAATATCGTCCACGTCGCTGTAATAATACGCCACAAAGCGCGTATTATTCAGGTCTAATCCCGGCGGGAACCGGAAGTACCCGTTATGGTACCGGATGTATCGTACCTCAATCCCATTGCAAGCGTTTACAATCTTGTGCTTGATTCCGAAGCAAGTCGAAAAATACCCACGCAAGCTTTCCAAGCTAAGCGATTTATCCGGTTCCAGCTGTATCCAATAACCGACGGTTGAGAACTCCGATTCGGCCACATAAACGTAAAAATATTCCACTTTTGATGGTGGCTGCTGCTGCTGCTGTGGTGCTGACATCGCCATTGGTTAGTTTGCACTTTCCGACTCGCAAATTTCTCAATAATCACTAAACTAGCATGTGATGCTTTTGTATCGCAGCTATTAAGCAGTGCCACAGCCGGAATCGATGCAAATTTGGAAAATCATCCAATAATTATAAACTATTTCCAACGACACGATAATGAAAAAAACGACCGCTTTCCCTGCACGTTGCCATGAATATGAGAAAAATGGAAAACAGCGATCAAAGCCGTTTATATAAGATCAACTCTAACAGGCTTAATGGTGTTAGTGAAATGTGCAAATGTTTAGTGGAGTACGTATTTCATTGCAATGTTTATCTTTTTTCACGATACAGCTGTTGGCAGTGACGTCAATCTCACTGTTCGCAGTGTAAGAAATGTTGTGGTAGAGTGACGTCGTCACTTGAGTGCTCAGCAATGTTCAATATGTTTGCTTCTTACACCAGCAAGCTGCCTGTTGGATAGTACCTTATAAAAGTCTTTGAACAGTAAGAGCTTTCGGAGCTTTCTCCCTCATAATTCAATTTTTTTTTTCGGAGCTTTCGTGTGGTGAATTTGGAGATTTGACAGCTAACAGAAATAAGTCGACAGTGAGCATGCATAAGGGCGTATACGCGATGATCGATTCTCTTCGTCGATTTTCTCTTTTGATAATAACTCGCTAGAGTTAACGTTTCTCGGTGCGTTTGCTGTTGCTTTTGATAGCCAATACATCTTGTTACTACTCTGCATTGAACAAATTCTTGAAAATTGTTTCGCTTAGCAGTAGCAATGCAAAGAGAAAATCGATGAAGAGAATCGATCATCGCGTATTCGCCCTTATGAATGCTCACTGTCGAAGTGTTCGCAGGGATGTGGGGACGGAACTTGACAATCGAGCTACTCACTCTTCTTAACACGGAACCGAAAAATTACCCAAAATTAAGTTCTTTTCACTCATCTCCCATGTTCCGTTCAATAAGCTAATTTTCAGTAAACCGCTTATAGTAGTTTGCATTTGGCTACGGCAAAAATAATTACTTACTCGTGTGTATTTTCTACCCAAAATTAAGTTCAATTGACTCAAATTTGAGAATAGCTCATATACTCACTAGTAGCATAGAGGTAACTCTAAGACCAGAAGGTCCCGAAGAAACGTGCTCAACTTTTTGGCTCAGCTCTGGTACTATCTTCGGTCCCAAGCAGGGGGTAAGTCACTCTGCCACCTTGTGTTAACACCCACAAAAACACACTCCGACACACTCCAAACACCTTGCCACCCAGGCAGTCTCCACATAACAGATAGTTTTTCATCAATCCTGGCACCACTTCCAAGAATGTTTACATCATATGTTGTTTATAATAGACCAATCCATGATCTGATTTTATCATTCATTTTTGACAGTATGATCTGCTTTTTATTGATCTGAACCTCTCAAATGAGTAAACAAACCAAACTAACCTGCCAAATTATTTAGAACGCTTGGTTTATTTATGTGACCCAGGATATCAGCGATTTTTTTGCTGTAGGTTTTTATATAGCTTATTACCCTACTTACGGTATATTTTAATCTGTATTCTGCGGTTATTTCCTGGGTTGTTTTTAAAATTTGTAAATTTATTTTCGCGAGATTATTACAGTTCATCATGGATGAGGTAAGTTTTTATTTAGCATTTTTACCTGCATTTTTAATTGTTTAGTTAACACCGAATTTTATTGCAGGATTACTTCTGGCAAAAACTGGAAGGAATGTATGGAAGCATTTATACTCATATAAAAACTATATTGAGCACGTCTAACCTATGCAATCAGTCGCTTGGTAGATTGACCAGGAAAGAGATAATGCTTGTCGAACAAGATCTGCGAGAGATGGCAGAGGATGTAATCGCAAAAGCGCATGCTGGTGGTCCCTCGCTTGAAAGCGTGTATGGGTGGTTTGCAGGCCGACCTCATCAATTTAAATTCCTCGAGGGGGAGATTTTATGTCTAATGGACTTAGCGAACATCATCCAAACTCATGGGGTCAAGACGTTTATCCATCCGGTGATGAAAATCGGGAAAAGTTCACATGGACAGTTCAGACACGAGTCCGCTACCGATGAGCTTAACAGACTTCGGCTAAAGATTTTGGCACATTTTTCTAATCCGTATGTCATAATATTATGTAATCACATTCAATTATGTATTTAATACTATACTATATTGTATGAAGTTTCTTGCATTTGTATGATTTTTTCAGAATATATTTATTCTTCATATTTCATTACTTAAAGCTTTTTTTTTTACATATTACATGTTTGAATTTCGTTTTGTTTTTTAAATACTAATTTATTCTTAGGAAATATCGCCTCAACCTCCAGGAGTTTATGTCCAACTTGAAAATTTCGATCGCCACGGTTTCAAACTCAGGACAGTTCAGAGCTGACATAACATGTCCATTGTGCACGTTGGTCGGGCAGATCACAAAGCTAACAGCCATCGCCGATGCCTCTGAGAACTGGAACATCTTTAGTTTCACGCGGCATGTTGCTAAGCTGCATGATTCACTGGCATCAGAAGTCATCAAACGCCTTTCGTCAGATGTCGCTTGCCTAGAAGCTTCACCTCCTCCGAGGAAGCTTCCTCTAATTGAAATGGGCGATATAAAGAACACGATCGGGATCGAGAGCGACCATCAGCAAAATGGTGAAACGACTCATTTCACCGAGACTCAATGTTCATCAACAATACCGTTTCCGTTGGATGCCAACCTCAAGCATGAGTCGACATCATCTGAATGAGCTTCGTTTTTTTAGTACAATGATATTTTTATCGAACCCGTAGACATTCATCTCGATTTTTAAATCAAGAATTAAATTTTTGATTGTTGACACTAAATCTATTAGCTGACAGCTCGCTCCCATACAAAGTCCCACCAAGGGACGCTAAGATGGTGATTTTTGCTAATGTTATCGCACTTATTTAAAATAGTTCCAACGTACCAGAATTGATGAAATTTTGGATTTCGGTTCCATTTTTAATGCAGATAACGAATATGTATTTAACTTAATACCACTAAACAACCCAATTACATCAAAAACCCTATTGAAGTCATCTTGGTCTGGACAACCTTGAAAGTAGAGAAAACCCACTATATATATGGTGAATTTGCATATTGACAGTGACAGTTAGCTTATTCCCCATACATCAGGTTCAATGTTTGGAGAGCAGGTTTAACAATGCAAATGTGGCGTCTCTTTCTTTCTTATGCTGTTCTTTCCCTACGAAGAGTTACGTCACACTCATTGCTTCATAAGAACAACGGTAGCATGAAAAAGACGACAAATTATCACTGCCCGACCTGTTATTCATGTCACTACATCAGACTGGCGTTGCTTTTTGTTTGGTTGAGTTCGGCATCCGTTTCGTCAAGTCCCCGTGGACGAAGATCACGAGTCGTGAAACAGAAAAGTTCACCATACAGATTCTTGTTTTCGCGTTTTCCCATTCGAAACAAGCGCAGAGTGAGCACGAGCGAAGAAGCCTCCATCGCCACATTTGCCGAGTTTTTATTCCAGTGAGTAGTGAGTGTGAGCTTTGTTGTCATCGTGCTCGCAGTTATCTCACGCTCACGTACATCAGTTGCTGAGAGTGGACAAAAGTCGATGTGCTGAAAAAGTATGGCCACTAACAACTATTTTGGATTTCCGCATGGTGCAACGCAGTATGGGTAAGTAAATCTAGTGTAAAAGTGTAGCCCAGATGCCGGATTACCCGAAAGTGATAAAGAATCGCCGTGAGTGACGTTCCGCGAACCTAGAAAAATGTGTTCAAATCTTGGCTAGTGGAAAATTTTCCTTCAATGCCAACTTTCGGTGCGGAAGAAGCAGATGAAGAAGAAGAATGCAAGCAGGCTGCGCCGCAATGACATCTGAGAAGCGAACGTGTGTGAGAGGAAGAGAATGAAAAAGTGACAAGAGAGCGTGAGTGAGGACGGTGCGTCAAATGAAAAACTCGCAGGCAAATAAATTATTTTAATGCCAAACGGGTAATATAGTTAATAGCCCCGGGATTTTTTAAAAATAATATTAACTTTATTTGACAAATCTCTGATAATTATAGTTTACTAACGACATATCTTTATTTCTGTCGTATCCTTAATTGAAACTTACTTCAGGCAAAGGTTGTAAAACATTTTTGAGATTATCAGAGTAATAACAAAACGTTTTAATTTAACGGTAAATTTGAATTAAATCATAGTTAGGCTAAAAAATGCTACGTTTAAGTCGCTTGGTCACGCATCAAAGTTTTTTTTTATTATAATAAGTGAATCCTGATGAATGTGGGCTTCTATAAAAAATAGAAGGATTGTTAATTTACATTTAATTCCGTTTCTTTAAATCCTTATCCTTGACAGATACGCGTATAAAATTGAAAAATCGAAATCTCGATTACTTTTTTTATATGGACGTATCTGCTTTTGTAAACCAAGATTCAAACGTCAATTTGTTTAAATTTTGTAGTACTTCCACTGAACAACACCATCTTGTTGGGTAAACATTGCCCTTTCTGATTGTGGTGTTTGTTTGCGAGAGTGCTTTTGTAAATAAAGAATCAAACTTCAATTTGTTAAAACTCTTAGTTGGCCACGCGGATTAACATCACTATAATGTAGGGGAAGCTTTATACAACGTAAATATGCGCATCTGTCAGGGATAAGCGATTAAGATAGTGGAATTATCACGTATTTTTCAATAAAGTAGACTCAACATCAATGAAATAGACCAAAGACATCATATCAAGAAGACTGGCAACTCTTCCATTTTCTCGTACGACCGCGCTATGCGACAGGTACAATCGCGTCATCGGCGGTTCAAAGGTAAATGCTTCGAGCAAATTTAATAACAAAGATTACATTATCAGAAGAACGGTTTGCTCATTTTTCTATGCGTTGCTTCTACTTTCGCTCAAGTGCAGCGCTACTGTATCTGTCGCTTGGATTCTGGCAAAGTCGCTAGTCTTCTTGATTTAATAATTCCTCAGAATTTGTTTCGCTTAGTCTGTTTACCATTTTGATTGTAAGAAAGCGTAACATTTTACAATCGAGTATCATATTGACATATTAGTGGTGATATAACTTTGAAAATTATTGATTTTTATTTTTTTATAGTACACTGAAGTCTTTTTTTTACACGGGTTTTTACGCGTTTTTTTTACACAGTTTTTCGCGATTTACACGGTACCAGTGCTGAGATTTGTCATTGTCATTGACAGACTTTCGCGCGATATTGACAAAATTGTTCGTCACATAGTCACTGACAGACTTGATCCTCAAAAAAACCTTCGTCAAAATCTCATTCATTTTTTCGTCAATGACAAAGATTCACTTGGTAACAAAAACTGTAATTTAGTACATTCTGTGTCACATTATTGTTATCCAAGTAGCTCAGGACGTAGATACTTGTTCACTGAAATGGATCCATGTAATTGTTTTGCTCAAGTCATTTAATTTCGTTACAAATTTAGCTAATAAACAAATCTGCACATGTTCGTCACTGACACCATTGTCATTGACAATTAACATGGTTTGCCTTGACTATGAATGTTTGCTCAAATGAGTGACCAAAGCAGAATTGTCAATATCACCGTGTACTGTCGAGATTTTGCAGCACTGCACGGTACGTTTTTAACGATTTCTCGACAACGATACAACCTATCGACTTGATTCCAATCACATTATCCGTTTCATCCGTAATCGAATAGCGTACTTTAAAAAAATCACAATTTTTGGTGTAAATACAGAAATTTTTAAAATATGTCTATATGGACCATAGCATACTATAATGCTATAATTACAAATGGCATCAAAATCCGATTTTTTAAAAACATTTAAGCATGTGAAAAATCAAAATCTCGTAGGTTTTTTTTACACGATACGTATCCCCCGTGTAAAAAAGACCTGAGTGTATATATGAGCGAAAAACATTTTGAGGGATTATTACGTGTTAATGGAGACTTTCGGGATGCACCGGCTGAGGATGGTTTCTCTTCTTGGCTCTATTACGTCCCACTGGGATTTACGCCTTCCCTCAACTTAGTGTTCTTTGAGCACGTCTAATAGTACGTTCAGACTACAGAGTTATAACATGTTATAGCGCTATCTTGATGGTGGTTTCTGTGTTGCAATTAGTTGACAACCGTTATAACATGTTATAACTCTCCAGTCTGGACAGCGTTTAAGCTTCCTAACCTGTACAATTTTTGTATTAGTATTATTGTGAGGCAAGTTCAATCATATTCTAAATTCGAGAAATTTTTTAACCCGAAAAAATCCTAGACCGGATCGGGAATCAAACCCAGCCGCCTCCGGTATGATCTTGTTTTATAGTTGCGCTTTTATCGACTGAAGTAATGTGGGCTGAGGATGGTACTGAACCGGAATTAAACCCCACTTGCTGCTATGTTCGATTGTTTTGGTATTAGAATATTTTGTTATTAGAATATTTTGTAATAATAATTTTATAATAGTTAAAAAAAAATCTCTTCAAAACTGTCAACGTGGTTTCTGAAGCTTTTTCGGAAATGAACCAGATGAACACGAGGATGAACAATTATGCATTTTAAGCGCATTTGAAAATTTAAGACCAACAATTGAAATGGCCTCAACTCCATTTTGTAAACAAACATTGTAAGGTCATTTTCTCGCGAACCAAAGTCCGCCAACGCAAACCAACAAAATGAACAGGCAGGGGAAATTCTCCTCTACCCGATTGTGTGTTACGTTTGCGAATGTAGGTTTCGGTTCGCGAGAAAATGGCCTTATAAGGTTTGTTTACAAAATAGAGTTGGGGCCTTTTCAATTGTTGGTATTGAATTGGTTTGACACATGAAATGCATATCAGTTAACAAATGCCTTTCGCTAATTTAAAAGTAAACATGTTTAGTTAGCTATTGTCTAGCGTATATGATTTGCAGAGAAATTTTTTCGTTTAAGTGCTCATTGGAAAACACGAAACGTAATATTGGCTATACGTCCAACTATAAATCTTATATTAACAATATTTTCGTCCAACGCTTACGCCTTTGTTTCAGAAAAGGCAACTAATGTATTCCAAAAATTATTACGAGGGAAGCATCACAGAAATAATTGTGTTATCTTCGTAAGGAGCTGTTAATTAACTACGTAGATCGTTTTTGAAAGGCTTTAGGTTAGAAATTTGCCACCCCCTTAAGTGACTACCTGGTATACCCTAAGTATCTACAGGGTTACGAAATATGCTCAACTTGTTTCTCTGATTGTAATTAATGTCATAAAATTGTATTTTTCTTATTAAATATTACTCTTTTTTCTTATTACTCACCCCTCGACTGTAATCAAATGCATATTGGTTACCTTTTTGGACGATGCCAGGAAAGATGAAGAGTGAACTACAGAAGTGAGGAGATTATAAGTTGGTGCTAGTAGAAAAAGAGAAACATTTTGACATGATAATGGTTCAAAATTCCTTCACGGTGAGGTATGGGAGAGTATTTTTAAAATGCATGTATGAAATTAATTTAGCATCTAAATTGAGCGTTTTAGTAGAATAATTGTATACCTTATTACGTTGTTTTTCCTTTTAATTCTACAACTTTCACTAATTCTCTTTCATTTTCACTAATTCACTTTCACTATCACTTAAAAACACATAATAACACATGTATTTCGTATACTACTTGCAAACTTCTTCAGTCTATAAAAAGTGGTAGTGATAGTAAATAGTTAAAGTGAACGTGAATGTAAGCATTTTAATCAAATGTGGTTTTCACTAAGGGGTTTAAATCTTCAAGGGCTACTCAATTTACTCAAAAAACAATATTTTTATTTTTTGTCTCAATTTTTGTATAGATTGATAGATTTGAACGTTTTAACCCCGGTTTGCACTACCTAATTTATTTAAAATTCTTAAACAAGCATTTAAAAACTTCTCTCCCATACCTCACCGTGAAGGAATTTTCAAACCATCATCATGTTTTTAGTTCTTATATTCGCCGCGGGTGTCAATTTAAGATTGCGAATTTATATTGTTAAAATTTATTGCATGTAACAATAGGTTCTACATGTTATAAGCCTATCTTGATGATAATTTTCTTGTCGATAATTATTATAACATGTTATGACTCTGTAGTCTGAACTTGGTATTACTTGGTCGAGTTTTCATTCTCTAGAAATTCGAGACTTCATTACTTAGTAATTGTTTACGTTTGCGACATTGGCCCTTATGGAAGAACAGTGGAGAAATAATTTTCAATCCAAAATCAAAGCTTGACGCTCCGTTAGGTGAGAAACGAGTGAGAGGGAGAGCGTGAGACCGGCACAGTATTATTTTTCTCTTCGACCTTTCATAATGGCCGCCTGAGCCACAGCATTTTCACACTTCCCGAGACGGTCTGCTTCTGGACGTGAAAAATCGATCGATCCGATTTGTGGTCGGCAGCCTGGTTAGCTGGATGCGCGTTTTGCGATTCCGGCTAGAAAAGTGTGCAAAGTTTTGAATTCCGTGCAATTAGTATTGAATTTGAGCCGAATTTGCCAGCTATTATTGATGTTTGTTGTGTTCTGTTCTTCCCCGGCGACGACGACGACGATTGTGACCTGCAGTACGACGGCCACCGGAACAGCCTACCCGACAACGCAGACGGGTTATGCAGTAGCAACAGCGGCCGCACCGGCAGCAGCAGCGACCTACGGAACAGCCGCCGCAGCAGCAGCACGTCCGACCGGTTACGACCAGGCCTATCAAACGGCGCCTACCCCGGGAACATACGCAAGTAAGTGTGGATTATTGTACGATTCATTCATGCATGTATATTTCCTGCCTCAATGAGGAAACATTCCTTCAAATTATGCCATTTTTCATTTTTTTTTTCTTCACATTTCGTGTCTAATAACGCACGGTGTGCCGGAGGTCATTGCCTCTCTTGTGAATGCTATTTAGTTGATTTCTTTTCTGGTGGTCCCCCCCCCCCCCCCCTCTCGGCTTCCAAAAATCCATATCACGAAGAAAGTTATAATGTGCATAGTGCAAGTGCAGGTATAAAGCTATAAAGAGCGAAGTGCTGCAGCAGTAGAACAAATTGATTTTTGTACGGAAAGCATAGTACGAACTATGCGATAACAGTACAGTTGCATTATTTGTCAAACTTGTGCCAAGAACATACATTTTAATTGTTTTATATTTAAGAAAAAACGGGTAGATATGCAGGTAGCTAACATATTTTGGCCGGCTATGTGAGCGTCATCCTTTATGTAAATATGAATGACATTCACGGATGCATTAACCAGCTATATAGTAGTACATTTTTATTTCTACATTGTTATAACTATCAATAGCTCTAAGTTATACTCAGCTAATTTAAAAACGAGAATTCGTTGCAGGAAAAATTCATAGGACTTTAGCTTTATGAATAGTGAATGGTGAACGGAAGATTCATCCATCTTACTTTCCGAAGACTCCTACAATTTTGGAAAATTCCGGTGTTACCGGAACTTCAGAAAACTAGAAGAGCTTCATAAATCTCACGGTGGCAGCCAGAGTTGAGTTTGAAATAATAATTATACCATGCACACAACTTCTGAAACTTTCGGGACTCTAAGAATTTGACATTAAAAACTACAATAATTTTCGAAATCCTTCAGAATGTTCCAAATGTATCCTGATCTCCAATCTTAAAGTTTTGTCAGTTTCGAAGGCTCGTAGGAACCGAAATTTTCAATGTTTATGATGCTCTGGATCTTCATAGAAATTATAGTTACTCAACAATTTCCGGTTTTATCTTCAATTCTCAAAGATGATCGTATATAGATTATCTTCAGTTCTCAGAATCTCGCGGGTTTTTCTGGTGTACCCGACAGGAAGCATTGCCGTGAATCGTTTTGAACACTCCAAGCTGACATAGCCGAACAGCACTAAAAGTCAACATCATTCCAGTCGAACGAACACTTCTTGTAGTTGTGGCATGGAAAATCATTTACATGCACTTGCCTCTAATAGTGAATGGTGTGAAGTTGTGACCTGAATATCGACTCTGGAAGCGGATTAGCTCTGTAGAAAACCTGGAATATCCGTACCTACGACATGCACTGCCCTTTTCTGCATAGTTGTCCCATTCGTTAAAACGGCAAGCTGAGAAAAACGCCGTTGAAGATTTTTTTCTTCTATGGGACAACATTTGCGACACTTTCTGAATAAAGTAGGAAACTTTTCGTGTATGTACATGGTAAAGTGATGGAACTAGACAATCGATTCATTTTCACCAAAAATGCTAATCGGACTGTTATACTACACAGGGCAGTGCAGCACAGTTTCAAATTCTTTCTATATCCTCAACTTCAGAGTTACACATTCTGGTTTCTTAGAATGTTTTTTAAATCTTAGTTTAGAATATTGATTGTGAGTTTAGAATATTGATGAAAGTAGACCACATTTGTAGCAAAAAATGGCAAGGTAGGTCGAAAAATCATTCCTAACCGAGTTATTGACCAATTAATTTTCTACTGATTCAAGGTGCCTCATTTTGCTCGGGTATCATAAAAAATGCCCAGGTCTTGAATTTTGTTCAATGTTTGAATCATCTAGATAATTTCAAGATTTATATAAAATGTAATTCTTCATGGGCAATCTATGGAATTTTCTCATTTTCTTATAATTCCTTCTGGCGTCGATATTTTCTTCCATAAAAAAATTATAAATTCTCTACATACCTCTTTGGGCATCCCTTCTAGGAAACTCTTAGAAGTTACTCTACACTAATTATAACGATAATTCCTTTAAATGCACTCTACAATTATCCTTTGCAAATTAATCTTTAAAATATTCCTATAAATTTCCTTGGAATACATTGTTTATTGTTTACTGTTTATTGAAAAATTCAACTGACAATTATTGTCTAAATGAATAAAACCTAAACTAAATAGTTACGGTCAACGGTACGGAAAAAGCCAAGTAGCCGACGACGAAACACGTCAGCTGATACATTGAAGTCGAACATATAAAAAAAGTTGTTGAATTGCCGGCTCAGAATTGCCTTTAAAACTAATCAGAACTATTTAGGAATTCTATGATTTTTCAGTAAACTCCCTTGCATTCTCAAAGCATCCTCCAAATCGCTTAATTTATTTGGATTTCTTCTTAAAATCACATTGGGATTCTTGACAAAAATTCTACTTGGAATGTCCTTGTAATTCTCATTTGAAATCCTTTGACAACTACGTATTTTGATGTCACAACTACAGACTATACTCCTATGGGCCAAAAGTTATCCGAAATAATAATCTATAGTGCTGTTCGATATAACAACAACGCATGCCGATTTTCATACAAAATGGTCATGCCGAAAAGTGAGATACTAGGTAAAATTGTTCGAAATAGTTGAAGCCTAGTTGAAAATAGAGAAACATATTCATGTCAATCAAAAAATTTCTGATCTTGAACTCCATCCACATCTGATCATACTTGACATGCAAGTGTCCGAGACCAGGACACAATCAACTAATTAATAATATTACATAAGATGGCTGCTTTTTGTGCAAGACAGTTTCACAAGATTAGAATACCTTGTTGAGTCTGCAAAGCTTCAAGATTAGACCTCCGGGATGATTGGGAGAATCCAAAAACATTATGTTTTTTTAGCACAATTAAACATTTTAAATGATGTTATGAGGTTATCGCGATGCCCAAAAGGCAATCGATTAATTTGTAAAATATCTCCAGGACAATTTGGAGAATGATGCATATATTGGTAAGACATCTTTGTAGAACTTCAAGATCTGAACTCCAGGATGATTTGAACAACTTTAAATACTGCTTTTCTCCTGCTCAGGTCTCTTGTATTGACAAATAATGCTTTTTTCCAACATAGAGACAAGTTCATTATTTGCAAGAAACTGTTTGATTTTATGCGAATTCATAATTCCATGATAATTTGGGGATCTAGGTAATCATCATGTTAATGAAAATTCCATCTAATTTTTTTTTCTGCAACGTAGACGTATAGTAGAGCAATTCTGCTGTAAGATATATATTAATATCTCTTAACGGTGATTTTTGACCCGGTGACCCCGTGGGATTGAATCGTTCAAGTGACAGGTGCATTATCTTATCCCATTGAAGTTGGGTTGATTTTCGTAACCGGGAATTGAAAAGTTGTAAACACCCTACACTTAGCCCATTTGGCATAATGGCAATTTGGAATAAATGTGAAACCCTCTATACCGATAAATAGATATGTTATGATCTGGACTGTACTTCATCGGAATACGAATGAACAACTCATAATAAACCCTCACCACTTCCATTGTTATTCCAGCAACTGCAACGGCGACGTACGACTACGGATACGGTCGTACAACCCAAACGTACGACACCAGTAAGACGTACTACCAGCAAGCGGGAGCTACAGGCTATACGGCGGCACCGACCGCGTATGACGCTTCGGCAGCAGGTGCCGCAAAGGTAATCAACTTCCAACCAGCCACCCAAGCCACGTACGCCGCTCAACCGACGCGCACCACCATTCAAACGGCCAAGACCGCAGGCGCGCAATACACAGGTCAACCAACGGCCTACGTTCCGCAAACCACTGGTTACTCTCACACGGTAACCACGGTTAACAACGCTCCGAAATCGGCTGCAACAGCTCAAACCGTCGGTCAGAGCTCCAACTATTCCGGTTACGAAACGGCCCTCTACAGCGCTGCAAGCATGTACGTTGCTCAACAGCAGAACACTAAGCCAGCCAATATCGGTGGTCAGCAGGGAACCGGCGGTGGATGGCAAGGGTAAGTTCAAGCAAATCAAATCATTACAAACATCTTCTTCAATCTTTCCATTTCTCCATCAGCTACAAGAAAGGCGGCGGTCAGCTGGGAATGCATCCGTTCAAGAACCGCAACAAGCCTCCTCCAAAGCCACAACCGATTCACTATTGCGACGTGTGCAAGATTAGTTGCGCCGGTCCACAAACCTACCGGGAGCACTTGGAAGGTCAGAAGCACAAGAAACGAGAACTTCTTTTGAAACAAGCTACTGAGCCGGGCACTGCAACTCCGGCACGGCCACCGAACAGTCTGCACTGCGAGCTATGCGATGTGACGTGTACCGGAAATGATGCCTATGCCGCTCATGTCCGTGGTGCCAAACATCAGAAGGTTGTGAAATTGCATACCAAGCTTGGAAAACCGATTCCGGCTTGTGACCCTGCTCCCAACACCGAGGAGAAGAAAGAGGGTGACATTGATGAACATGATGAACATGTTAAGCCAGTCGGTAGTGAGTACATTGAGGAAATCAAGGACGACGAAGGCAAACTCGTCAGCTTCAGTTGCAAGCTGTGCGAATGCAAATTCAACGATCCCAATGCAAAGGAAATGCACATGAAGGGGCGTCGTCACCGTTTGCAGTATAAGAAAAAAGTTCAACCAGATCTGTTCGTAGACATTAAGCCAACGTTGAAGCAGAAAAAGATGGCCGAAGCTCGTGCCCATCGTCAGGCTATGCAGGAGGAATATTGGAACCGTCGTCGTATGGCTGAGGCCGAAATGGATGACGGTGAACACGGAATGCGTCAGTTTGGACGTCATCCGTTCTTCGGAATGTTGCCAGGTCGTCGTCCAGAATCGTCCGACGATCGTCATGTTGTGGCACGTCACGCGGAAATTTATCCGAAGGAGGAAGAACTTCAAACCATCCAGCGTATTGTTTCACACACCGAAAGGGCCCTGAAGCTGGTATCTGATGCGATGACAACTGGCGGCGTCAAGGAGGAAAAGAAGGAAGCTGAAACCGAAAAGAAGGAAGGCAAAGCTGACGAGCAAAACAAGGCTGATGCGAATGCGATGATATCCTTCCACAAGGAAGCCGAAGGAAGCAACGTTCGCCTGCTGAAGGGAGTTATGCGCGTTGGATTATTAGCTAAGGGTAAGTTCGCATTATGTGCATGTGCCATGTTCAATCACATAAGAAATCCTTTTTCTCTTTCATCAGGACTCCTCCTGCACGGTGACAACACGGTTCAACTCGTTGTACTGTGTGCTGAAAAACCTACAACCTCTTTGCTGAAACGCGTCGTAACCGAGTTGCCCATCCAGCTCAAGAAGGTCACCGAAGAGCAAAAGTACACCGTCACCATGGCTCCGGTCGAGGGTGCCGTTCTGGTATCGGACGGAACAATAACGGTGAAAATCTCTCTCACATCCCCACTGCTCCGCGAAGGTAAGTTTCACACATCAGGTTCCTCCTTCTCGTCAAGGCATTTGCTATCTTCCTTTTATTCGTTTATCATCGGCCAGAAGACAAATCACGATTTCGAGTTACCAGTTTCAATGATACCATTCTGCTGCGGTCGAAAGTTGTCGAAGAAGAAAAGTCGGTTGGAATTGTTGTTTCGTTTTCTTGCATTTTTCTATAAAATAGCCGAATAGTGTTCAGGTTCCAGAAACTGGGAAATTGGTGTTTCGAAATCGGTCAAATTTCCGCCTATATGCGAAAGAAATATGGGAAAGTTCAGTTTCTTGATATTTTTTTCAATGCACCAGAAAGAGAAAGCTCGGTGCATTGAGCATTCTCTTTTTGGCGTTCTGCGGAGTTGTGTGTAGATCGCGATTGTGTTTGGGACCATCCATAAATGACGTAGCCTATTGTTGAATCCCCCTTCCCCCCTAATACATGGCCGGCCACAACTTCTTAACCAACTTTCCCTCGAAATCGTCTCCTCCGCCCCTCTAATGCTACTTCATATATGAATGTTTGCTTTGGGTTTCAAGAGAACCCTTTCAAATTCTCCGGCAAGTGGAATTTAAGTTGCTGAAATCCAGCACTGTAAATTGTAAATTGTGTCTTATTTCTATAAAAACATACTGACAGGTAACGGACAACTAAATATTACTTGTTCTGGACTAGAAAAAGAACTTCAAATGAAACCTTAGGAAAATTCCAAGGTAGTTCTGAGTTTAATCCTGAGTAGGATTCATAGGAAATTTCCAAAAGAATTCTGAGTAATTTTCAAAAGTAATTCAAAAAATACTTTTGACTAAGCAATTTGTAAGGAAAACTTCAAGGTACTTGTGGGTAGAGTTCCAAGAGAAGGGGAATCCAAAGGGAATTTTGAAAACAATGCAATTACAATTTTGAGGATGATTCCACAGGAATTCTATGAAGTATTGCATAGGAATTCCTTGGAAAGCTTTAAGGAAATTTCCAACAATGTGTTGAGGTTAATTTCAAAGGAATAATTAGGAGAGTTTCAAGGCTATTGCTGAAATAATTTTAAGAGAAATCAAAGAACGTTCCTATGGAATTCTGAGGAGCATTTCACGGAATTTACAGGACTGCTCTTAGAGAATACTGAGTTGAATTTAGAGAGAATTCCGAAGATAATTTAATGGGAACTTCAGGAGATACATAGTGAATACTGAGTTTACTTCAAAAGAATTCTTTGGGAATTCCTTAGTAATAAATTGGTTAATCCTAAAGAAATCCGGTGAAGATCTCCAAGAAGGAATTTTTTTCGAGATCGACTTCTAACTTCGAATCTTATGCTTAGAAAAGTTCTCTTGATTCACGATTTAGAAAAAAATGAAATCTTCAAAATTAGGGGAGTTTTTTTTTGACATTCAGGGCTTGGAATTTTTTCCCAGATTCTGAACCATGAGAAGCTTTCAAGATTCAAAACAAACAGAAATATACGAATAGCATATTTTTAACGTATTTTAAATGAAGGTTTGATTGCTAACCTGTATTTTTTTTTGGAAAATGTGGGGATTACCTACACATCCTTAGAGTATGTTGGACTAAATTCTATTAAATCTATAGAGACATCAGCTCAACAACAACTAGAAAATTACAACGACTTGCTAGCGCTTCAATAACAGGAGCAACGCAAAGGACACCCTCAAAAGCCTCAGACGGCATCAGTCTTGTAAGCGGTCACGGTAGTCGACACATTTTCTGTGATAATTGACTGCCTTTGCCTCCGACACTTGCAAAGCAAGCTATCATAGTACAGTACCAAACTAAAATGTCGTATGACAGGCTCTGTCATACGACACTGTTGCCGAAGACCGTCACGAATGTATGTATTTTAGTTTTTCTCATAATAAGAGCTGCTGATGGTGTGCTTGTGTGAATTCTGAAAATAGCAAGCAATGATGTCCTAGTAATAATATTTCTGATCAGAAATGGTTTGATTTACATCAAATTAAGGAATTACAACGAAATCACACATGTCATATGATAGCTATTTTGATAATTTTCTTTTAGCTCGAATGTTATTCTACCGCTCGTGTTGTGTGAGAGAGACGACGGTAGAGCATGAGTGTTCGAATACAAACAGACTGTCGCGCACGACAACGAAGCGAGTGTAGTAAAAAACGTCAACTGTTTCAACCCCTGCACGGCATACTACATCTCGACAGTGAGCATGCATAAGGGCCTATACGCGATGATCGATTCTCTTCGTCGATTTTCTCTTTTGTTAATAACTCGCTAGATTTAACGTTTCTCGGTGCGTTTGCTGTTGCTTTTGATAGCCAATACAACCTGTTACTACTCTGCATTGAACAAATTCTAGAAAATTGTTTCGCCTAGCTGTAGCAATGCAAAGAGAAAATCGATGAAGAGAATCGATCATCGCGTATTCGCCCTTATGAATGCTCACTGTCGATCTGCTTCCTCTACATCAATTCGTGCAATAAGAAGCAATGAAGAGTGCTCTTAGACTACAACCACAAACAAAACATTTAGGGCTTTAGGTAGTGATAAACGTCGTTAGAATTGTTCCACGACAGTATATGAGCGTGTGGGTTTGCGAACATACCTCATCCATCAATGTATGAGTTAGGTAAAGGAGTACTGTCGCTTTAATGGCTCTTCGCTCAATTTTCACACTGCCGTACTCTAGCGAAACTACCAGTCTATCACAGAACAAAAGGAGAAGTGCAAACAAATCGGTGAATCAAAGCGTGGTTAGTTTTTCTGCTCAACAAGCGATGTGTGTGGTAGCGTTCCACACGGGCTTTCTATGTGCACTCACACTATTATAGCATGCTGCCTATCTTAACTGCAGGCAGAAGATGCCTTCTACCGCTAGGTGCGCTAGTGTTCGCAAATTACAAGTGGAGCCACTTTCTGATCCGAAGTTCCACTCCTGGGAGTCTATCCTATTCAGAACTTTCTCTAGCTAATAAATTATCGCACTAAAGCTTCACGTTGATATATTAGTATAGCATTTTCTACCAACTCTGATAATCGTAAACTTTACGTATGAAGTAACTAAACAATTTGATTTAATATAAAACATTTCTGTGACGTTGATTTCAAGGGACACCTACATACGTATCCTACGAAGTTTTCAGATAGATCAAACTTTGAATTTCCACACCATGTGAGCTCAAAATATGAAATGAAGGAGGCTCTAGAGTGTTATTCTCACAGATGTTTCAAAAATTGACAGTTCACCAGGAGCTGACAATACTGGCACTGGCCTGGGATTTGTCAGTAAAGCAGTTCCACGTCTAATGATGAGTCGGAAAAACTCGAAAGTCTCCGATTTGCATAATAAATTGTGTGTTATGGGAAATCTTTCGCAATTTTGTGAAAATTGAGCCATTTTAGATCTTGTGATTTATTTTTTTCAAAATGGCATTTGTCATTTTTCAATAAATTGTATTGCATTGTATTGAAAACGGCACTTCTGATCGAAGTGACGTCTGAGTCAAAGTTGTTGAGAAAAGAAAAGTCTTTCTGGTAAAATATACACCTTAGAAATCAGGTAATGTTGTACAGGGTTCCCGGACACTGTAAAATTGAAGACAATCCCCCCTATTCTGCGAGTCACGTGACTCTCTCTCACCGGTGAGGTGACAATAGTCACCTCGTGTGAGGTGACTCTCCATTTGATTTGCATGGAGAGTCACCTCACACGAGGTGACAATTGTCACCTCACCGGTGAGAGAGAGTCACGTGACTCGCAGAATAAGGGGGAATGAACAGGCCGATACTTAATCAAGACAAGGATCATCGATGGACTGTGTCGGTCCAGCTCTATTTTGGGCGCATCCTATTCCACTGTCAAAATGGAATTAAGGAAATGGAAAGCTCTGAGTTGATTTCAAACAACTTTGTCGAAGAAACGTTATTGTATCACTTGACGTTCTTATTTTAATGTATTTTTTAGAAATTAATTAAAGGAACACTATTTATGTACATAATGTATTATTATTAGAAGACACGATTTACCCATTATTAGAATACAGTACTTACCTACAATTAATGTTTTAGACGCAAAAAATGCAATGTGTTCCTCCAGGTATCTAAGAAGGGTAACCAAACATGATTCGATCTACACACAAACCGCGCCACGAAGAAAGTCATTGCACTGTTGCTCACCCTCCTCCTCCTCTTCCTCTCTTTCTGTTAACGGTGTCGATGATAACCTAATAATGGATTGTCAAGTACATATACCTACGGAGTCTACATCCGATGGCCTGCATAAACGTGCACAAATGATAACCAAAAATAAAAATGTGCTGTCAAAATAGTTTAATCGATATCAAGTCATACGATACGAGTTTTTCCCCTTCCATCAAAATTTGTGTGTGTGTTTCTGTGAATTGTCATTGAACTCCGGAACTAATGCACCACCGGGAAATGCTATGCATAAAAGAGTATAAGGGTCTTGTATGGTAGGACTGGGATGTGGATTAGACTATTTTTCGCGACATGCTTGTTATATCGATGGAGAACAAAATATCTGACGTAATCGACCGTATCGTTCGTATGGATTGAAAGTATCCTGCCGTTTCTTGAGCACAACTCATCTACTACAAGACCGAGTCCAAGCATCGAAGGATAATTTGTTCGAGATATTCCATCCCCAATCAAATCCTATAGTCGATAAGAACCGAGAAGACGCTAGAAACACAATCATACACCGACCAGTGCACAGAGGAAAAACAAGCAAACTGGATGTCATCAGTCATTGATTGTTGTACCACGTGTATCGTAGTCAAGCTAATCGTATTTCTGCATCAGCCGATATTATCAATCAGTTTCCTCCCTCGAAAGATGACATCCAGCGTTGGTGTTTGGATGATGATGCATTGATGGGCCAAATCGACAAAACAATGCAGTGCTTCATGGATTAGCTAGGTGCACATAAATCTAGCCAGATAATACCCCTCAATCACCAACCACAGAACAACCGAACAAACCAAAGCATCAAAAGTATATCTAACTGTTATAGGAGCTCCAAAACATCTCTCTGTCTGTATAACCCGAGTTCAAAACATGAGTAAACAGGATTTTTGACCATCTGAATCTGCCTTTCCTGATTGTTCTTTCCATAAGCGATTAATGGTAGTTATCGCATATGGTTGCGATCAACTACAAAATTCCAAATGCCAAATCTTATTCCGTTTTCCAATTTTCCCAACTACAAGCAGATGACTATCATTGATCCCACTTAAAAATCCAAACAAAGGAAACAAGTAATCTCTCTAGTGATTTGTCTTTTGTGCTCCGGTTGCAAAAGAAAAATATGGTCAAACACCCTGTCAATAATCGATTACCTTCTTCTTTTTATGTTACTTTTCTTGAAAAAAAAAAAAAAATCTAAAAAAAATCCGTTGGAAACCAAAAAAAAAAAACATTAAAAATACACAGAAGCAAACAGTACAGCTGCAAACGAGCAGGTCAACCAGGGCTCGGAAGATTTACTGCCACGAGAGCCCTGTCTCCAGGCACTAGCCGCCCTGCGACACGCGAAGTGGTTCCAGGTTTGTGTAATTGAAACTCTTTACTCATTATCTTTTACCTTTACCTATTAAACAACAACAGCAATTAACAACAGTGGTTTATTATATATTTCCTTTGAGTTTTGGGTTCTGAACCCTTTCCCAGAATGTGTCATGTATGAGTTTATTCGAAACTCAACTTACTTAGCCTACCTTCTATCTCATTTAAATTTAATTCTTACTGAGCAGTAGCTGTAGTAGGATTTACTGTAACGATTTTCATTTAATTTCGAGTAGTATAGCCTCTGAAATGTGTTCCATCAAGTGCCGTCAACAGAAGTTGTAAGATGTTAATTTCGCGGGTTCATTAATTCATCAACATCATCACTACTACCTGACATTATCAAACGACATAGGTTATTATATATTTATTATATAATTATTTGAAATTGACGACTGGCGTCCTATCTTCTATTTCATTGCATTTCTTGCACACCGCTATCATGTTCTTCAGCCGAACCTCTCTGTAGCTTCCCGTGACATTTAATATTCATTACCAGCTACGTAGTTTATGGGCGCATACTGTTTATAATGTTAGATACCTGATAATCTTCGTCGACCACGACATCTTAACCCTTACATGCCCATTAGGGTGCCAATAGTTTTTTCATTGCCTTGAAAAAAAGCCTCTATGCAAAATTTGGGCTCAATCGGACATGATTGAAGGCTGCCGCAAAGCGGACAAAGTTTGAACTTTTTTACCCCAACATTTCATTGGCACCCTAATGCAAATTTAATTTAAAAATCACCGGGTTTTTGTAAGCCATCATTATTTACCGTGGGGCAGTGCTGGTAAATATCACGGCCGTCGTATGACAATGAGAAAACAGGTCCTCTCATTATTCACGAGACGAAACTATCTATCACTAGGTTTCTTGCCAGTTTCCAATGATCAAGCATTCATGAGAATAATTGTCATACGGTTTTGAGATCAACATTTCTAACGGATTTAGATGAGTTTAGGCAAACAACAATATGTAAGGTAGAGAGAATATATTTTTAAGATTTCCGCGATACAATCAATAAGTGTGCTAGTAATTGCAACACTGTCACGTTCTGTCATGACCAGTGCTGTAAATTCTCAAAATCAATTGAACATTTTTGATGAAAATGAGAAAAGCAGCTATTCGCTATCAAAGGGGACCTCCTTCGAATGGGTGATATCAGTTGCTTAGTCATTTGACGAAGGCATGGATCATTCTCATTTGAGAAACGCTTGATATCATTCAATTGAGAGTAACCTACACATAAACGGAGCTCTGGTCGACATTTCGGCGAAAAAGCTAAGCCAACCCGACACCAACCTGTCTTCTACCAAACCCCAACTTGATGTTGACCCGATATAAACCCAATATTGACCTGACAACAGCACGACATTGGGTCAACATCGACTTTAAATTGCCTTACATTGATCTGACATCGGATCGACTTGTCTGTTTGGGACCATTTTGCTGGGTTTCTTCCGTACTTCACTGTCGTATATTAAATGATAGTGAGTGACGATGAGCTTCGAATGAGAAAGGTACTTTTCAAATTATGGTTATGTGAGAATTCGTTTTCACAGAATCATGCTTGATAGAGCCTCGCTCGCGAGTTTGAAATGAGCCGAGCGTAGCATTTTTCTGAGGAGTAGAACGCCTACTGCCAAATCATTCCGCTGAGCTTCAGAGCTTGTGAGCGAAGGAGGATAAAATGAGAGTGAGGTTTGCTGCCATTCATGTTCATGTTTTCTATCACACGCTCTTACTCTCACTCTGGGTGAACTCTGAGCTTCTTGCGTCGAACAAAAAAGTCATCCGGAGTCTTGAAAAGCGCACCTCACTTCAAATCATCCTCTCGTTGAAGTTCACTCTCCCTCTCTCTCGAGGAGTTTTTGTTTACTTCTTCCATATTCCTGCCGCCACTCACTCGACTTGAGGGCTGGCTAAACTCGCAGGACAAGAGTGTTGTAAAACCTCCAGTGAGTTTGAGGAGTTTCAGCAAGCCTGCACAGAATAGATTGAATGGTTGTATTGGTTCATCTTCAATCGAATGATGTGAAAATTAACAGCACTGGTCATGACAAAAAATATCTCATCCGATGTTAGTGACAAGAGTATCTCTGTAAATAGCACGTGAGATCTTTCATTGAAATTGACATTTGCCAGCCCTAGCCTGGGGTCCACGAGGTGGTCCTCCGAAGATCCGGAACTTCCAAAAAAGTGATCAATTCATTAGGGTGACCAAATGTTCGCTTCACATTACTTGAACGGTTTCAAATCGGGTCCTGATTAGCCTCCCAAAATTTGGACTCATTTTGTAAGAAACTGTCTTGGCGCCAACCATTTGAAGTTACATGGAAATTACTATGGGAAACCAATTCTTTTGGAGGCTAAAAGCCCGTCAATTTCGATGACAAAACGACAAAAATGAATACAATTCTGAACCCTAAAAATTCAAAACCCTTGGACTGGACTAGATTTTCCGGATACAAATTAGTTTGAAGAACTATCTGTATCATCTTCTTCTTCTTTCTTCTTCTTCTTCGCATTTCAAGCTTATTGCATATCGCATATTAGCTTATTGCGTGCTCTCAACTTAGTGTTCTAGATGCACTTCCAGTTATTAATTGAGAGCTTTCGATGCCTGTACCATTTTTGCATTGGTATAATTGTGTGGCAAGTCCAATCATACTTCTATGCCCAGGGAAGTCGAGAAATTTTCCAACCCGAAAAATTCCTAGACCGGACCGGGAATCGAACCCAGCCACCTCCAGCATGGTCTTGCTTTGTAGCTGCGCCTTTACCGACTGAGCTAAGGGAGGCCCCATCATTATTGATAAATACACGATGCCAAAAATCATTACCAAAAAATAAACTTATAGAAATGCTCATATTTCAAAGAACGACAAATACGCTTTACAAAAGCATTTCCAAGATCGGAATACTTAAAAAAAAATTACGTTTCGAAATTATGTTGGGTCCTCCATTAGCTCAATCGGTAAAGCTGCAGCTACAAAGCAAGGCCATACTTAAGGCGAATAGTTTCGATTCCTGGTCCGGTCTAGGATTTTTTACGGGTTGGAAAAATTTCTCGACTTCCTTGGGCTTAGAGTATGATTGTACTTGCCACACAATTGTTGTGTAAGATGGGGCAAGACGAGTCAGCTAGTACATTTATTAATGTATTTGTTTGTCAACATCAACAGGTTTAATGCAACCACCAATGATGGTATGCATTTTCAAACCAGCATTGGGGCTACATTGAGCTTGTTTATGTTGACATTCAAACAAATAAATAAATCAGATAGATGATCCATCTTGCCCCGCCTTACCCCTAATAATGCAAAAATGGTACAGACATATAAATAGAAAGCTCTCAATTAACAACTCTTAGAACACTAAGTTGAAAGCTTGAAAGTCAGCGTTAAGTCCCAATGGGGAAGTAATAAAGCCAAAGAAGAATAAGAATCGTTATTAACAAGACGAAGACCTAGTGATGTGACATTATGAACAAACAAAAAAAAACTGACTTCACCCTAACTCACCTTCAAATTTCAAATCAACCTTGTAGTACAACTTCTGTTGACAAATGCACGTTTATTAGATATATCAGACACCCGCGGTGGAAAGTATTCTCAGAGAACGGATAAACTTTTCATACAAAACTCTACAGTACAGAAACCCATGATTTTCGTATTTTTTTTTTTCGAAACCGCGCCGGGGAACAGATACTAAACAAACGGAACAAATCAAGCACAAATTTATATCTCCTAGCTAAGACCAAAGCACCAAACATATAAAGCGCAATTTACTAGAAACGAACCCATTTTCGTGTGTATGTGAGTGAAGCAATCAAAAGAGTCCCATTTGTTTTGGTTTGAAGTTTTGTAAAATCGGGGTATTTGAAATTTGGAGCTATAGCTGATATTAGGAGTAGTTTGAGATAGAATAATTTAAATTTCGCACAGATCAATGTTCTTACTGTTATCTTTCTTCAACCAATTAAGGCTAGAGCTACCGGTCTGCAGTCCTGTGTGATGATTATGAGAATCATGCGTGATCTTTGCCAGAGAATTCCCATCTGGGGGAACATCTCGCAGTGGGTAAGTTTCGATTGCTTCCTGTTTGTTGTGGACACCTTGTAAACCGGATCTTATTTTCTCCACCAGGCCACTGAACTGATCATCGAGAAGGTCATCTCATCTGCCGGTGGACCACTAACTCCCGGTGAGTGTATGCGTCGAGTGATGGAAGCGATTGCTTCGTCGGTTCTGATCAACGGTCCCGGAATGTTGGATCCGTGCGAAAAGGAACCGGAGGATGCTCTTGCCAACCTTAGCAAACAGCAGCGCGAAGATATCACCGTTTCGGCTCAGATGTTCCTACGGTTCATTGCCTTCCGGCAGATTCACAAAGTGCTCGGAATGGAACCGCTGCCGCCTCCGAAGTTTGTCGGAAATCGCAACTGGCGCTTCAACCGCAAGCGTAGGCGTTCCGGTACCGAGGGAGCTGATAGTGAAGGTAAGTTTTCGGCCACGAAATTATGCTTCTAGATTACAATAATCAATTGGTTCTATTTCCCGTTCCAGCTGATGGTAAAATGGTCAAGAAAGAAGAGAACAAAGGTGAGGGTGCCACCAACAATGCCGTCGTGGACATGGACACCGAAAGTGGAAAGTAGATTTGTAGGTTTTCTCCCTTGATATGTAAGGTAGGTACTTTTCAGCTAGAATTTTAACAGACGTGAAAAGAAGGAAAAAATCTTCGAAAGCAAACTTTTAAGACAGTAAAACTTTCAAATATTGGATTTAACTCTGCTATGAAACATATTATCTTATCATGGTAATGACATAAATAATTCATTGAATGGAATCAGACATAATAAAGATTAAGACCAAAAAAAAAAAAGGAAAATGGACATCATAAAATGATAACAAAAAAAAATCTGGATACCTAAATTGAAATTTGTTCGTCCTCGAAGATTAAATGCAATATTTGAATTGATACGAGAGACGTAGCCAGACGCCACCATTTCCTTTTATTCGCCCCCTCATCAGGAATCATATTCAGGTGAATCAGTCAGAAATAAGAAACCAAATCCTAGGCAATCTGTTTGTTGTCAAAGTCAATTTTGAAAACGAAAATCCTCTCTGAAATTTTGTTTCCTATCCTTGATTCCTAAAATATAACCTTTGCTATCAAATTTAGGAAGTGAGAAAGATGAATTGTAAGACTAACTTTAAAGAAAAGCAAAATAACGTTTTGGAATACAGCAACAGCAAAAATCATAAGTGTATTTAATCCTCAATCGAAATCAGATAGAAATTGTAACTAACATTAACACTGTATGAACATTTCGTATCCTTTGGGAAAAAGTCCTCTTTGAGCAACTGAAAACAGTATGATATTCAAAAGTAACCATGCATCCTCCGTTCCACATGCAATGAAACGGCAGTGTGTATCAATTTAGTATCCTATTAGTAATACCCCGCAGTTACTGAAACTGTAAGGCGATGTAACGGACAGGATGAGACATAGTAGGGAAAAGGATCACGAAAACCAATATGTGTAGCGCACCTCTGATACACTTTTTTGTGAAGTGAGATGCACTAGGGAAAAAAAACTGGAACCACGAATACAAACACACAATAGTACACACACACACACATACACAACAATGGCGCAGTCCGTGAAATGGAACGATGATAGCGGTAGACTATAATACTTAGTTAGTGATCCAAGGTTGATTGCAGAAATGAAAGAAACAATAGGAAACGATACTACCTATACTACAATTCAATATGAATCTGATGGAACGGTATGAAAACAAAAAATCATAACCCCCGACAACATCTTAAACACAAATGTCAACCTGTTGAAAAGATGTAAGTCAATCAGTCAGTCAGTGGAATCCATGATAGCAAGTATCTAATAAACAAATTTGAAGTATTTTCTTCTTGAAGGAACAAATCGAACCGTTGTCGAATTGTTTGTGTTGATCCGAACTCGCCCTTCAATCTACTTTTACGTAGTGAACTGCGTTGGCCCATAGCGTGGGTGCATCAATCAACTATATACAGTTGTCATAAATGAATTAGCGTTTTTTTGGACGTGTTTCTTTAGCAGATGTAATAGTAATCTTTTTCCTTAAATTATATGTTTGGTAATTTCTTCTTCATACTTAATGTTAATGTTAAGTATCTTTCAAACTTGTTTAAATAATTTAGAGTATCCAATCAAATGAACTGAAGGTAAGCTAAATGAATACGGAATGTATATTAAAAACTAAGAAATTTTTAATTTTGATGTCTTGTCAAGTGAATTTTTGAGAAAATAATCACCCATATTCTTGTTTGCGTTCGTACCGTAAACTTTTTTTTTGTATGGAAGATACGGTTTGAACCAAGCCAAAATATTACTGGCATTACTGGCCGCGGAAGTAATGAGATTAGCGGAGAGTTACTCGTCTTCAAACACACTAGCAAATTTGGCTGAGAACAGGTTGCAAATGTCTTGTTGATTGCCAGCAGTTTCACCATTAAAAATCATGGAAGAGGGTAAGCCGACTTCCCTGCGTTGCTCATTTACGAGGTTCTAGAAGGATTTCGGGTGTGATTTTAGCCGCCGTTGAATCCTCCTTTGTTCTTCTTTTTTTTCCTTTATTTAACCTCGGACATCGATTGCCATCCATTGACGACAATCGAATGTGCAGGAAGGCAGCTTCCACACCTGCGTAGGATAGGCATTGAACCCATTGGGGTGAGAAAGCAGTCACTACACCACCGGCGCCGGCAAATCCTCCTTTGATAGCGTTGAAAACAGATACGACTTAAGGGGGTATTCCCGATCTTTTTTTTTCAAAAAATCAAATTTTTTTTTTCACGTTTTTTTGTACTTTAGACTATATACTTTCATCCCCCCAAGCCGTTTTCCGATCAGCGAATTCGGTGTCCAGGCATAGCTGACTAATGGTAAGAACCCCCAAATGGTTTTAACTAAAGTCAAAACTTTAAACGCGTTTTTCTCGAAACCACATTTTTTTTATCGGGCGAAGATTTTTCTCAGAAACTATAAGAGATATTGACTTGAATCTTTGCGCATTTTGTTCCTTATTAAATTCTTTGGAGCTTCTCCCACTTTCAGCCAAAAATATTAACATTTAACATTGTTTGAAGCACCTTAAAGTTGCAAAAAAGCGGGCTAAAAATCGCCTGTTTTTTCATATGGCCGCCATTTTGTTAATTTGCAAGATTTTTTGCTGCCAACGGGAGAAGCTCCAGAGAATCTTATGCAGATTATTATTTCATCACGAAATCTGTTTCAGATGAAGCCGTTCCAGAGAAAAGTCTTCGCCCGTCCAGGCGTTTGCGGCGAACAGGGGTCTGTTTGTCGCCATTTTGTGACGTCAATAATGTCTTTTTTTATGTCGAAAAAAAATTATTTGTAAACTTTAATGTTCAATAAACAAGAATCCCAAAGAGTTAGGCGCATTACTATTCATTTTCCTTGAAAAAAAATTAATTGAAAAACAGGCCGAAAAAAGGCAAAAGATTGGGAATACCCCCTTAACCTTAACTTATACTCGAGGTTGAGTCTGACATAGTAGCATTTCAACGGCAGTGTTCGGAATTTAGTAAATCTTCTTAGAGCAGCCTTCTTAGTTATTTTCAACGAGCGAAGATCTTTCGTCATCCACGGGACGCGTGAGTCGATATGGATGATCTTTTTGAAAACGTGTCTGTCACATATGCCAAAACGTGAGAAAAGGTTTGTGCAGCAATGTGGACGTCTACAGGATCTAGAATATGCTCCCAATCTAGGTTAGACAGCACATGGACAATACTGCGATGGTCAGCGTTTGGACTGCTGGTAAAATCATGGACAATATTACGACAACTAAAGCAGGGTGAAGATGCACTTCCTTGACTAAAGGTTCGGGTGCCGTGGAGAGGAGAGGATCTGTATCACGAGCACTCACAAAGCAGAGATCCAGGGTGCGGTTGTTTTCATTCAAAAGGCCATTGATTTGTGACAGAATTGCGGTACTATAACTGTCGAGGAGCTGGATGGTTCCTACGTGGAAAGATGAATGCTCGTGATCAGGACAAAAGAAACCACTATGGGTTGGAGTCCATGCAATGTCCGGTAGGTTAAAATCGCCAAGAACAATAACTTCGTCGGCCTGCTTTGTCTGAAGCGACCAAGACGGATCGACAATGTGCGTCAATAAGCTCCATTTCACGGGTTCGATCTTGAGAGATGTACACTGCACAGAGAAGCAATTGACGATCACCAAGTTGAATAGCCACCCACACTTGTTCAACCGTGTTCCAGAAATCGTCCTCGATAACTTCTGCTTTCAGCTTGGAATTAACTGCGATAAGGACGCCTCCCCCAGTAGTTTTCCTACTATTATTCGTGTTTCGATCGCAGCGAAATATTTCGTAGCCGGCACCAAAGACAGTTTGAAATGGTTCGATAATTAAGCCATGTTTCGCTCAAAATTAAAATGTCGTAACGGTGATCCATGTCGGCCAGATGATAATCTTCCACGAGGCCGTTCATACCGCCAACGTTCTGATAGTAAATCGTTATGTCCGACCTCCGCTGTTCGGACAATGGAAGGTTCAGCGTGTGGTTGCATTTGGGAGCTGGTAGATGTCGACGGAGGAAGGATGTTCGAGTAGGGCCGCTGGAAACCAAGATACTTTTAGGCGATTATATATTCGTCGGTTGATCATTAGACTGATGCAAATTTTGACACTTTCGCTCCACAGTGCTCAAACGGTTCCAAATCGGGTCCTGATTAGTCTCCCAAAATTTGAACTCATTTGAAAAGAAACTGACTTCGCACAAACCATTTGAAGTTTATATGGAAATTACTATGGGAAAACCAAATGTTTTGTTCATATCCATATAACAATTTACCATATAGCTCTGCTCTAAAAAATGATAACTGAGCTCGTAGAAAATTTTCTCATCTACAACTTTGTCCTGAACCACTTTTCAATATAATGTTAGCATCAAAAGTTATCAATAATTCAAGCCACTAATGTCTTACGATTATGCTCAATCAACTGTTCAGCAGGCAACGTTGGTGTTTCTGGCGCTTGGAATAGAGCACAAAAATCATGGCTACTATGTCACACTGCAAGATACAGTGTTGCTCACAAAACAGCTGCTTGATCATGCCATAAGATTATCAATCTCTTAAACAATTAATAACTATTTTATTTGACGTTTGGCTCAACAACTACATTCTGCTAAGTTGAAGCTGAGAAAATTCTCCATAAGTATAGCTTTTGAATTTTTGAACAGTGCCATATGGAAAAAGGTAAGAAGACAATGAACAAAAAGTTTGGATTTCCCATAGTAATTTCCATATAAACTTCAAATGGTTTGTGCCAAGTCAGTTTATTTTCAAATGAGTTCAAATTTTGGGAGACTAATCAGGACCCGATTTGGAACCGTTTGAGCACTGTGGAGCGAAAATGTCAAAATTTGCATCAGTCTATTGATCATACTTGCCAATAACAGGAAAGTGAAAGACCCCTTCTCCCATCTCAAACGCAGGGCCGGGACGACTGCTGGTCGCTGGCAGGAGGGGCTCGACTACGATGAGCGGAATAAGGGCTTCCTCAGGGCAGACGGTAATAATGCGTCCCGGAGAACAGTTGACTGTGATGGCTCCATGTTGCCGACTGGCAGATGTTCGAGGTGAGTTGAAGGAATTATGATCATCATCAGGCAGTAAAAGTTCGTGAATATATTGAAGTACTTAAAAATTCATTTCATTATTTAAAAACCTTCTATAATTACTTGTATTGTATTTTCTTTTATTATTGAATTTATTGATGCCGGAAAGGATTTATCTTCAGTAACAACATAAATTTCAAAAGTTTTTGAGGCTTGAATTTTAGATGCTGGAACATGCACAGCTGATGAGAACGACTCAAAATTGAGTCAATTTTCACTCGAAATCGCGCACACGAGTTGCTTAAAAAAAGCTAGAAAATGGGGAAAATCGAGGAAATTTTTACTCAATCCATAAGTATATTCATAGCCGGAGTAAATATATCATCGATTTTTCTTACATTCGAGCTTTTTTTTTTGAAGAAAATCGAGGAAAATTTTACTCAGCCTATGAGTGATCTGCGTTTTTGCGATTTTGAGTGAAAAACAGCTCAATTTTGAGTCGTTCGTATCTGCCAATTTTTAACCAGATTTTAAGCTTAGACAATGTTTGGTCATCCTGGACGAATACATTTTTAGGAATCTGGAACCACAATACATATTTAGGATGGACATTGAACAATTTCCAATGACTCAGATTTGAAAAAAAAAATCGAAGCTTCATGAATGAATTTGATGAGAACTTTCCTGAAACTCAAGGTATTTGTGTGAGGAGAATTGATTTCAAGGTAGTTCTGAAGGAACTATTAATATCAGGTGGAATCTAAGGAGAATCCCTTGGCAGTGCTTAGTGGAATTAATATCATTCAATGGAAATTTTGCAAAGAAATCCAGGGAAAATTTCGAATAGAATTCTGAGGAGAGTTTCCAGAAATTTCCGAATAATATTTAGAGTATGCTAAAGAGGAACATAATTAAATGTGAGAAGAATTACAGGGGAATTCATAAAAAAATCTTACTATAATTCCAACCGAATTTGAAGGAGAATTCATGGTATTTATGAGGAGAATTCCAATGTTGTGAGGGGCTGTTCATTAACTACGAAGTTTTTTTTTTGGGATTCTTGAACCACCCCGCCCCCTGCGTAGACAATTGTCCATACAACAATTTTAAAATTTGTATGGGAGGTGGATAATTATCAACCCTCCCCTATGAACAGCCCCTGAGTAGGAAATGAGGATAATTCAAAGGGATTTCTGAAAAGATTTCAATGAAAATTCTGAGGGATCATTCCAATTGAATTCTTAGGAGAGTATGAATGGAATTGCGAGGAAAATTACAAGGAAATTTAATTGGAAGGAGAAATGAATTCTGATGAGTGCTGGTGTGCTGGTGAAACTTGTGTGTTAGTACAAGACACTGATTACGATTGAACTTTGAAGATGAAATAGTCTAGGAGAAGCAATTAAAGCAGTGAAATTAAATTAAATTTACTTCTTTTTTCTTAATTCCGAGCATAATTTTGAGAAAAATTTCAAGGAAATACTAAGGAGAGTTTCAAGCAAGGGAATTCCTACTGTGCTACCTGACTTATAACGAATATACTTTGTATCTAAGAGATCGTTTCCTTCGTCTAATTTTACATATCATAATGAACGTAAAATTTGACGAAGTAGGGTTTTTGATCTTATTTCCGTCCTACTAAGCACATCCCGCACTTTACCTCTCTTCTTTTGGAAGGGTTTGAACAAAGCATGGAATGTTTTCATCAAAGATAACTTCTAAATGTATTCACCTTTCCATACGTACCGTTGGATTTGATAACGAGTCAAACGAATTTGAGGTATCATTAGAAATCTAACACTGCTACTTGATTCTAAATTCGTCCTAACGCATTGACACGCCATTAGATTTTCTTCGTCCTACGGATGATGGTAGAAAAGGTCGATTCGCTAGGAGCGCTTCTTTTGTTTTGAGAACAATGAGCGTACATATTCGTACAATGCGCTCTAATAAAATGTATGTTTTAGCTAATGAACTAACGCATCGGAACAAGCGTATTATTCATTTGTGCACGACGAAATCATTGATATTATTGATGATTTTTGTTCGATAGAACGGAAATGGGCGATTTCGACGAAGTAGCGCTCTTCCCTATACGATCACGCGTTATGATTCAGGTAACACAGTAGGTTCCCCGTAACGTGGGTAGATCACCTTTTCGTGGTACGTTACGGGATGTAAGATCTACCACATCGAACTATGACCCTAAGCTCTTCTTGTTGACAGGTTTGAGATTGGAAACAAGAAAAGGTACGTACCAGGGTTCCTTTAGTTCAGTCGATAAAGGCGCAGCTACAAAACAAGACCATGCTGGAGGTGACTGGGTTCGAATCCCGGTCCGGTATAGACATTTTTAAGGTTAGAACATTTCTCGACTTCCCTGGACTTAGAGTATGATTGTACTTGTCACATAATTATAGAAGGATTATAGAATATGGCAGTGCATCTAGAAGTTGAGAGCACGCAGTAAGCCAATATGCGATATGCAATAAGCTTGAAATGCAAAGAAGAAGAAGAAAAAGAGTTCTGATGCATGGTCAAATATTAGTATCATCGCTTGTTTTTTCTAACTAAGAAGCCCCATTTTTATTACTGAGAGGCGCATCTTTTAAGAGATCCCAGAATTTTCCAAAGATACGGAACATTATAATTTTAATGAGGATTGATGTGAGACCTATGAGACGGCGCCTCTTTTAAGGGGTCCAACAATACTTCAAATGATACGGAACGTCTTAATTGAAATAAGATTCTCCTGAAAGCTATTTTGATTGATGAGAGGGCGTCTTTTGCAAGGTCTCAGAACGCTTCGAATGATGGGGAATTTCACAGTTGAATGCGGATTCATGTGAGAAGATCAAGTATGTCTGATTTCGTTGTATCGAAAATGAATACCCCAATACTTTCCATAGTCCATAGTAAGGGCAGGCATGGAAAATCATTTACATTCATTTCATGCATTCATTTACATTCATTTGCCTCTAACTTTTTTCATCAACAGCATTCCACAAAATGATAAATAGAGCTTTTGTAGGTTTTGTTATTAGCTATAACTTTTGCCCATTACTTAAATCTGTATCTCTTATGCATCACGAACTAGAGCGGGCAGAACTTGTTACTGTTTTTTAGTGAATGTAAAATACATTCACTGAAAAACAGTAGTGGCTTCTGTTCTCTCTAGTTCGTCATGCATAAGAGATACGGATTTGAGTTGTTTACAAAAGTTGTAGTTAATAACAAAGCATACAAAAACTCCATACATTATTTTGCGGAATTCTGTTATTGAAAAAAGTTAGGGACAAATGAATGTAAATGAATGCACGAAATGAATGCAAATGATTTTCCATGCCTAAGTAAGGGTAATTCCTAGGTAATCTTTTTTGAAATTGTATGATCATATATTATGTAAAAATCGTCAAGATTCAGCGAATATTTTCGACAATGGATGATTGTTTTTCGTAACAGATGTCGTTAGTAAACCAAAGTTATTTTGTATGCAAGAAACTGTAAAAAGTTAATTTTCTCGAAATCCGAACTTTTTTGAAAAAAATATTTGGTACACTGGCTTTAATTTTGACCGAACTAACCTAACTGTTCTGTATTCGCTTCAAAAATCGATATTTTGCAAAAATGTTTAAATCTTCATACATTTTTTTAAAATAACTTTTACCCCCAGAAAGGTGGCGCCATGCTGTCAGTAGTTGTGAGATCAAAACTGCCAGCTTACGATAATTCATTGGTATTAAAAAACTGAGTTCTCATATCCATATTACGCAAAAGAGAAAATAATTTTTTAGTTTTTTGTAATAGTTTTGAGTGTAAAGCTGTGGTGACTCTCCGCGCAAATCAAATGTAGAGTCACCTCACTAGTGACAGAGGGTCACCTCACCTCATTCCCAGCGCCGATTAAGGGGGAGAATGTGTCAAGAAAATTCAGAGGAGAATTCCAACGATTTATGAGGAAAATTGCAAGTTATTTCTGAGGAGACATCAGAACTTTTTTAAAGTCATCTAGTTTTCATGATAGTTTCAAAGGTCTTTAAAAAAGATTCCAAGAATATTCTTAGAAGAGTTTCGAGAGAATTCCAAGGTACGAGGAGAGTTTTCTGGTAAAGTTAATTAAGATTAAATGGTAATTCTGAGCAGAAATCCTTGGCTTAGAAAGCTCTCAATTAACAATTGTGGTAGTGCTCAAACGAGCTCGTAAGAACACAAAGTTGAGAGCCGCCGTGTAGTCCCAGTGAGGGAAGTAATATAGCCGAAGAGGAATCCACATTTACAAAACCAGATACGTTTTTTTTTAAACTGAACCCTAGAAATGTCTAGGTCTATTCTGCGAGTCGTTTGAGGTGATCTACGTGTAAATCAAGTGGAGAGTCACTGCACACGACGTGACTTATGTCACCTCACTAGTGACAGACGAGACGCATGTTTGTTTAAATATTGTGTATACGACTGAAAATTAAAACTCTCACTGGACTGTCCCATGTTAATTCTGGCGTCAACTTACTTTCCAGCGAATAATCAACCGTACAGCATCGCATCGCCTCAGCACAGATGGCTAGCACCAGCCATCGCCCAGCAGCACAATTTCTCTGAGTTCCTTCGAAAGTGGGTGAGAGTGAGCGCAATCCAAAGAGAAAATGCTGCAGCCAGTAGCAACCAAGCGACAAAACAAACGGATAGCTGGAGCTCCAAAGAGCATACCAAATTCAGTCAATTAGACACTACCTGATGGAGCAGACGTGTGATTCTCATCCTGAATTTTCCTTGTATGGTTCCCCACTGAATACCCATGTTGAAAAGTGACTGTTAATCCATTTGTTCAAAATAAGCGATAAAAAGTGAATAACAGGTGGCTACAAGGCAGCGCTCAACTGGTGTTGCATTTTTTGGCTACTTTGATCGTGAAGTCAACGGAACAACAAGTTGCTGCAGCAGTTTCGACGTGACCTTATAGCTTATTGGCAGACAAAAAAAAATCAGCAAAACTTGAGTGGAGTTGAGTCACATGAGAGAAGAATCATCTCGATTGAAACGAAACGCCGAAGCTTGTCTGTCGGTGAACTGATTCAATTTGGATGAATAAAGCGATGGTGCAGTCTCGTAGTATGTTTTAGATACTGAGTGAGTTGTTTTTGGGAAGTTTTGAAGACCCCGGTAGACACCTCGGCGTCGGCAGAGTTTGATTGCGCGCGATCCACAAGTAATAGGTATTTTGGTGGGTGGCAGTGTGTTAGATAGATGCCTTTGTTGTTTTCGCTATTACCTTTTGTGCAATTAGCTGTGATTCTCGTGCAATGAGTAAAATGATTTATTTATGATTGTCGTAATAGGTAGATACAGAGAGTGTATCAAGAAGTGCATTACCTCAGTAGGCTGAAAACGAGAGCGTGTTTCTACGGTGACGGTTACGAAGTGTTGTGTACAGATGCAGTAGATGAAGATAGGACAATGATGAATGCGAAATCATCGTGCTAAAGGGGCATTGATTAAAGAAAAAATGAGCAAATAGGCGTGTAATACAACACACGTATACATCGTAGAATGAGTGATATAAGTGTCTCGTCTCGAAAGCAGAGAGAGTAAACACAGGCAAGGAGGCAACAGTGTGTCTATGCCAAACGAATGGGTTCGTTCATCAATGTGTGTTATCATTGATTACAAGTGTCAATAGGTGATATATTTTCTCAGTTTTCACAGAAATATCGATGAATAATTCGAAGACGATAGAAGTTTGTAAACAACATCAATGCATGCTACCAGATTATTTGGGTTTGGAAACGAGTTCAAAGTTCCATACAGGGTTGTAAACAGTGATTAGTACACATTTCATCGATTTGATTGGAATTGGAAAACACCTTGAGGTGTCAACGAGGAACGAAACAGAGAAAACTCTCAACACAACAAGAGAGAAAAATCGAAGGATATCCAGCTGCCGTTGTTGGTGCTACACGGCAAGGACACAACAAGGAAGAACCGGTGAGTACCAATCACGTTTTTCTTACCGTCTACTATGTGCACTCACCTCTCCCAAAACATGCTCTTTGGCATTGACAGTTTGTTGGCGGTGAGTGAGCTCAAGGAATGATATGGAATGGGATAAGCTGCTGTAGTAAACACAGAACGGTTGCCAAAAGACACGTACTATTATTACATATATATAACATTTGGGGGTAGCACGTGTGTAATATGAGTCAAGGGGAAAATTTGAAAGAACCTGCATTCACGTCGGTTACACGAGCGGAAACATCATATTCTGTAAATTGCGTAGACCAACCCTACATGTGTATAGGTACAAAACCGCCAGAATTGCAGCTGTTGCTGCGAGTCCTTGCTCAGGACGTTTTTTTTTCATCGTCGTTATTTTTCGTTGCGTTCGCCAACGGAATGTTTAGATCGCAATGTGGAGGGTAAGGAAAAGTAAAATAAGTGGAAAATAATATCTTACCAACAGCTAAAATCGCGTTAGAAGCGATGAAAAGGGTGCTTTCATAGCGGCATATCATATGCTTGTATTTAGAGTACATACTTACGCGTATATTAATAACGTAAGTGCTTAGAGGCATGGAAGCAGTCACGGAAATTCTATAAATAGATTAACTTTAGTTCTAGATTGAAGTCATTTGGACCAGATGGAGGAGCGTGCACAGTCATTTGAATGCCTTGGCGATTCTATAATCGTTTAAATGTTTGTTTAAAAAAACATTTTCTTATGTTTACATTTAACGTTCATTATCAGGGCGGCGAACCGCTTGGCATAAAATTGTAGATAATTTCTGTTACAATTGTGCTCTTTTGTTTTGGCAAACGTATAAAGTGTAATGCCTCAAACAAATGTTTCGGTATATTTTCAGATAAATAAACTGTTGATGCTTTCAGAAATGTTTTTTGTTGTTTATAAAGGGGTCATCCATAAATTAAATTTCGTAGAAATCTTCTTAAAAATGCCGCATAGTTGTAGAGCTCATAATTATTTCTATAACTTACTTTAAGTATCCCGGGCAACTACAGTGGAGCAAACGGCCAATGTGAAAGACTTCCATCCCAGTCGGCTGCTTGCTTTACCGACTTGTTTGATTTCCTTGTTGAGGCTCAGCAGCCATGAGCACCTAGGTATGCTTCTGCTACGATGTCTTACCGAGTTCCAATCCAGCCTTTGCTTGCATATATCGTTAATTCTAACTTGTTTTTTTTGCACGAACTTATTATAAAGTTTGTAAAATATAAATTTATGAAATTCCTAAGATCTCTGAGTCATGCAAATTTCAACTTTATCAACTTATGTGCCACTTTTCAAAAGGTTAAATATTAACCTATTTAAAGTCAACAGTTGTTTTCCTTAATTACCTAATTAATTAATGTTGATCAGAATTACCATGAGATTCTTCTTAAACTCACAGAAATATACTTGGAACTCTTCTCGCACCTTGGAATTATCTTCCAAATCCGCTTGAAACTCCCATAATAATTTTCTCAGAATGCTCCATAGAGTTACTTTAATATTATTCTGAGAATTAAAGGCTTTTGAAAATATTCTCAATATTTTAATCAAAATTCTTCTCAGGAATCCTAGTACTGTAGAATAGACTAGAAAACTCTCCCCAGGGCTCCTCCTGAGTATCTTTCTTTAAAAATTATACTCAGATCACCTTATAAATTATGTTAATAATAATTATAAAATTCCCGTCAAACAAATTCGCTTGGAATTATCCTTAGAATTCACCTTTGAAGTATATTGGAATTCTGCTCAGAATTACCTTAGAGGTCATGTCTGAATTGTTCAGAAAATTCATTTGAAATTCAGAATTCTATGGAATATATTTTCCGTTTGTCCTTTGTATTATTATCGGAATTCCCTTGAAAATATTCTCAGAATTTCTTGGGAATTGTGACCTCAACGTTCTGTTCTTTTAGTGTGCTCCTCGAAATTCCTTTGGAATGCTCTTTAGAATTCAATTGAAATTATCCTCAAAATATCCTTGAAATTTATCCAGATTTAATTAGGCAATAGCTTTAAAGTTCTTCCGTTCTTTTTTTTTAAATATTCTGTTTATTTTTCTAGGCTTATTTGCTGTAGCTTTGCGGATAACAAAATTACTTAAACTAACGTTAGTAAAGCGGGGCGATTACTCGCGGCTATCTCGAGGCTAGGGGTAACAAATTGTAACAAATGGATGGCAAGGTAGGGATTGTGAACACAAGGTTTGGAGAGCAATGTGCTCTTGATCTCGAACTAGGCGACACTCTGATGAAAAAGACAAACATGGGGGTACACCGATGGGCAGCTAACAACTAGGGAGAAATTTTTTTTTCTTTGAACCCTCATCAGAAATCTCTTGAATGTTTTCTTGGAACTTATTAACTTATTATTATACATTATAGGGGAAATGACGGCTTCGGCATGCCAGACTATTTCGGCAACCCAAATTGAAACACTATTTTCACTGGATTTTCTTACGAAAACACTTCGCTGAATGCATGCAAACGATTCTTTATGCTTTCAGCTTCAATTTGACCATATTTTTACCACTGAGAAAAAGCAATCTAGCAAGGTTTTCTTGAAAAAAGAAACACGCACTACAAACTGTAGCTGATTTCGAGTTGCCGATAATAGAACAGCAGATTTACATGCAGTTCAAATGGAACGGTTGCCGAAGAAAAACTGGTTGCCGACAATACTCGCTCTCACTAGAGAAGATTGGAGCCTTGTAAAAGCGTTTCAAAACAGTTTTTGACAATTCTTTCGACTGAAATTGTTAGAGCAGCTGGCAGCAAAAGATTGTAAACAAACCAATACTGCATATGTGTGCGTTCCTTAGAGAAAAAGGCTATAGAAAGAAGGTCGCTGCTTAGGTTGCCGAGAATACGTAAATTCCCCTATTCATTATAATTTTCCCCATTCCTCACAATCGTCTTGAAAGTCTCATAAGAACTATCTAAAAATTCTACTTAAAGGTACTCTTCACAACATCCCCTTGGTATTTTTTTCACACACTCCTAGGCAAGTTCTATTCAAAACTCTCTTGTCGCTGATCCTGAATTACCTTGGCTTCCTAGAACTCCTTCTAATGGTCTTAATTCTTCAGTGACAAAATACTTAAAATTCAGTCCATGGAATTCAGCTTTGGAAACATTCTAAGGACCAGTGAATTATATACATTTTCCCGATTTATCATCAATTCCGGGCTTTTCCAGGGTTTTCCCTGGTGATTTCTGATTTTAGACTTTTTTACCGGATTTCCCTATTTCTCTATTCACTGGCCACCCTGCATTAGCTTGATAAAAATGGTTACTTAAGACATAGATTATTACTTGCACAAGGAGAATCCTTGACAATTTTTGAGAAACATCTATACAGGATTCCTGATGAAAATTTTATGTGAATTTTGGGAGGAAGCTGAGCTGAATTTCTAGGTAATTTCTTGGTAAAATTCCGACGAGAATTCCATGATAATTCTGTTTAGATTTCCAAGATGTACTCCAAGGGAATTCTAAAGCATATTCCAATTGTAAATTTTCGAAAGGGTAACTTTTTGGAGAGAATTATGGAGAGAAATTTAAGCACATTTTCGCGAGAAATATTGTACAATGAACTTTAAGAGTTTTCTAAAGGAGACTGCTAAAGTGGTATGCAGAGAATTACGAAAGCTGTATTTGGAAAAAAAAATCTTGGGTATGCATAGACAACCATAATTCAGAATCCTGAAAGAAACTTTTGGGATGATTCGAATGAAAAATGTATGGACTTTTCTAAATTCTTTGAAAAAAAGTTGGAGGTTGTATCCAAGACACGATTTGTATCCAAGACACGTAGATTTGACGTAGGATTACGTGCTCGGTATCAATATTCGGCGACTGTGTTAGGGAAACAACTTTTCCCATCATGGAAACGCCACGTTTTCTATTGACACAATTACGTATTTTTCTGTTTAAAAAAGCGTAATTGAAAAAGCGATTGGAAGAATTTCTTGCTAAAATTTTCCCAACCGAGATATTCGTGATCAATAATACAAATTCGTGATCTTTTTGCTTTTTTCCAGCGTCCTGGAGAAAACCTTCCTTTAATTCGAAGTGTTTCTGGTTAATTGACAGGGTCACGTGGTATTCGGTCATTGCGAGAATTTTTATGTACCACTTCAATACTGTGCATTTGATCACACAACTTTGGTTGCTTGGTACATTATCAAAGAGCTCTGGGGGTGATGTGGAAATTAACTGTTAAACAAGAATAATTTATGGTGATCCTGAAAAGAACAGTTTTGTCGTGATGGTTGAGTAATGCTTAGCTATTAGGGTGTTCAACACGGATGAGGCTGGCGAATTGTTGTTTGAAACGAGCGTGACGCGTTTGGCATAGATGACACACAGCGGCTCACGACGAGCAACTGAATCCGATCAGTAGCGGTGTGGCTTCTTCCTTCTTCTTCGAGGGCTACTGAGGGCAGCGTTGATAGCTAGCTGCTTGCTGGGAGCCTTTCGTTGTGTACTGAAGAAAAATGTACAACGCCACGCGCCGAATGCACTGCTGCTGTTGATGACGACCGGAAACCATCAATAACCCCACACGGTGATTGAATAAACACCGTTCGGCGAGATCAGATGGAATTCGATATTGATTTTTTTATGTTAGGGTAAGCGCTTTTCGCAGGCAATCGGTGATAATTTTAATTATAATAGCAACAGACGCATATTCGTGCAATTTTCAATAGTGACCTTTTGAAAATTGATAAAGTCTTAGTTTTAACAGATTCGTATAAAAAATCCCTATCGATTAGCGAATTAAAATCCATCATCTTTGGATCAAAATCAGATCTCTTTCATGCCGCGACCGACTTTGGTTTTTGGAATTGCATCCCCAATGTTTCCTTAAAAATACATGGTAGGTATGTTAGATTTAAACTTATGGAAACTGGCATCCGATTGATGACTTCCACAAACGTCCAGAATATACTCTATAACGATTCTCCGGAGATGAACCA